GGTCACCCCAGGCTTCATCCTGAGGTCCATTGCTCTTCAGAACATATTATTCTATCCCTCCTTTATTTTCTAGTGGGTATGGAATAGTCTTGCATTATTCGAATGTCTTTTCCTTTGTATTTGAAGGTCTTTCTGTAGCTTGCAGAACTTGTTTCTGAATTGAATTGTTAAATTTAATCATTGTGTGTCTTGGAGTGTGTGGCCTTTTTTTTTTTCTTCCAGGGTAATATGTTAATTTTTTTTTCAAACGGGATTTCATTTTCTATATTTAGAAGTTCTGGACAGTCCTCTTCTATTATTTCCTTCCATGTGGTATCAAGGGTTTTTCGTTGGTTTTTTTTTGTCCTGTGGTGTTTTTCTGAAGACCTATGATACTTGGGTTGTCTCTGTCTGTCTTGTCTTCAAGTTTAATACGTTTTGCTTGCGTAGTGAACATCTTTTAACATTGTGTTTTTTTGCTCCTCGTCTTCTAGGTTGTCCTTCAGTTCTGTGTATTTACATTCCCAATCTATTGTTCATTCTTTGGTTTCTTTGTTGTGGCATGCCATTATAGATTCAAGTTTTTCTATTTGGTTCATAATTTCTGCTGTATAAAACAGAAATTCTGCTCTCACAATTCTCGTTTCTCTTTCGAAACAGCATGTTGTAGTTCCATGTTCTCCTTAAATTCCACAGGATCTTCAGTCTCATCAAGTGTTGAATCATTTTCCTTTATTTTACAGCATTTATTTATAGATGTCTGAACTTGTTTACTAGATCTGGAAGACATGTTTCCTTCTGTGGTTACTATTTTTCCTGTTGATTTATCTGTTTATGTTCAAAATCCTGGAGTTTTCTTCTTCCTGAAATCTTTAGTACTTTGTCTTTTTTTTCTGACTTATTTTTCTTATCATTCACTTCCTGACTCTCTCCCCTCTCATTGTGGTTTCCTTGTGGGGCTGGCTTTCAAAGTGCCTTGGCATCCTCCCATGTTGGGCATTTTGCAGTTTGTCAGCTTAGGTCTCTTCCCCGTGTGATTTTTTGGGTGATCAGAACTAGCCCCAGCTGGATATTGCTCTTTCCCCTCGGCTTAGTGGAGTGCGTGCATGCGCACGCGCACGCGCACACACACACAACACACACATACACACACACACGTTCTGTCCTGGTGACCTGTCCCTCTTTCTCTTTTTCTCAATTCTCTGGACTGGGACTGACAGAGCCTGCTTTCCCCAGGAAATGATGCTTTCAGGTTGAAGACTCCAGTGGGATTATGCTTCTAAAGAATTGGGACCAAATTGAGCAAGCTTCTGCAGGCTGGAGCCAGGGTCTCTAGAGCACTGAAAAGAGGGAGAGGGGAACAGAGCCCAGGAGTGTGTTTTGATATGAGCCTGTGTCACGTCCTTGGGTCTGGTAGAGCAGCCTCACTGCCAACAGCGTATGGTTTCTGTTCTGGAGAGGTTTGGAAGAACCTGGGGATTGGAGAGAATGTGATCTCTGTACTCCTTGCCTTATTGGCTTGTGAAGATCAAACAAGTAGCTGAAGGTGCTTTATAAATAGCAACGTTGTAACACTTGTGTTGGATCTCCCTCTCCTGATGTGAAGGGGTCCTCTCGCGCTCTCTCTGGCTTATCTGTGTATACCCAAATGAAACTCGCCATATGTCACTCTCCTAAAAGATGGCCATAACTTTGCTCATTTCATTAATCTGGCTCATGGGCTTCTACCCAGGCTGTAGCCTAGGAATACCAGCTTATTGAACTCAGAGAGTAGACGTTAGTCCTGCTTTGACCCCTGATTTTCATAAAGTATCAAACAAACTTTACATAAATATTTTACATAAAAAGAATAAAGAACCTGTACCCAAGCGCATGACTTGTCCAGAAATTCCCTCTCTTTCCTGGTAGTCCTATACTTTATCACCTTCCTTTCCCTACTCTGGGATCCATATAGTCCTGTACTGGGGTAAAGAGCTAAAGAACTCTGGCTGTTTTGCTAGAGTTAAAAAACCAAAACAAAACATACTACCTTATCCCTCCTTTTAGGGCATTAGCTTTCCCCAGGGCCCTCCCTCTATTGTCCAAATGACTTAAAATACTGCAGGATTAATTAAGAGACTGGGGTTTAGATTCCACCTTCCCTACTAATATGCTGTGTGTTCTTAGGCAAATTATTTAACGTCTTGGTGCTTTATTTTCTTCATCTTGAAAATGGAAGGGAAAACTCCTGCCTGATTTACCTGGTCAAAAGCAACAATGGATATGAAAGTTTAAAAACAATGAAAAGAATGAAAGATTATTATTACAATATCTTACACATTAGGAGTTATCTGTGTAAAGTAGCACATTTTTCCAAGGGACAGGGAACTCCATCTTCTTCTTTTTTTTTGCTAGGCAATGGGGTTAAGTGACTTGCCCATGGTCACACAGCTAGTGAGTGTTAGGTGTCCAACGCTGCATTTGAACTCGGGTCCTCCTGACTCCAGGGCTGGTGCTTTATTCACTGTGCCGCCTTGGGACTCCATCTTCTTATGCAACATAATTGACTGGTGTAAATTTCTTCCTAGGAAAAGATTTTTTTTTTAAATGGAGGGCAGGGAATGGGGTTAAGGGAGTAGGTAGAGGGAGGAGTGTACATTGTGTAGTTAGAAAGAATGAAAAAGTATCTTAAAATTGTTATTTATACCTTTTAATTTTATATTGGTTAGATTTCCCCATGTATCCCTCTTCCCCAGAGACTCATCCCATATAGCAAAGACCATTTCTGAGGGGGGCAAAAAAAAGAAAAAGGAAGAAGAGAAAAAATCTTTAAAACTGATCAGAAACAATATCTGAAAATATATTCAAAGTTCTAACCCTTGGGTCTCCCACCTCTGCAAAGGTGTGGGAGGAGGTGTCTTTTTCTAACTCTTCCTCAGATCTGTGCTCTAGTAGGTGCTTGATATGTATTTGTTGACTGCTGACTATTCTTTATAGCTTGGCAAATTAGAATGAATGAAAAAGTGTTTATAAGCACTTACTATGCTACATTCCGGGAATACAAATAAAAATTTGCTTGCTCCTACTGGAAGAGAGCAGCTAAGTGGCACTGTGGATAGAGTGCCAGGCTTGGAGTTGGAAGACTGCTCTTCCTGAGTTCAAATCTGGCCTCAGAAACGTATTAGCTGTGTGACCCTGGACAAGTCGCTTAATTCTGCCTCAGTTTCCTCATCTGTAAAATGAGCTGGAGAAGGAAGTGGCAAACCGCTCCAGTATCTTTACCAAGAAAACCCCAAATGGGGTCATGAAGAGTTGGACATGACTGAAAATGACCCAAGAACAACAGACTGAAGAGAGAACAAATTCTCTGACTCTTGTCCCGTAAGAGTTGCTCTGTTTAGTTGGCAGCTTAGACCAAGTGTTTAGGTTAATCCAGCTTTGCTGGATTAGATGTAAGCCAAAGATGTAAATAAAAAATTTCCCACCCTAAAGGAACTCATAATCTCCTACCCAGAGACAACACGTCTAGATGAGTGGTGGCCAAGAAAGGGAGTTTTTGTCTGAGGAGGCATAGGGGTGGTAAGCTGATTCATGGGACATCCAATTGGCATGTCTCTTCCTTCCAGAAGCACGGCCAATGTTGGCTTAATATAGCCATGATAGGAAGTGGAAAGAGGCAGGTACTGTGTTACGTGATGGCAGGTATATGGGAAGATGGCCTGGCTGGCTGGGATGTGAAGCATGGAGATAGATAAAGAAAGGGACAGCTAGGTGGTGCAGTGGATAAAGCACCAGGCCTGGAGTTAGGAAGACTCGTCTTCCTGAGTTCAAATCTGGCCTCTGACACTTACCAGCAATGTGACCAGTTATATGCCTCAATTTCCTCATCTGTAAAAGGAGCTAGAGGAGGAAATAGCAAGCCATTCCAGTATCTCTACCAAGAAAACCCCAAATAGGGTCATGAAGAGTCTAATATGACTGAAAATAACTGAATAACAGCAGATAGAAAGTGAGATGAATTGACAGGAACTTAGACACCAATCAGTATAGCTCAACCTCCAGATGAGAATTCTAAAGCCAAGCAAATTAGCTGCCCCAGGGTCTAAGTTCATGTTTTCTGGGGGTCTGGAAGGTGCTGTTTCTGGTGGGGAGCACCAGGGTGATAGTTGCAATGTAGCTAGAAAGATGAGATGGGTAAATGACTAGATGGGGGTGTCAACCTAGTTATTCTTTTTTAATTATTAGTCTTATGTATTTTTATTTCAGGCAATTGGGTTTAAGTGACTTGCTCAGGGTCACACAGCTAGTAAGTATCTGAGGCCATATTTGAACTTGGGTTCTCCTGACTCCAGGGCTGGTGCTCTATCCACTATGCCACCTAGCTGCCCCTAATTATCAGTCTTTTAAAACAAGTCCAGCCTGTGGAAAAGAATCTGCTAGGCCTTCGTTAGGTAGTGAACCCAAGTAGCCAGGGTCAGAACTTGCTATGCTTGGCCCTCTCTTTGATATCACCAATCTTCTAGTTAGAAACTTGGGTTTGGGGCTGTGTGTGTGTGTATGTATGCTGGGGATAGTATGGAGCTATAATTTTACTGTTATAGGGAACTCCCTTATGAGGAAATGCCGTTTATCAATATTACTCTCTTAGAAAGATACTAAAAAGTAAATGACTTGCCCAGGGTCACACAGCCAATGTGTGTCAGAGGTGAGACTAGTTCTTTCTGACTCAGAGACCCATTCCCTAACTACCTGCCTTGCCAAGTATTTTAAAAATCAGTTTTATTGATGGCTTTTATTTTTATACTCAAATCATTTCTGAAAATGCCTTCTTCTCCCACCTTATATTAAAACCCCCATTGTAATAAAAACACTTAAGCAAAAACACCTAGCATATTGACTGTGATGATGTAATAACATATTCTGCCTTAATAGTCCCCTGTCTCCCTACTGACAGGAGGGAGGTATGACTGACAAGAAATCATGCAAAAATGATGGTAAAATCCCAACTGAAGCTTTTCATGGATCCCTTATTTCCTCAGTAGACCTTATAGTGGAAAGAGGGGAAACCTGGGATTCTGGCCCCCTTGGAAGATGGCCACCAAACAGACTGAGCCTGTTACCACTATTGGCCTTGAAGATCTGAGCCCTGAGTCCTTGGAGTCACAGAAAGGTAAGAGATTTTAAAATGCAGCAAGCCTTCTATTACCCTTCTAGAGGCGTGAGCAAATCCTCCAACTTGTCCCACAAAAGGTTGACCTCTTTGCTTGGCATTTTAGGTTAAGTGTTCGCTTAAAGCCAGCTTTGCCTTTCTTCCTTAGAGCCAAAGACGTTCACGGTAGAAGAGGCTGTGGAGACCATTGGATTTGGACGGTTTCATATAGCACTGTTCCTGATCATGGGCAGCACAGGGGTAAGTGTTCCTTTGTTGTTAAATTCTTCAGGCAGCAAGCTATTGTCCTGAACACAGGGAATAAGCATTTGACTTTAAATCATCCACAGCAAGAATGATCTCAAGGGTAAATAATTTTTTAAAAATTCTGTTGATTTTTTTTAAGAGATGTTTTCCTGTGTATAATTGAATGGAGGGATATCTCATGTTCTTGAAATTAAGACTACTTGAGAACCAAATAACCTACACCATAAAAAGTTCATCTCTCCCAGATTACCTACCCTAATCTTCCAGTCAGCTTCTTTCCTGCTTCCCATGACAATTCTGGAAAGAAACAACATCAGTCCTGAGTGGCTATAAAGCACTGATGTAATGCAAAGTTGGCTTCTTTATTTAACTTACCAATTAATAAATTTCTTGGCCCAGGGAAGTATTGTTTTATTTGAAAGTCTATTTCTTGCCATGCTAGAGTAAATAAGAGTAGTTGTTTGGCAAGGCAGGTGGTTAGAGAATGGGTATTTGATCCCAGAGGTGAGAGGGAACCACTGAAGTTTGAGTAAGGGGCTTCATTTTATAAATGAAGAAACTGATGCTTAGAGAGGGTTATCAATGCCACACATTTACTAAGTTTCAGAGGTACAATGGTACAATTGTGCCATGTTACTCTTACTCTCAACTCTTTGCAGTCTGACTTCTGACCTCATGCAACTGAAATTGTTCTCTCCAAAATTATCAATGATCTCCAATTGCTAAATCTAATGGCCCTTTCCCAGTCCTCATCCTTCTTGAGATCCCGTCAGCCTTTGACACTGATAAGCACCCTCTTCTGGAATCTCTTTTCTCCCCAGGTTTTTGTGACACTACTTCTTTCCTGGTTCTCTTCGTCTCTGTCAGACTACAATTTTTCAGTCTCCTTCATTCAGGTCATTTCCATTAACCATAAGTGTTGCCCAAAGCTCTGTCCTGGGCTTTCTTCTCTTCTCCCTCTACATTATTTTGCTTGTTGATCTCATTAGGAGATAATGATTATCATCTCTATGCTGATGATTCACAGATCTACTTATTCAGCACTAACCTCTCTCCAACTATATATTGTACATCTTTAACTGGATATCTTCTTGACATCATAAATTCAACATGTCCAAAACTCAACTCATTATTCTTCCCTCCTCCCTTCCTTTCCTCCTGCCCCCACGCTCAACACTTCCCCCCTTCCTAATTTTCCTCTTGGTGTCAAAGGCACCACCAATCTCCCAGTGACCCAGGCTTGTAACCTATGCTTCATCCTTGACTCCTTACTCTTTTTCATCTTCCATAGCCAGTCTGTTTTCAAAGCCTATCTATTTCACTTTCATAACATCTCTTGTATATTCCGCCTTCTCTCTGACACTGCCACCACCTTGGTGTAGTCTCATCATCTTATGCCTGGATTATTTCAATAGCTTGCTGGTTGGTCTCCCTACTCCAATCCATTCTCCACCCTGATCTTGTCACTTCTAACCCCATTCAGTAAACTCCAATGACTTCCTATCACCTCCAGGATCAAATATAAAAATCTTCTGTTTAGTATTCAAAGTCTTTTATAACCTGGTACCCTCCTACCTTTCCAAATTTCTTACACCTTATTCTTCCTCATGTACTTTATGATACAGTGACACTATCTTTGCTGTTTCTCAAATTAGACGCTCCATCTCCTGACTTTAGGCATTTTCACTAGCAGTCCTCATATATGGAATACTTTTCCTCCTCATCTCCCTTCCTAGCTTACCAGGTTTCCTTCAAGTCCCAGCTAAAACCCCATCTTCAGTAAGAAGACTTTCTTAATAGAAGCATAAAAAGGTAAACAGGAAAAAGAAAACATAATAAATTTAATAATTGTTAATATTCCTACATGGCAAGATAATATTTATAACTCTTAAAAACTTTATCATTATTAGAGCAATTAGAAGGAGTATACATAGAGGGTGTGAGTGTACTATAATGTGATACTATCCAAAAACACCAAACCAAAACAAAAAACATAAATAAGGGGTAAGAAAGAAGATTGCACAGGGAGAAGAGGGAAGGGAGAGATAGAATGGGGTAAATTATCTTGCATAAAAGAAGCACAAAAGCACTATTACTGAGGAGGGACGATTGGAGGGTGGGGTAGACAACAGTTGAATCTTACTCTAGCCAGAATCAGCTCAAAGAAGGAATAGTATATACATTCATTTGGATATAGACATCTATCCTACCCTATAGAGAAGTAAAAAGGGATGGAGATAAGAGAAGGAGGCTGAGATTGATATAAAGAGGGGCACATTGGGGGAGGTGGTGATCAGAAGTAAAGCACTTGTGAGGAGGGACAACGTGAAAGGTGAGAGAGAGAGAAGAATAAACAAAGGGAAAAATAGGATGGAAGGAAATACACAGTTGTAACTATAAATGTAAATGGGATGACTTTATTCATAGAATGGAAGTAGATAACAGAATGGATTAAAAACTACAATCCTACAATATACTGTTTACAAGAAACATTTCTGAAGCACAGAGACACACACAGAGTAAGGGTAATGGGCTAGAGCAGAATCCAGTGCTCCAGCTGAAGTTAAAAGGCAGGGATAGCAATCATGATCTCAGACAAGGCAAAAGCAAAAATAGATCTAATTAAAAGAAATAAGGAAGGAAACTGTATCTAGCTAAAAGGTACCATAGACAATGAAGTAACATCAATATTACACATACACACACACACACACACACACACACACACACACACACACACACACACACACACACACCCCAAATGGTATAGCAGCTAAATTTTTAAAGAAGCTAAGTGAGTTACAGCAGGAAATAGTAGAACTATGCTGGTGGGGAAACTTTACTTTTCCCTCTCAGAAATAGGTAATTCTAAAAAATAATAATAATAAAGAAGTTAGGAAGATGAATAAACTTTAGAAAAATAGATATGATAGACCTCTGGAGAAAATTGAATGGGAATAGAAAGGATTATACCTTTCTCTGTGGTACATGGCACCTACACAAAAATTGACCATGTGTTAGGGCATAAAAACCTCATAACCAAATGCAGAAAAGCAGAAATATTAAATGCATCCTTTTCAGATCCCAATGCAATTAAAATGTGTTCAATAAAGAACAGTGGAAAGAGATTAAAAATTAATTGGAAACTAAATAATCTAATCCTAAAGAATAAATGGATCAAAGAACAAATCATAGAAACAATCAATAATTTCATTATAGAGAATAACAACAATGAGATAAATACCAAAATTAATGGGATGCTACCAAAGCAATATTTAGGGGAATTTTTATATCTCTAAATAGCTCTATCAATAAAATAGAGAAGGAGCAAATCAATGAATTGATCATGCAACTAAAAAAAAATAGGAAAAGAATGAATTAAAAATACCCAATTAAACATTAAATTGGAAATCCTGAAAATTAAAGAAGAGAATAAAATTGAAAGTAAGAAAACCATTGAACTAACTAATCAATAAAAGTAGGAGCTGGTTTTATGGGAAAAAAACAAATTAACCCATTGGTTAACTTGATTTTTAAAAAAGGGAAGAAGAAAACCAAATTACCAGTATCAAACATGAAAGGGATGAATTCACCACCAAAGAATAGGAATTTAAAACAATTATTAGGGGCAATTTTGCCCAATTATATGCCAATAAGTGGCAATCTAAGTGAAATAGGTAAAGATTTACAAAAATATAAATTTCTCAGATTAACAAAAGAGGAAATAGAATATTTAAATAACCCTATCTTAGAAAAAGAAATTGAACAAGCCATCGATGAACTCTCTAACAAAGAAGTGAATTCTACCAAGCATTTAAAGAACAATTAATCCCAATGCTATATAAACCATTTTGAAAAATAGGTGAAGACAACATGACTATTATGGAAGTGTTTTGCATGACTACACATGTATAATCTGTATCGAGTTGCTTGCCTCCTCAATGAGGGTGGATAGGGAGGGAGGAAGGAAGAAAACTTGAAACACAAAGTTTTAAAAACAAATGTTAAAAAAAAGTATTTTCACATGCAACTGGGAAATAAGATATACAGGAAATGGGGTATAGAAATCTATCCTGCCCTACAGGAAAATTAAAAGGGGAAGGGGATAAGAGAAGGGGGAGAGAGATAGAAAGGAAGGCAGATTAGGGGAAGGGGTATTCAGAATGCATGCCATCTTGGGGTGGGGGGTGGGATGAGATGGGGAGAAAATTTGGAACTCAAAATCTTGTGGAAGTGAATGTTGAAAACTAAAAATTAATAAATTAATTTTAAAAAGACAAAAAAAGATAGGTGAAGAAAGAGTCCTGCAAATTCCCTTTATGACACAAATATGGTGCTGATACCTAAAACAGGAAGAGTGAAAACAGAGAAAGAAAACTATAGACCAATTTTTCTCATGAATATTGATGAAAAAATTTAAAATACTAACAAGGAGATTACAGCAGTATATCACAAGGGATTTATACCAGGAATGCTGGGCTGGTTCAATATTAAGAAAACTATCAGTATAATTGACCATATCAGTAACAAAATCAACAGAAATCATTTTTATCTCAATAGATGCAGAAAAAGTCTTTGATGAAATACAAAGCCTATTCCTATTAAAAACACTAGACAGCATAAGAACAAAGAGAACTTTCCTTAAAATAAGAAATATCTACCTAAACAATCAGCAAGCATAATCTGTAATGGGGATAAATTAGAAGCCTTCTTAGTGAGATTAGGGGTGCAGCAAGATGCCCATTATCATCACTATTTTTCAGTATTGTACTAGAAATGCTAGCTATAACAATAAGAGAAGAATAAGAAATTGAAGGAATTAGAATAGGCAATGAGGAAATAAATTATCATTCTTTGTAGATGATATGATAGTGTACTTAGAGAATCAACTAAAAAAGCTAGCGGAAAAATTAACAATTTTAGCAAAGCTGCAGGATATAAAATAAACCTATATAAATCATCAGCATTTCTATACATTACCAACAAAGTCCAGCAGCAAGAGATATAGAAATTCCATTTAAAATAACTGTAGACAATATGAAATACTTGAGACTCTACCTACCAAAACAAAACCAGGAATTATATGAACACAATTATAAAATACTTCTCACACAAATAAAGTCAGATCTAAACAACTAGAAAAATATTAATTGCTAATGAGTGGGCCAAGCCAATATGAAAAAAATGACAATACTGATTGTTGTGCTTCGTTCTCAAAGAGGACCAAAATGATATCACTCTGCCAGAGTCAAGTTTCAGTGTGCCCGACCATGGCTGATCAGATCAATACGAGCTTGGAATGTTCTACTGCAGGTTGGGCACAAATAGTCTGTGTGAACATTTGGGGTGGATTCTCTAAGTTTGCATAACTTGCATTTCTTTTGAGCTATTTCAATTCTGCTTCACCCATAGAGCACAGCACCTTCTCTGATGTGGGCATGCCATGCTAAGTGGTCCTGTGCCAGGGTTTCCTATGTCACACAATCAATTCCAAAGTTCTTAAGAGAGACATAGAGTCCTTGTACTGCTTCTTCTTACCACCATGTGAATGCTTGCCTTGTGTGAGTTCTCCATAAAATAGTCTTTCTAGCAAACTTACATTTTGCATTCGAACAATGTGGCCAGCCCGTTGGAGTTGCGCTCTGAAACAGAGTTTGAATGCTTGGCAGTTTAGTTTGAGAAAGGACTTCAGTAAAAAAAAATAAAAACAAATAAATAAATAACAGAGAAAGGACCTCAGTGTGTGATATCTTATCCTGCCAAGTGATCTTCAGAATCTTCCTAAAACAATTCAAAAGGCAGTGATTCAGTTTCCTGGCATGGTGTTGGTATACTGTCCAGGTTTCACAGGCATACAGCAATGAGGTCAGCACAATGGCTCTGTAAAGCTTCAGTTTGGTAGTCAGTTTAATACCTCTTCTCTCCCCCACTTTCCTTCGGAGCTTCCCTAATACTGAGCTAGCTCTGGCAATGCATGCGTTAACCTCATATATATGGTACTTATTCAGTACCATACCAATGAAACTACCAAAACATTATTTTATAGAGCTAGAAAAAAATAATAAAATTTATCTGGAAGAACAAAAGGTCAAGAATATCAAGGGAATCAATGGAAAAAAATGTGAAGAAAGGTAGCCTAGCTGTACCAGACCTCAAATTATATTATAAAATGGTAGTCATCAAAACAATCTGGTACTGGCTAAGAAATAGAGTGGTAGATCAATGTGGTACGCAATACATAATAATAAATGACCATAGCAATCTAATGTTTGATAAACCCAAAGACCCAAGCTTTTGGGACAAAAACTCATTATTTGACAAAAACTGCTGGGAAGACTGGAAAACAGTGTGGCAGAAACTAGGTATAAAAAAAAAAGAAAATTGAGGGGAAATTTTTACAGTAAGTATTTCTGATAAAGGCCTAATTTCTCAAATATATAGAGAAATAAATCAAATTTACAAGAATACAAGCCATTCCCCAAATGATAAATGGTCAAAGGATATGAACAGGCAGTTTTCAGACAAATCAAAGCCATCTATAGTTATATGAAAAAATGCTCTAAATACTATTGATTAAGAGGTATCACATCTATCAAATTAGATAATATGATAGAAAAGGAAAATGATAAATGTTGGAGGGGATGTGGGAAAACTGGGATATTAATGCACTATTGGTGGAATTTTGAGTGATCCAGCCATTCTAGAGAGCAATTTGGAACCATGCCCAAAGGGCTATAAAACCCTTTGATCCACCAATACCACTACTAGGTTTATATCCCAAAGAAATTTTTAAAAAAAAAGGGAAAAGAACTTATTTATTTCAGCTGTGTCCAACTCTTCATGACCCCATTTGGGGTTTTCTTGGCAGAAACACTGGAGTGGTTTGTCATTTCCTTCTCCAGCTCATTTTACAGATGAGGAAACTGAGGTAAACAAGGTTAAGTGACTTGCTCAAATAGCTAGTTAGTATCTGAGACCAGATTTGAACTTAGGAATATGAGTGAGTCTTCCTGACTCTAGGTCCAATGCTTTATCCACTGTGCCACCTAACTGCCCTAGGGACTCTGTATACTACACTAAGGAGAACTCCATGTACATCCTTCCCCCCCCCGCCCCCAATTCTGCCTCATTCATGTGATACTTTGTAATGATTTTCTAGACATCTCATACCTTTGCTTTCTTCAACTAAACTACAAATCCCCTAAAGCCAGGGAGAGTGCCTTTTTTTTTTTTTTTATCATCGCTCACAGCAATCATCAGTACACAGGGTATTTAATTAACAAATGAAGGAGGGAGGAAGACAGACTTGGAGAGAAGCCGTGGCATGCTGGGCACTCAGACTTGGTGTTCTTCTCCTTCTAAAGGTGGCTGAGGCCATGGAAATCATGTTGATCGCTGTTGTGTCTCCTGTCATCCGCTGTGAATGGCATCTAGAGAACTGGCAAGTGGCTTTGGTGACCACAGTGAGTAGCCACTCTCCATGCTATGAATGTATGGGAAGCAGGTGCTCAGGGCTTCTGCATACCATCTCCTTACCTTACCCCAGCTATGAGCTCCAACACTGAGAATTCTAGAACCTGGTCATTTATGAGCAATTCTTATAAACCAAATTTCTAACAATTTCTATCTAGTTTATTCAATAGGTTTGCTTATTTATTTTATACACTTAGTCTTAGAGTAGAGTGTTACACTGCTACTTCTTAATGGATCTCTAAACCTGTATAAACCCTTCGCTTCAACAGGCCTTCATGATCCGTTACAATTCCAATTTAACCACTTGTTTGTCATAAATGATGCCATAGGTTGGCTTTGGTCTGATGAAACCAGTACCCTGTGTACATAGGCACTTGATAAATTTTTTTTTTTTTGAATGAATAAAACCATGTAATGTGTTTCTGAATATTTCAAGGGAGATTTTGAATATGCAGCTTATCTCATCCTTATTTAAGTATGATTCTCCTCTGTACTTGGTGCCCTGTTTTCTTCCTGTTTTTTTCCCCTCCCAATCACTGTGTGTTCTAGATCTTCTGATCTTTGGCCTTGTGATAGTAAATCTATTTGCTACACTAGCAACCTTGTCAGCAGAAACTGCCCACAATAATTCAGGCCAAAGACCATTAGCAACTGGTCATGTTTCCACTCCTCATTCTTCCCAGTGTCCCTAATCCTAAAGTTCTGCAACTGTAAGAGTTTGTTTTCTATTCAATTTGTTGCATTGTTCTACGACATACTATCACTTTAAACTTTCTAACTGACCCAGATTTCTAGATATTTCCCATTTCTAAGTGCAGATAAAGGCCACCTAGCTAGAAAGGTCTGTGTAAGTGTGTATGCAGGCAGGTGTAATTGCTATCCAAGTACTATCAACATCATTCATGTTGCTTTCCTTGCAAGTTTTTTTTTTTTTTGGTGATGGCAGTCGGGGTTAAGTGACTTACCCAGGGTCACACAGCTAGTGTTATGTGTCTGAAGATGTGTTTAACAGCCTCAGGTCCTCTTGACTCCAAGGCCAGAGCTCTATTCACTGTGCCACCTAGCAAGTTCTTATCGCAGTGTTTGTATAAAGTCACAGTTAGGCCAGGGGTTCTTATGAGGGGGGGTATGGACTTCTTAATCTATAGATAGATTTCAGGGGCGCATGAATTTGAATGAAAAAAATCTTTATTTCAATATAACTGCTTTCTTCTATGTATTTTACTTTGTACATTTAAAGACATGGTTCTGAGACAGAGTCCCTAGGTTTCACCACCTTGCCTGGGGAATTCATGATAGAAAAAAAAAGATTAGGAGCCCTGGATTATACTGTTCATAAGAAAATATATCTTTTCATGTGTATTTGTTTTTTAAAGTTATTCTTAATGATCTGTGTTATTTAAAATTTACTTAAGTTCATATAATATATTTGCTATTTATATCAGAAATGCATGATACTCTGGGTGAGTGAGCACCCTGCTGCCACGTTTTGGCAGCATACCTTAAGTTGCAGTAAGCAGGGGTCACCAAAATCCACTAAACTCTTATGTTCCAAAATAGCAAACTAGGTCACAAAGAATCCACTCTGTGACATTCCCTTTTTCACCTCCATTAGTTCCTGCTTTCTTCTATTTAGAGAAGGTGTGTGGATGCTTAAGGTGATAAATGAGCATATTTTAGATTGTGGTTTAAATAATATTTTCTCTCACCTCCATAGATGGTGTTTTTTGGCTACATGGTATTCAGCATCCTATTTGGCCTCTTAGCTGACAGATATGGTCGCTGGAAGGTATGTTAAACCTGAGCATCTCATGTGGAGTTTCTTGTTTCCATTATATATATTTTTTAATTTATAGTTTTATTTTCAGTTCCAAATTCTTTTCTTCCCCACCTGATCCCTCATCTATTGAGAAGGCAAGAAAAATAAAACCCATTACAAATATGTGTAGTCATGCAAAACAAATTTCCACATTAGCTATGTCCATAAAAAAGCAAGCAAAAGAAAGAGAAGTAAATATACTTCAGTCTGCACTCTGAGTCTTTCAGCTCTTTATCCAGAGGTGTTTCATCATGAGTCTTGTGGAATTGTAGCTGGTCATTGCATTGATCAGTTCTTAGTTTTTTCAAAAGTTTTTTTTACCTTTACCATATTTCTGTTGCCATAGATTTTGTTCTGGTTCTGCTAACTTCACCTTGCATCAGGTCATATAAGTTTTCAAGGTTTTTCTGAAAGCATCTCCTTCATCATTTCATATAGCACGATAATCTTCCATCACATTCCTATGCCATAACTTTCTTAGTCATCATCTAATCGATGGGCATCCCCTAAGTTTCTAATTCTTTGCCACTGCAAAAAAGAACTGCTGTCAATATATTTGTACATATGTACACATTGTACACAAATATGTTTGTAAATATGAACATACTCACATAAACGTATTTGTATACATGCACATGCTATACACAAGCATATCTATACACAATTTTACATTGTACATAAATATATTTGTACATATATGGTACATAAGTGTATTTGTGCATGTTTACATATGGTACATAAATATATTTGTATATATGTACATAAGGGTCCTTTTCCTCTTTCTTAATCTCTTTGCGATATAGACCTAGTGGCTATATTGCTGAGTCAAAGGATATACATAGTTTAATAGCTTTTGGGGCATAGTTTTTTTTTTTTGTGAAGCAATTGTGGTTAAGTGACTTGCTAGTCACACAGCTAGTATCAAGTGTCTGAGGCTGGATTTGAACTTGGGTCTCCTGACTCCCTGGCCAGTGCTCTATCCACTGTGCCACCTGGCTGCCTCAGGGCATAGTTCTTAATTGCTTTCCAGAGTGGTTGAATTGATTCACAGCCCCACCAGCAAAGCATTAGTGTGACTATTTCCCCATATCCTCCACAGCATTCTTGATTTTTTTTGTCATCTTAGCCAATCTGTTGGTATGAGGTCATACCTCAGAGTTTTAATTTGCTCTTTAAAAAATACTTTTTAATTTTTTCTCTCCAATCACATGTAAAAACAATTTTTAAACTTTTTTTTAAAAAGTTTTGCATTCTAAATTCTGTTCCTCCTTCTCTTTCCTCCCTCTCCCTGAAACAGTAAGCAGTCTAGTATAGATTATATGTGTAATTATGTAAAACATTTCCATATTAGTAATTTTGTGCAAGAAGATTTCAACAAAACAGAAAAAAGAAAGTGAAAAATAGCGTGTTTCAGTCTATTCAGATAACATCATTTCTTTGGAGAAAGAGAGCAAGTTCCATCATGAGTCCTTTGGGATTGTCATGGATCATTGTATTGCTGAGAATAGGCTTCCTATCCATCTGTGTATCACAGCAACTGTGAATCTGGATAACGTGTGTTCTTTGTCCACTTGGTTTTTCCTCTGTGGATTATTAAGGGGCCCTATGGTATCTCTAGTAAGAAAGTTTGATGTCAATACAAAAAAATGTCATCTGAAAGTAGGAGCATGTGGATAACCTTGATATTTTACAGCAGAAATCCTCTTGTATTTCAATTTTGTCCAGGACATCTTGAACTCTCTGACACTGTCTTATGTCAACCTCAATCTTGATAATCAGAGGACCATTAAACAATGTTATCTCTGTCATTGTGTCTAATAACAAATCCTGTAAGGTCTTAATATGTACATAAGAAACTTGTTGGAGTTAGCTTTAGCAATGAGAAGAAAAAAATTGAAGATATTAGAATAGGCAAAGAAGAAACAAAGCTATCACTCTTTGCAGATGATATGATGATATGCTTAAAGAATCCTAGAGAATCAAGTAAAAAACTACTTGAAATAATAAACAACTTTAGCAAAGTTGCAGGCTATAAAATACACCCACATGAGCCATCACCATTTCTATATGTTACCAACAAAGCCCAACAGCAAGATATAGAAAGAGAAATTCCATTTAAAGTTACAGTAGACATTATAAAATATTTAGGAGTCTACCCATGGAAACAAACCCAGGAACTCTATGAACACAATTACAAAACACTTTTCACACAAATAAAGTCAGATCTAAATAATTGGAAAAAACATCAGTTGCTCATGGGTAGGCCAAGCTAATATAATAAAAATGACAATTTTACCCAAGCTAATTTACTTATTCAGTGCCATACCAATCAAACTACTAAAATATTATTTTATAGAGCTAGAAAAAATAACGAGATTCATTTGGAATAACAAAAGGTCCAGAATATCGAAGGAACTAATGAAAAGAAATGCAAGAGAATGTGGCCTAGCCATTCCAGATCTTAAATTGTATTATGAAGCAGCAATCATCAAAACTACTTGGTGCTGGCCAAGAAATAGAGTGGTGAATCAATGGAATAGGTTAGGTATGCAAGACACAGTAGTCAATGACTATAGTGATCTGCTATTTGATGTAAAGGCTGTTACTATAAGCAAACTGGGAGAGCAAGGAATAGTTTACCTACCAGATTTATGGAGAATAGAAGAATTCATGACCAAGCTAGAGACAGAGAACATTATGAAACGCAAAATGGATAATTTTGGTTACATTAAATTGAAAAGTTTTTGCACAAAGTAATTGCAACCAAGATTAGAAAGAAAGTAGAAAATTGGGAAAGAATTTTTACAACCAGTGTCTCTGGTAAGGGCCTTATTTCTAAAATATACAGAGAATTAAGTCAAATTTATAAGAATACAAGTCATTCCCCACTTGATTAAATGGTCAAAAGATGTGAGTAGGCAGTTTTCAGGTGAAGAAATTAAAGCCATCTATAGTCATATGAAAAAAAAATGCCCTAAATCACTATTGATTAGAGAAATGTAAATCAAAACAACCCTGAGGTACCACACCACACCTATCAGATTGGCCAACATGACAAAACTGGAAAATGATAAATGTTGGAGAAGATGTGGGGAAAATAGGAACACTACTGCATTCTTGGTGCTTTGTAGAATTAAAAGCTTTTTTTTTTAATGAACAGATAATAAACAGAGGAGATCTTATATTCTTTGTGCCTCTCAATCAGCCATGTACGTGTGGCTGAGAAATCTGATCTGCCGTACAAAATTGTCTGTGAGATTCTATCATTTCCTTTAGGATATTTTCATCAAGGATACCCTTGATAGAGGTGAATACCATTCACACAAAGATTTTTATAGAGATGTGAATTGGGCTATGGGTTGAGAGAGCTGTTAATGATTTCTTTTAGCTTAAAATCTGTGAACCAAGGGAAGCTGAATATGGTCACACAAGAGGTGGAAAGATTAAGCATCGACATCTTAGATATCAGTGGAATTAAATGAATGGGCATAGGTGAATTTAATTCAGGTGATCACTACATATACAACTGTAGGCAAGTAACCCTTAGAAGAAATGGAGTAGCCCTAAGTTGATAAAAGGGCAAGAAAAACAGTACTGGGCTATAATCTCAAAAAATGACGGAATGATATCTGTTCGAATCCAAGGCACACCATTCAATATCATAGTAATACAAGTATATATTCCAATCATTGTTGCAAAAGAGGCCAAAGTTGATCAATTGAAGACCTACAAGGTCTTTTAGAAATAACACCCCCCCCCAAAAAAAAGATGTCACATTTATCATGGGGGATTGGAATGCTGAAGTAGGAAATCAAAAAATAACTGGAATAACAGGCAAGTTTGCGCTTGGAATACAAAATAAAGCAGGGCAGAGACTAAGAGTTTTGTCAAGATAACTTGTTGGTCATAGCAAACATTCTCTTTTCTTTTTTAAAATTAATTAATTAATTAATTTTTAGTTTTCAACATTCACTTCCATAAGCTTTTCAATTTTCAATTTTCCCCTTTCCTCCTTCCCCTCCCCCTCCCCCTTCCCCAAGATGGCATGCAATCTGATATAGGTTCTACATACACATTCATATTAAACATATTTTCACCTTAGTCATGTTGTGAAGAATGAGAACCAATAGGAGGAACCACTAGAAAAAAAAAACAAAAACAACAACAAAGAGAGCAAATAGTCTGCTTCCATCTGCATTCAGACTCCATGGTTCTTTCTTTGGCTGTCGACAGCATTTTCCATCATGAGTCTTTTGGAGTTGTCTTAGATCCTTACGTTGCTGTTACTGTGTACAATGTTCTCCAGATCTGCTCACTTCACTCAGCATCAGTTTGTATAAGTCTTACCATGTGCCAGGTACTCTGCAAAGTGCTTTACAACTATTATTTTTTAAAATAATTAATGTATTTTTAGTTTTCAACATTCACTTCCATAAGATTTCGCATTTTAAATTTTTCTCCCCCCTCTTCCCCCTCCCAAGATGGCGTGCAATCTGATATAGGCTCTACTTATATATTCATATTAAGCATATTTTCCCATTAGTCATGATGTAAAGAACAAATTTTTTGATGAAGGTGAAAGAAGAAAGTATAGATTTGGCTTGAAACTTAATATAAAAAACCTAAAATCATGGTAACTGGTCCCATCACTTCCTGGCCAATAGAGAGAGAAGAAATGGAAGCAATGTCAGATTTTATATTCTTGGTCTCAAAGATCACTGAAGATGGCAACTGTAGCCATTAAAAGAGCATTAAAAGATGCTCCTTGAAAAGAAAGCTATAGCAAATCCAGAAAGCATGTTAAAAAGCAGAAACATCACCTTGCCAACAAACGTCTGTATAGTCAAAGCTATGGTTTTTCCAGCAGCAACAAATGAGAGTGAGAGTTAGACTATAAGGAAAACTGAGTGCTGCAGGATTGATGCTTTCAAATTGTGATGCTGGAGAAGACTTTTGAGAGTCCCTTGGATAGCAAGGAAATACTTAAAGGACTTAATTCAGACTATTCTTTGGAAGGTCAAATACTGAAGCTGAAACAAATACTTTGGCCACATAATGAAAAGACAGGTCTCATTGGAAAAGACCCTGTTGTTAGAAAAGATTGAAAGCAAAAGGAAAAGGGGATGGTTGGAGGATAAGATGGATAAATAGTATCATGGAAGCAGGGAATGTGAGGTTGGATAGATTTTGGGAGTCAGTGGAAGATGGAAGGGCCTGGTGTGCTATGGTTCATGAGGTCTCACAAAGAGTCAGACTTGACTGAACGACAAATGATTTCATTGTCTGCTGACAGCTACATAATTCACGATCATTTCCATTCTTTTGTAATTTTCCACACATAAAATATCTTGAAAATCGATCAATGAATGCCTTTAAAACTGTGTTGCCTCCAGTATGGATTTAAGCTGTGCATCGGTCAGGTCCAGTAATTCTTCTTGACTTTGTCTTTTGAAGAGCCATTTCTACTTCCTGACATAGCACATCGGGCACTAGGTCTAAATGTGTCTAAATGTGGTTTGGGGGTTTCATTTCTATTGATGAAAATAGATTACTAAAAGAACACTGGCAGATCTGTTGTGTTCTCTGTCTATTTGTTGATCTTCCAGTTGCATTCTTAAATAATAATAAGATAACTATATAGCATTTTAATGTTTGAAATGTGCTTTCTGTATATTATTAATCCTCACAACTATGTGAGGTAAGTGCTAATATTATCCCTATTTTACAGATTAGGAAACTGAGGCTCAGCGAGTCTAATTGATTTATACAGGGTCATGTAGCTAGCAAATGAATGAGGCAGTGTTTGAATTTAGGTTGAATTTGCTGACTCCAAGTCTATGATTCTATTCATTATGTCTCTTAGTTGTATTCTAGGATAATCTGTATTAGTTGGATCTTACGTTAAGCTTCTTACAAATTTATTTTTCCCTCTGCTTCTCTTTGCTGTTTTATGAGTCAGTATAGTTATAATTTTCTATTGTCCTTTTACCATCATGTTTTGCATATGAGCTTGTACTCTAACATAGCATTGCTTTTGCTTGGTAGCAGTCTTTGGTGAGGAGATTAATGACGATGAGTCAGTATCTTAACATTTGTCTGTTTTCCACTTTCAGAGTCAGTAACTTGTTTGAATAAATCAGATTAGAGCTGTTATCATCTTCTCTTATTTTTATCCTCCCCCCCATTAGTATAAATTAGTATCTTTTCTCTAACTCATCTAGGATCTGACTATACACAGGTAAACCAATTCAAAAATGGTTCCCATGTTGGTAACCAGTCATTTCTTCTTTATTACGATTTGATCTATATCATTTGCCACGGCATTCAAGGCTTATGACAACACCTTCAAACTCTTCTTAGAGAAAATATTCGTGATACGCTTGTAAGGCTCCTGAATAATTTGTAAACCTTTAACTTCTTTTGTTATTTAATCCTGAGGCATATTTTCCAATTTATTTTTCACCATCCTCTTGTCTGCCCATCTTTACAATGAAGTCCAAGATCTAAGTTGGGAAGACTTTGTGAAGTTCCCTGTACTATTTCTCTACCACCTTATTTTCTTAAACAGGTATTAGCACATAAGCTTCAATTATCTTCATGGTAATATTTTGGCTTATGTTCATCATAAGCATTGTAAAGCAAGTTGGCCAAATATGCTTATGAGAAGATCGAATGCAATAGCTCCTTTATTTGTCTTTCTGTGGAAGACCTCAGACACAGCCTTCCATTCATGCTCAGCTTCTTAATGTCTCCTAGTCTCACTTTTAGTGAGATTAAAATGGATGTTGTTTACTTCTTCCAGCCAGTTATCAACTTGTTGGTCATTGGATAAAGATTTCACATTTTGATGACCAGCAGTCATATCACTCTTTGTAAGTGGTCTAAAAATAAAGTGATTTTTGCATCCTCTACCTTCCTTCCACCACTGTCACAGAAAGTGGAAAGGGTCCAAACTGGACTGAGGGCCATTTTGTACTTTTTATCTATTTTGAGGATCGCCATGACCATAGAAGTTATAACCTGGAAGCCACACTATTGGTGATATCTTTCCCCACTTAACTTGATTGCTCTTTGACATTTGACACATGCTGTCATCAGGACCATACTCAAAGTTTTTGCTCTACTGGCCAAAGCCTTCAAAAATTCAGAGTGTTATATAGCTAGTAATCCTTTATGAAAATCCTGAGTTCTTTCCAACTATACTTGTAGAGTATAAGCTCTGACAGTTTCTAAGAGTCAAAACCCAAACTTGGTGATGGATTGTGTGCCTGGTATCCAAGCACCAGAAAGTCAAGCTAAGTTCTTGGAACATAGAAGGTTACCAGCAGGTGGAGACTTCTTCCCACCCACAGCAATTCATGAAGATCATTAATGGAAACGTGGAAAGTTTAAGACCTTCATCTAGGGAGGGAGTATCTAATACATAAAGTTTAGCTACAGTGTGGTGAGATCATGGCTATACTAAATTAAGAGGTGTTATAATTGTTATTTGATCCTCTAAGATATCAAAAGCTGCAGAGATATAATGAAGAGAAAGATGACCTGGGTTTTAGTTTTTGATCTACCATTAATTTGTTTTGTGATGATAGACCCCAGTCACTTGTCTCTGGTGAATCATTTTACCTTTTATACTCTAATTCCTCATGTATAAAAAGATGGACTTAAACTAGAGGTCTCCAGGGTCCCTTTCAAATGAAATTTCTATACCAAATGCCTGCCTCTCTGAAAGCATCCAGATGTTAAACATTTTATGCACACTGTCAGAAAATGAATTTGTACATCTGAACTGAATTCACTAATAATTTCTTTTTTTTGTTTGTTTCTTTATGTTTTGCCTTCAGATTTTGCTGATCTCTTTCCTCTGGGGAGCATATTTTTCCCTCTTGACCTCCTTTTCCCCATCATACATCTGGTTTGTCTTTTTGCGGACTATGGTGGGCTGTGGTGTGTCGGGACACGCACAAGGGTAAATATTTCATTTCTACCACATCAGGGAAAATGTCCATTTGTAAACATGCTAGTGTTAATGATGATCAGCAATGATGAAATTGATTCATTCTGCCTCAATTATACTTTGTTTCTCAGATTTCAAATTTCCTTTTTTGAAAGAAAAAACTAAAAGAAATGGCCCATAAGCATGTGCTTAGGGGGTAGCAAAGGAGAATAATCCCTTCTACAAGAAATGTAGCTTGGGCTATATTTAAGTCTGAACATCACAGGCTCTGACCTTCTTAAAAGCTGGCCCACCATCATCAGGGGAGGCATGGTGTATGATTGACCCACACATGCAGGGATTGGGGCTTTCCTGCTACCCAGTGGTACATTCTTGCTAATCTCAAGTTTAACCTTGCTTCCTCTTCTCCAGATGGTCCTTGCTTGAACTTGTGATTTCTCTGCCTCTATCAAAGCAACTGCCCATTCCAGTGTGGCCTCTCCTAAATTCCTACCTGAATATTTGCTGATCTATTCAAACTCCACAAATGTTACATTTCATATCAGAGAGTCAATTTCGGCAAATATTTTCGAGAGGCAATGTAGGATAAGTAACACAGTGTATAAAGTGCTGACCCCAGAGTCAGGAAAGCTTGGGTTCAAATCTGGCATCATACACTTATTAGCTACGGGACTCTGGGCAAGTAACTTTTTGCCTGCCTCAGTTTCCTCTTCTATAAAATGGAGATAACAATAGTATGTACCTCCCAAGGTTGTTATAAGGATAAAATGAAATAATATTTGTAAAGTGCTTTGCAATCCTTCAAGCCAGGGGTGTGCTGGATCCAGCTCTTACCGGCTCTTCAGAGCCAAATGTTAACTTTTCAGTGTGAGCATTTACACTTTGGAAACTGGTGAACGGTACAAAGCAGGGCCTGCTTTATTGTTTTGTTGAGTCTCTGAACTGAAGCAGGTGATGGAGACATTGTTAATCATGCAATTAAATCTAAGTGTGTTGTGTTTTCAGAGAGCTGGTTGTTAAATATTTGCCAACACACCTCTACTTGAAGCTCTATTATGCTATTATTATTCATTATTAAGGCTATGATGATGATGCCCTGGATAGGGGGTTAGAAGACCTGAGTACTTACTGTTCCCATCTTTCCCTTTTTACTAGCTGTGTGACCTTGAGCAAGTCACTAGAATCCTGATTCTCCATTTCCTTATTCACTAAATAGGTATACCTACCCTATGTCTATCTCACATGGTTGTTATGTAAATGTAAGGTGATGGGTTTATTGCTAATAATATCATCATTGTTTACCAATAACATTAAAGTTGAGTGTTTAAATTGAATAAATAACATTGAGAACAAAAGTTACAAAGAAATAGATTGCTTGACTTAACAAATTTTACTTCCCTACTCTAGGCAATAGTCAGTATTAGGACATGTAACAGTTATTGATATATTAGTAATTGATATATTGATACATCAACAATTTTGATATATACCTCTTGATTTCTCTGGGATTTGGTAGCCCCTTTTGTGAAGAAAAATGTAAAAAAAATCAGAATTTGCTGAATACAAAATCCTTTTTTATTTTCTTTTTAGACTCATCATAAAAACAGAATTTTTGCCCACAAAATACAGAGGTTACATGCTGCCCTTATCTCAGGTAAAGTTAAGTAGAAATTCTATAGAAATTGAAGGCAGGGAAGACTTACTTGAGTGGAGACTGTTGAATTTTTGTCTTTGTATACCTTGTGCCTAGGTCAGTGCCTTGCTAGGCATACAGTAGGTGCTTAATAATTTTTAAAAAATTAATATCACATAAACGGCATTTTATCATTTCAGAGCCTCTCTAGCCCAACCCATACCTCAATAGATCCTTTGATGTAAAGTGAAAAGATATAAATTGCATGCATGAAGTAAAAAGCAACTAGTCCTGATTTGCATTGCATTCTTTTTTGTCTGTCATAGAAATGTTTTATTTGGTTAATGAATAACAATGGACATATTTAAATCCAAATTAAAATCCAAAGTTGATTTTCTATCTTAAACTTGCCAAAGAAAAATATGGCTAGAGATGAAATGAACAATAATTACTATTCAAAATAAATTATATAATGCAAATCAGAGAAGTTATTTTCTGGCTGACTGACCAATGATTTAAAAAAAAAACTTGATTCATACTATTTCTGTGAAAATGTATCCATTAAACTAAAATTTAACTTATTTTCCTATTTCTTTTTAAAAAGTTTTTTTGCTGATGCTTCTTTTATATTAATGTCATTTCCCAACATTCCATCCCTACAAATACATCTCACTTCCCTTTGTAATGTAGAAATACAGTTAAGCAAAACAGATACTGACTGTATCTCTCAATGTATGCCTCATTCTGTACCCACAGCTTACCTCCTCTCTCCTGAAATGAGAGATTCCTTTTACCTTTAGTCCTCTGGAGTCAGGATTGGCCATTGCAGTGTTGTGCGTTCTGATAATTTTTTAATGTTGTTTTCCTTTTTGTTATTGTAGCCATTGCTCATAATTTTTTTTTTTGTTTCTGTTTACTCAGGTCAATCAAGTCTTCTTAGATTTCTCTGAATTCTTCTTCTTCACCTTTTTTTTAAGTAATTGGAGTTAAGTGACTTGCCCAGGGTCACACAGCTAGTAAGTGTCAAATATTTGGTCTAAGGCTGGATTTGAACTCAGGTCCTCCTGACTTCAGGGCCAGTGGTCTATCCACTGCGCCACCTAGCTGCCCCTTCCTTTTCTCCATTTTATGAGGCACGTTCCAATCCATTCACATGCCACATTTTCTTTGGCCATCCCCCAATCAATGTACACCCACTTTGTTTCCAGGGGTTTTTGTTTTTGTTTTTTGTTACTAAAAAAAGTACCACTCTAATTATTCATATATATAAGAGACCTTACTCTCTCTGTGTTTGGAGTATATGTCCAGTAGTGGTGTGGCTGGGTCAAAAGACACACAGTTCTGTCACTTTTTTTTTAAAGGATAGTTCTAATTTTTTAAATCAATAAACATTTATCAGCTGCTTACTATGTGCCTAGCACTGTGATAAATTATATCTGTGATATAACTTACTATGTGCCCGGCACTGTGATAAGCTATAATATAAGATATAAAGAAAGGCAAAAAACACGGTCTTTGCCTTCAAGAAAATAACATTCTAATGGAGGAGGCAAGATGTAAATAACTATGTATATAGAATATATGGGAAGGTAATCTTAGAATCTGAGGCAGCTAGGTGGCAGAGTGGAGAGAGAGCCGGGTTTGGAGTCAGGAAGATCTGAGTTTAAATACAGCCTCAAACACTTATTAACTGTGTGATCCTGCATAAGTCATTTAATCTGTCTGCCTTAGTTTCTTCCTGTGTAGAATGGGGATCAGATCACAGAGTGGTTGCAGTCTGTATCAGTGGAAAGAATAGCTAAAGAGAATGAAACCACAGATTGTTGGAAAATTCTTTGGATGAGGAAATTTGAGGCTCAGGAAGCCTCAATGTAATGGCAGAACTTGTACTATGACCTAGATCTCCTGATGCCTGGCCCTTAGTGCTGGAGACAGTATGTCAGGTTATCAAGCTGTTGATTACTGTTGACAGAGGGCTCTCAAAACCCCTAAGGACGTCACTGATGATTGGATTGCTCCTGTTGATAAAATTCTCAGACCAGATCTTTGGGAGAGAAAATGCTATAATTAATTAATTAAGCACCTTTGATTTCTGTTGTCTTTAACCCTTTTTATTTTTTCATTGATTAGGTTTTCTGGCTTGCTGGTTCTTTGCTAATCATCGGGTTGGCATCAGTGGTCAACCCAACCATTGGTTGGCGCTGGCTTATTCGTATTGCTTCCATTCCTGGCATCATACTCATCCTGGCCTTCAAGGTGAGGGTAGCTGTCTAGGTCACTAGGTTCTCAGCTGCTGCCAGACCAGCTACTTCATTACCCTTAAACACATTTCTCGTTCCTCTCATGCTTCACCAGCCCCTACCAATACCTAGAGTACTATGCTTATCCTCTCTATCCATTCATACCTACTGCCTCCTTTAAACTAGGATTCAGTACTATTTCCATTGGAAGCCTTCTCTGATTAACTGTACCTTACTCTGGCCTGTCCCTAATAAATCTCATCTGATCACTTATATCTGCAATACTTGGCTGCATAGATTTAGAGTAGAAAGGGATCATCATAGAGTTAAAGCTGAAAGGAAGCTAAGAGGCTATCTGGTCCAACTCTATTTTACAGATGAGGGAACTAAGTCCCAAAGAAGGTGATTTAGAATTGAGAAATTGCAGAAACATTCCTGTAGAAGATGGAATTTTACTTGGGTCTTGAAAGAAGTGAGGCAGGTCAGGAGGGGGAGATGAGGGAGAATTCCATGCATGAAGGACAGTCAATGAAAGTGCTTGTAGTCAGGACAGGGAATGTCTTGTTTGGGGAAACAGTAAAGAGGCATGACTTAGATGAAGGTCCAGTAAAGGGAGGCTTGGGAGTGATCAGACAGGTAGAAGAAGGAAAACCAAGAGGGTAAGAACTTGAAAATCTAGAAAGAAGACTGTATCAAGGAGAAGAGGGTGACTGACAGTGTCAAAGATTGCAGAGAGGTCAAGAAGGATGAAGACTGAGAAAAAGCCATTGGATTTGGCCATTAAGAGATCATTTGTAACTTTGGAGAGAACAGATTCAGTTGAAAGATTAGGTGGAAAGCCAGACCCATAGGGAGTTAAGATGAGAGTGAGAGAAGAGGAAGTGGAGACAGCCTTCTCAAAAAGTTTGGCAACAATTCTCAGCAATACAACAATCCAAGACAATCCCAAAGGACTAATAGTGAGACATACTATCCACCTCTAGCGAAGGAACTGATGTTGTTTGAATACAGACTGAAGGACTCTAGTTTTCACTTTCTTTGATTCTTTTTCTTTTATTCGAGTCTTCTTATACAAAATGACGAATATAGAAATGTTTTACATGATTGCCCACGTATAACCTATATCTGATTGTTTACTGTCTCAAGGAGTGGAGGAAGGGAGGGATAGAATTTGGAACTGAAAACTTTAAAAAATGTTTAAAAATTGTTTTAACATGTAATTGGGGGAAAAATAAAATATGTTTTTAAAAAGTTCAGCAACAAAAGGTATGAGAGAGATGGGATGATAGTAAGTGGGAATGGATGGATCAGGTGAGAGTTTTTTGAGGATGGGGGAGATAAGGGAATGTCTGTAGGCAGTAAGGAAGTAGCCAGTAGACATGAAGATAAGTGAGAGAGTAGGGAGGATAGTGGGGGGCAATTGGTTGGAGGAGACAGGTTGGCATGGGATCATTTGTGCATACAGAGAGGGTTGGCCTTGGGATGAAGGAAGAGATGAGGAAGAAGGGAGAAAAGGGAGCTCTTGACAAAAGAACTCAGTCTTTTTTTTTTTCCAGTAAAATAGGAGGCAAGGTGTTCTCCTTCTACACGAGACAAATTTCTTAAAATATTTAAAGACAACAATCATTCCCCCTTAAGCCTTCCTTTCTCGAAGTTAAGCATCTTTAGTAAAGTACCCTAAGGATATAGTCAATAAGAAAAAAAAGCCATCTGTTTGAAGATATTTTTAGTAGCATTGTTTGTCACTGGGGGAAAATTAACAAACTTTGAATCAGTCTAAATAAGTGATTCAATAAACTGTGGCATATCGAGGGAATGAAATACTAGAATGCAAATGAGATAACAAATATGAAATATATTGATTAGTGTGGAAAGACATAAAATAATGGGGAACAGAGGAAGCTGAAACTAGACAGTGTCTACACTGTTTAGAAGAAAATGATGGTTGAAGAAAATGGAAGGAAACATAGGAGGAGTAACTGATTAATTGATATGGCTATTTTTATTTATTTAAATTCATTTTCAAGTATAAATAGTTATAAATTTATATATTGATGTTTAAAGTTATTTTCACTACTTAGAAAAATAAACCTTAAATAACCTCATGTCTCCAGTTCCTTCAGCCATTCTTCATGACATGGTTTCTAAACCTGTAAGCATCTTACTCCCCTTAATTCGGTGTAAGACGAAGAGACAGCTCATCGGTGCTGAAAATATGGGGCCAAAATTTGAATGGTGCACTCCAGATGTGATGTGACATGTGCCAAGCACAGAGGGACTATCATTTCCCATGATTGGGACACTAGGCATGTGCTAATGCAGTCTAAGATATCATTAGCTCTTTTTACCAGCCATGTCATGACATTGATTCATATTCAGCTTTCTGTCAAGTGAACTGCTGCCAAGCCAGGTGTCCCCCATCTTTGGCTTGTACAGTTGAATTTAAAAAACCTAAATATTGGATTTTGTTTACTTCCTTTGCAGTTTATCTTTCTGGCTTCAGCCCAGCATTACAGCCTGTTGAGGTCATATTCAATAAAGCTTACTGCTGTCATTTAGTATAGTAGTTATCCCTGCCAGGCTTGTGCCATCTGGAAATTTGACTTGCCCTCCCACGTGCCTCTCTCTGGCTTTATTCTTTTCCTGTATCAGGAAACTCCTTAATGGAAAAGATCCACAAGAGACACTTTAATGATTTGGAAGGGAAAGTTCATTTTACATGGGGAAAATAGTCCTATTTCTTAATGATACAAAACAGATGATGGATGATGACCCTTTCTCACTGCAACATGTCTATCGGCAGTTCATTCCTGAATCGGCTCGATTTAATGTCTCCACTGGGAACACCCAGGCTGCTGTGGCTACTTTGGAGCGCATCGCCCGAATGAACCGATCAGTTATGCCAGAGGGAAAGCTGGTGGAACCTGCCTCTGTATGTGTTCAAGCTCAGTGTCTTCTCCCAAGTCTGACGTAGAGATTGCCTTGAAATGTGACCCAATTTGCACTGTCAGAAAGTTCACTGCCTTTTGGAATGGAATTATGAGAAAACATAACAATTGAGTCTATCCTAGACAATATGACTAATTCATCCTGCTGGAAAATTCCAGGGTCTGGATAGAGGGTAAAGAATTGAGGAGTTGGGGCTGTTAGGTGGCACAGTGGATAGAACTCTGGCCTTGGAATCAGAAGGACCTGAGTTCAAATCTGGCCTCAGACACTTGACACTTACTAGCTGTGTGACCCTAGGCAAGTCACTTAACCCCTATTGCCTTATCAAAAAGAAACAAAAAAAAAAGTTGAGGGGTTTTGTTTGGGGGGGGATGTTGTGTGTGTGAATCAGATTTGACTTTTCCTTATCTTTGTTTCCTAATACTGTCCCTAAGCAGTTTAAGACTTAATGTTATAGGAGAACCATTTTTTTTTTCTGACCAGAGTCAAGGTTTATTATTAAAGATTTGCCATATTGGCCAGATTCTTAAGGAATTGACATTTGTGAGCTATTGGCCAGGTTCTTAAGGAATCTGAGCCAAAGTCTTAATTTGTATCATTAGCTAATTTGAAGGTCTAAATGCTGACACTGAAAATTTACCATATTGTAATTTACCATATTGTCTCCCCCATTAGACTGTAAACTCCCTGAGGGCAGAGACTGTTTACCTTTTTTTTTTCCCTTTTTGGTGAGGCAATTGGGGTTAAGTGACTTGTCCAGGGTCACGCAACTAGTAAGTGTCAAGGGTCTGAGGCCAGTTTGAACTCGGGGTCCTCCTGACTCCAAGGCTGGAGCTCTATCCACTGTACCACCTAGCTGCCTCTGAGAGCCATTTTTTAATAAATGGAGTTCAGCATATTTGTAATCGTATCTGCTTGCCTCTGACAGAACTGATAGAAAAGTGGAAAATTCAGTCTGATTGTTTTGATTACTTTACACCAAACAATCTGACTAATTTTTTCATTAAATTGATTGACCAATTGGTTGTTTTGGTACTATGGAGATCTGGCTATGTGGGCTCCACTTACCCATAAAACAGACAAAGGTCATGTTTCCTCTTGGGCTTTGGCTCAAGCTAATAGCCACAGCATGAAATACAAATAACAAATTACGCAAATCTATTTCCATTTAAGGCTCTATTTTCAAAGGCAATTTATTTGTGGCCCTTGCTCATGCCATCGGTGATTATTATTAGCAAATAAATGTCTTTCATTTAGAGAAATTAGAGAACCCATTAGAGGACCAAATTTAGGTAAGACTTTCGCATTCACTATTTGGCCTTTAGCATGGATTGTCTATTTGTGTATTTCTCTTGGTGTGTTTTTGTAGCATGGTGTTTGGTGCATATTTGCAGCAGGTATCTGAAGTTCAGTTAATGTCAATATTAGCCACATGCTTTCTGCCTAATTTCTTTTCTCTGTGTGTGTGTGTGTGTGTGTGTGTGTGTGTGTGTGTGTGGCAATTGGGTATAAGTGATGGGCATCCCCTCAATTTCCAATTCTTTGCTACCACAATAAGAACTACTGCTATAAATATTTTTGTACATGTGGGTCCTTTTTCCATTTGTATGATCTCTATGGGATATAGCCCTAGAAGTGCTATTGCTGGGTCAAAGGGTATGCACATTTTTATAGCCCTTTGGGCATAGTTCCAAATCGCTCTCCAAAATGGTTGGATCATTTCACAACTCCACCAACAATGCATTAGTGTTCCAATTTTCCCACATCTTCTCCAACATTTATCATTTTCCTGTTTTGTCATCATGGCCAATCTGCTGGTGTGATGTGGTACCTCAGAGTTGTTTTGATTTGCATTTCTCTAATCAGTAGTGATTTAGAGCATTTTTCATATGGCTATAGATGGCTTTCATTTCTTCATCTGAGAACTGCCTGTTCATATCATTTAACCATTTAGCAATTGGGGAATGACTTGTAATTCCAATTTTTGTCACCACAGAAGGAACTGCTATAAATATATATATTTTTTACATATAGATCCTTTTTCTTTGATCTGTTTAGGATATAGATCTTCAAGGGGCAGCTAGGCGGTGCAGTGGATAGAGCACTGGCCTTGGATTCAGGTGGACCTGAGTTCAAATCTGGCCTCAGACACATAACACTTACTAGCTGTGTGACCCTGGGCAAGTCACTTAACCCCATTGCCTAGACAAAAAAAAAAACACAAACCCCAAAAAACAGCTTTTAGACCTTCACACTTTTGCAGCCTTTTGGGCCTACTTCCAAATTGTTCTCCAGAATGATTTCATCCTGACCTGTTGTTGGCTGTGCTGCAAAATTTGATTTGCGGTGTTATTTTAAAGTTGTTTGGAGGGCAATGTTGAGAGAGTTCAGCTGATCGCTTCTAATCCACCATCTTAGTTCCGACCTCCAGGCCTTCTGTTAATATTACATTTTGTAATACAGTAAAACTCTTTGCCAAAAAGTCAGGTCTGCGTTTGGGACGCTGCACTATTTAGGGATGCCCAGTTCACAGCTGGACCTTCCCCTACTCTACTTTTTTTTTTTTTGGCTAGGCAGTGGGGTTAAGTGACTTGCCCAGGGTCACACAGCTAGTAAGTGTTATGTGTCTGAGGCCAGATTTGAACTCAGGTCCTCCTGAATCCAGGGCTGGTGCTCTATCCATGTGCTACCTAGCTGTACCCCCTACTCTGTCACACTATATACTTCCCGTACCCCATAACTATTTCTGTGTACTCAAAATACTTGACTCTAGACTTGACTCCAGGTGTAGTTATCTTGCTGGTCAGATCACGCCCCTTGTATATATGTGGTGATGTAGGGCAGAATGTCAAATTCGCTGCATTGTTGCCCTCACCTCTCCCTCAGGAACCAGATTAAATTATACATGGGGAATATTCAACAAAATATATAAAATCAAAATAGAACATAGATAATGGTTAATGTGGTTTTCTAAGTCACTTTGTGGTACAGGATCCTTCTGTATGCTTGAGGGGCCACCATTTTTATTTGAGTTTCACACTGTAAGGTATGTTTTTTTCTCTGTACTGTTAGACGCCTGTAATATGAGAACGGTCCATGTCTTACAACACTGGGGTTATACAGTGCTCGACGCTTACATTAGTATGTTCTTGGGGGAAATTAATGTCCACAAAACCAAGTATTTTCTATGATGCCAAGCCTCTGGGAGCAGCATGTCATTTAACAGGCCATAAGAGCCCATATGAGAGGCATGTCAATTGTGACTTCAACCTAAACAGGTCCAGAGACTTGTCTGAAGCTTAGAAGACAGTAAGTGGCTGGAGATTAAGTAATCTAGGTTAATGTAGCTATTGTTTGAGGCAGGATTTGAATTCAAGTCTTCCTGAATCTGAATTCTTTGATAACTGAATGAAGTTGGGTGAGGGGAGAGGGAAATAAAGTTTCCTCTCTACTGTATCCAACTTCTGTTGGCCCCATCCCCCTCCTGGAGAAGAGCAGTGGGTACTGCCCTATGTGGTATGATTTCAGGAATATTGGAAAGCTATGCTGCAAGAAATAGATCTTTCACTGACTGAATGGCTCCTTGAAATCTGACCACTGGCCATCCTTTTACATTGAGACTTTCATGACTGTCAATATGCCAATACATTCAAGGACTAATATTTTCCACTTCATCCATCTTTTATATCTAAGTGTGTAGGAATTTTTGATCCTTTGCAGGGAAGATGTTTAATAGCAGAAAGAAGTACACTGAGTGCCTGAGAGGGGTGGCACCTTGGGGATGGGGAAAGAGAATAAAACAAAGAATCTGGGACAATCAAAGACGGATTTTGCCATATTCATAATGTAATTTTTGTGTCTGAGTCTTCCTCCTCACTAAAGGTCCTGAATAAAGTTCCCCTTTGGGGGGAACTTTCACTTCTCTGGCTCATTGGCCCAAATAAAATAAAATATACTATTTGACAGCCTTGTCTGCCTCTAGTTGGAAACTCCTTTTACAAGTGTTTGGGTTAACAAGACTCAAACCATGAACAAATTTATTTATTTTCATTTATTTATTTAATTTATTTATTTTCAGTGTGTGTGCTGACTAAAACAGAGCATAAAGTCAAAGGGCTTTGTCATTGGCAGACATGCATGAATGTCACACACTGGGATTTAAAGGCAGAAATATGGACCAGGAAATTAGAGGGCAATGGCCTTGATCTTTTCAATTAGCCTTTGTTCTTGCTCAACTTCGTTTGCACATCAGTTGAAGATCTTCCCACTGGTGTGCCCCCAGTTTACACATACCTCTGATTTCTTTTAACAGAACCCCCCAAAATTAGTTTGGGAGGGCACAAAATCCCTGTTAACGTTTATATTTGAGTTATAAGGAATTTCTAAACTTAAGTCAAATAGTTGTCTTGGATTAGAGACTTTAACACCAGACATAGGTTGTTAAAAGAGTAGACTTTATGTTCTAATAGAATACCTTGGTCTGGCTTAACAAATGGGGAACTAAGAGTCTATTAAATGGCCCTAAAGACCTAAGTTGTTGGAGATGGTGGCAAAGAGAAAAATGGCGAGTATGAGTCCAGTAGAGATGGAATACCCAGCATAAAGCTGCATAAAAACATCACCAAAATACCTCAGCAGCCCTCTAACGCAGGAGGTGTGTGAGTTTCCCTAGCCACACACACATACAAGTGCCCTGGCATGTGCCTCTTCACATATGTTCCTTGGCCAGAAGTGTTCCATATAGCCATGGCCTTCCATGCATATTTCTGGGCATGTGTGCCCTCCCCCCGTGGTGCTCTCCTACCCTATAGGAGAATATATCCCATGTATCTATTGGGGTATCTTTTCTTATCACTTTAATAGTTAAATTATTTAATTAATGTCTTTTTGTTTAACATATGTATTCTGGCTGGTAAAAGTGTTGCTGAGGGCTTATAAGCTATGGTTTTGTGTGGGTGTTGACCCACAGAATGCTTTCAATATAACTTTTCGAGGGCTAGTATCTGAGGAAGGTACCTCTTGTTTTACATATATATCGTTCAAGTGAAATCTATAACTCATATCAGAGCTCATAGAAAAGAACAGTGTTGGTCAGGCAGAGCTCAAATGGAATTGTCCTTTCATGTCAATGCACTGCTCTAAAGCTATCTGCGCATCAAGAAAGCCCAGAGAAGGCTACCTCCCAGCACATTTTTTTCTCTCTTCCCTAGACATTTAAAAATTGGAACCATATGTAGGTTTATGCTGATCCAGGGAATACCAAAATCTGATTTTCAGGGAGATAAGATAAGACTCTTTCCTTTCTGTACCGCTCAGAAAAATTTATTGTAATGGGGACCAACGCTTAGGGTTTTTCCTATAGCTAGTTCCCTTGGTAGCTGTCAGCCTTCGCCCTTCAACGTCCTCCTCCTGTTCCTATTCAGAGTCCTATGTTGTCAGGTTTGTTGTTCCTGCTTCCTTTGGAGCTCCTTAACCCTTAGCAGATGAGAGCAGACGGCAATCCTTCCTTTTCTCACAGTACACACTCTACCTCCACCCCACGTGTGGTAATTTGTATCGTACCTGAAAATACAGCTGCTTCAGAGACCTCCGGACAAAACTCCACCCTTTGTAACTCATGAGCATGGGATCTCTGTCCGCAGTAGCATATTGACTTGGTGGCTTTGATATCCTCTCTTCCCTAGCACCTCACAGTACATGTCTTACCTGGTTAATACTTCTCATGAGTCTAGACTCCAGAGGCTTAGGAGAGCACAAAAATCTCTTCCCAACTATTTCTTAGGTAAATGCTCTGGGGCAACTGGGTAGGAGTTATTCAGATTACTTGGGGCTAGTTCCCAAAACGTTTTTGGGAAGGAGCAGGAACTGCTGTATACATTCTCTTTATTACTGGGAAGAGGAAAAAAAATGTGTTGTTGGGTCATTGTAATTGCATCTAACTCTTCATGACTCCATTTGGGATTTTCTTGGCAAACATACTGGAGTGGTTTGCCATTTCCTTCTTCAGCCCATTTTATAGATGAGGAAACTGAGGTAAGCAATATGAAATGACTTGCCCAGAATCACACAATAAGTGTCTGAGGCCATATTTGAACTCAGAAAGATGAGTCTCCAAGCCCAGTGCTCTTTCCACTGTACCAAGTATAATAATTTCTCTCTAGCAATGAGAGAGAGAGAGAGAGAGAGAGAGTGAGAGTCCTTTATCTCCTGAATTTTATCTCCTGAAAAGCAGACCTTGGAATCCCTTGAATCCCTTGATAATAGCAAGGACCATATTGGTGATAAACAACAGCACTCCCTGTTCTGTTCCCACCCTTACCCTCCCTGCTAAGGATGAAAAGAATTCCAAGCTCTTCTTTCCTTCCTCAGAAACCTTGTTTCTGGGTAGTAAAGCTTGTATGTGTCCTACATCATTATAGACTGAGTAACAGCCAACTGATTACTACATAGTTCCAACTATTAAATGTCCAGGAGACAAAAAGAAGCTGTGGTGGGGAGATGATCTTCTCTGATTGTTTCCTGTGGATGACATCACTGATTCATTTCCTAAAGAGGACTTCCTCATTCATTTCTATGGATGTCATCATTGAGGACACCAGTATTAATCTTAATGGCTTTCTGACATTTTCCCCAGACCTTTCAAGTAGAAGATATTGTGTAGTCATTAATAAGGGAATAATTCTTAGCAGAAGGCTCTAGAAACCTTCACCACAAACAGAATCAGATTTATGTAAGTGATCATTGCTCTTCACTTTATGAGTTTTTAAAAAATTAAATTAGATATTTCTTGAAAGCTCTTGAGAATAAAGATCTAGAACTTTCTCTCAAGATTAAGGACAGATTTGTGCCCACAGCTGCTTTGCAGAATTTGGGGAATTACTGCTTCAGGAATTAGGAAGTTACTTTAAAGCATAGATCATTAGATAAATATAATTTTTGAAAAACTTACTACTTCTATTTCATTGCCCTATCCCTTCTAAAAGTGCTAAACAATCATAACTCATAGTGCAATCCTTAGTGATGGTAGTAGAGAGGGGGAAAGAGCAAGGACTAGTTAATGTTTCTTGACCTATTGAAAAATGGTGATGAAGAGAAAGAAATGGTGGTACTTTGTGGAGAATGACACATCAGCTCTGTGGGGATATATGATTTTGATTGTGTCCATTAATATAAAAAAAATGACTCAATAATACATTGTAAGGGGGCAGTGAGATTGGCCAAAGTAATGTACTTTTTTTTCAATTGGTGGCATGAGTAAGATTGGTAGTTGTTTATATGATCACCAGGGGCCAATCCTACCATTTTTCGGTCAGAAAGGCTGGGATTCCATGAATGTTTCTGAACTGGTTCCTGTGTAAAGATGACTGTTAGGTACTTTTCAGTTATATGACTTGATTTTTACATTTTAGTCACATATGAATTTCAGCAGAAAGAATGCAAAATTGGTGATAATAAGGGCTATTAAGCAGAGATTGATGACATATCCTTTCTTCAGGCTTCCGGGAACTCATCCAGGAAGAGCCAGTCCTATCTCTTCTCCTTGTAGTAGTGGACTTGGGTCCTTGGAATAACTCAGGTGACACAGTAGAGAAGGCACTGGGCCTGTAGTCAGGAAGATCTGAATTCAAATCTGGCCTCAGACACTTATTAGCTGTGTGACTCTGGGCAAATCACTTAATCCTGTTTGCCTCAGTTTCCTCATCTGTAAAAAGAACTGGAGAAGGAAATGGGAAGCTCAGACATGACTCAAATGAGTAAACAATAATGGCTCAGCTGCCTGGGGAAAAACAGCAGGGCATGGAGGGACCTTTGCTCCTTATCTCTCATTAAGGGATTGAAGGGAAAGGTATTTTGAATTGTTGGTTAAGACACATGTTAAAAAAATATTCATGGGGGGCAGGTAGGTGGTGCAGTGGATAGAGCACTGGCCCTGGATTCAGGAGGACCTGACTTCAAATCCGGCCTCAGACATGTAACACTTACTAGCCGTGTGACCTTGGGCAAATCACTTAACCCCATCACCTAGCCAAAAAACAAACAAACAAAAAAACATTCATGGAATTTGGTGAATTATTCTACTTATCTTGGAATCCAGAATATTCTGGCCCACTAAGATCTTAGTTAGAAGGGCCTTAGATGTTTCCTCCTTCACACAGGTCCCTAATTTAATATTTCTCTTCCGTTGCATCAGGAAAAAAGAGGAAGATGTGCAGACCTGCTGGATGCCAAATACTTGCGGACAACTTTGCAGATCTGGGTCATATGGTAAAAATGTTAAGACTAAAACTGGTTTTGTGTTGACGTTATTGTTTTGCAAGCCCTCAGAAGGAATCCACTGAAAAGAAGCCTCTATTAGATGGTAGGTGCTGGGATCATAAGATCATACAGGCAGAAAGTGGCAGAGACAAGATTCCAAGTTGGGTCCTGAGGGCTGAGATTCAAACCCAGAGGTAGACAGACGCATAGCTCCTGATCACTGGAAGTCATTTTCTCTTTGTGGAGGCCTCATGAAATTCCCTTTAGACTGGGCTCCCTCTAGAGCCCTTTCCTCCCTATGTTTAACTTGTCTTTGGCTCTCGGTATAAACAACACTGTCAGTTGTTTTGAGGACGCTGCTAGGACACCCATGAGAAGTACAAGTCTTCTAGACCTTTGGAAGTTCACAAAGTCTTATTCTGGTCAAGTGGGTGGGAGGAGGAGACAGAGGTTCTTTTTCTCTTAAACCCCCATAGGATTCCCTCTTAGGAATTTATTTGGAACTGCTCTCTTCTCTAAACGGGCCAGATATTAGAATGTGGGTTCCAAACTGGTTTGTTATTTTATACAGGGCCTCCAAGGTAGCAGCTAGGTGGTGCAATGGATAGAGGGCAGGGCCTGGAGTCAGAAATATCTGAATCTTGGGAAAGTCACTTAATCCTGTTTGCCTCCGTTTCTTCATCTGTAAAATGAGCTGGAGAAGGAAATGGCAAACCACTCTCACATCTTTGCCAAGTAGAGTTGGACAGACTGAACCAGAACAACAGGGCCCCCAGCGTGTGACTGAGACTCTCCAGCTAACCCCAATACACTTCCTATGCAACATTACTCCACTTCATCCAATGGCTTTCACTTCTTCCAAGATGTCTGAAGATTTCTGCCTCGTCTTGGCAGTTAGGTGGTGTAGTGGATAGAGCACTGGCCCTGGAGTCAGGAGGACCTCAGTTCAAATGTGATCTCAGACACTTGACACTTACTAGCTCTGTGACCCTGGGCAAGTCACTTAACCTTATTGCCTAGCCAAAGCAAACAAAAAACCCAAACAAACCAAGACTTATGTCTAGTCTGATGATTTAGTGACTTAATAGAGATATTCTCACTTGGTCAAGATAATTCTTTTTGGTGGTGTGTTTGATTCGATTCAATCTGTCCTTAACACTTGTCTTGGGTTTCAGCTCCCTAATAAGAACAGGACCCAAAGGGTGAAGTATAGAAGTATATTTCAGCAACTCATAAAGAAATCTCAGAGCAGTCTCAAAGGGGAATGGACTGCCTTGGCCAGGGGCATAGTGAGTTTCTCGTCAGTGAAGGCCAAGTCGGGGGTGTTGTAGAAGGTCTTCATGAATTTTGAGTGGCAGTTGGCCTAGGTTAGCTCTGAGGCTTCTTCAAGCTCTATCTGGGATGTTATAATTGTGCAAGCACACACTCATCAGGTGGTCTTAGTGCATGCTAGGTATAGGGCTGTGAATAAGTCATGGCTGATTGATAACTGACCACAGTGACTGTTTCTAATAGCTACCCACGTTACCATAAGGCTCCTGATGATTGCCCCCAAAGTTAGGATTAGCAGTGATCCCAAACAAGGGAATTTGGCAGTTACCCCAGCCCCATTATTTCAGAGGAATGACTTCACGAGTAGGCGTGGTCTGGCATTGAACCCTTACCAGCACTGCAACCTTAGTTGTGTCTTTTCAGAAGCCAGGCTTACTTTTTCAGGCTACTCTTTCATTAGCCAAATCTGATATCAAATCTGATAGGGCAAATTCGACTAAAATGGAAATGTTACCCCAGTATATTCTCTATCATCTAATATGACTAGTTCTAGTTAAGTAAATAGTTTTTTATAGTTTGTACACATATAGATATATACACATATGTGTACGTGTACATATATCACATATAGATTAGAATTTTTAATTAGAATATGAAAACTATAGAACCAGATTCCAATTCAACAAACATGTATTATTAATTGCCTGTTACACACAATGTACTTTTGTTGTTATTCAGCCATGTGTGACTCTTCCTGACCCCATTTGGGGTTTTCTTGGCAGAGATACTGGTGTGGTTTGCTGTTTCTTTCTCCTGCTCATTTTGCAGATGAGGAAACTGAGGCAAACAGAGTTAAGTGACTTACCCGGGGTCACACAGCTAGTAAGTGTCTGAGGCCGGATTTGAACTCAGGAAGATGAGATGTTCTGACTCCAGCTGCAGCACTCTATCCACTGTGCCACCTAGCTCCCTAAGATGTACTCTATATCAGATTCACACTGTCTTGGGGAAGGGGGACGGAAGGGAAGAGAAAATTTATATGGAATTTCATTTATATGGAAAACCATGTGGAAGTGAATGTTGAAAACTAAAATTAATTCAATTTTAATTAAAATTAATTAAAAAAACATACTATAATCTTAAATTTTTCTGTAACTTCATAGAAGGGCTTTACTTATAGGATCATTGGATCATGGATAGAGATTCTGAAAGGATCTTGGAGGTCATCTAATCTAAACCCATTGTTTCATGGACGAGGAAACTGAGACATCGATGTGAGCAAAGTCACCCAGGTGACCGTGATTTGAACCCAAGTCATCTAACTCCAAAGCCAGAATTCTTCCCACTACGTCATACTATGTCTCTCAAATATCAATCACAGGTCTCAGTTTTGAACAGCTACTCCTAAAATGTTTTTGCTTTGTTTTTTTAAAATTTAATGCTGTTTGTCTTTATAACATGTGCACGTCCAAATGCATCATCCCTGTGTGCTGAGCAATCACTTCATTGTATAATAATCCTGGTATCTGGTGGAGTAGAAGTGAGAGCACTCTGGGTTTGGTTTTTTGTTTTTTTAATGCCAAACATTGACTAAATGTATTATATAAAGTGATAAAAATATTCTTCCTTAGTGACCTTGGGCAAATCACTGTATTTCTTTAGTCCTCAGTTTCTTCATCTGTAAAACAAAAGGGTATCCTCAGTTGCTGCTGAGGAAAAATAAACATACCTTGCTCTGGGACTTAGGAAATGGCATCAGGGAATGGTTACATGGAGAAATATTGCCCTCTTGTGGGCATTTGGGGCATTTCAGTTAGTGCCTATATTTGGCTATGTTCTATTTTAGGTGTAGATTTCTCAGCTATTGACACAAATGGAAGAAAATCTCTGATTAATACAGATTATTGTGGGTAGCATGACAGATGACAGAATTTACTTTATGATAAATTGTTTCTAAGCCCTGGATGAGTAATTTTCCATATCTCCTTTAGATGTAATTGGTTATTTATAGTAACTCAATTTAATAAACGTTCTTTTCTTGTTCTTGTCCTTGGATATGAGTAGGCTTCAACATATGGTCAACAAAAGTTATGTAAGAGAAGCATATAAAGGATGATATCAGAGGGGGAAATATGACCTGGAAAGAAGGGGGTCTGAACATGGGGCAAGCAAGCCACTTGGCCCAGTAGTATAGTATAATGGCCAATAAGGCTTTTCCATTGAGAATTATGACTAGAATCAGTCTTCTAGCATTTATTAAGCTCCTATAATGTGTCAGACACTGCTCAGTGTTGGGGAGACAAAGAAAGGCAAAAACAGTCCCTGCCTTCGTGGGGCTCACATTTGAATTGGGAAGACAACGTGCAAACAGTAATGTACAAGTGTGTGTGTGTGTGTGTGTGTGTGTGTGTGTGTGTGTGTGTGTGAGAGAGAGAGAGAGAGAGAGAGAGAGAGAGAGAGAGAGAGAGAGAGAGAGAGAGAGATAAACTGGAGATAATCTGAAGGAAGATACTAGCATTAAGGGGATTGAGAAGGGCTTATTATAGAAGGTGTGATCTTATCTAGAACTTGAAGGAAGTCATGGAAACCAAGAGGCAGAGATAAGGAGGGAGACATTTCCAGGCCTAAGGGACAGCCAGTGGAAAGGCACTAAGTTGGGAGATAGAATGTCACATGTGAAGAATGGCAAGGAGGCCAGCGTCACTGGATCATGAAGTATGTGGAGGGGAACAAAGTGTAAGAAGACTGGAAAGGTGTTATATAAAATAATTGGGCCAATATGTAGCCAAGGAGAGGATTTTATATTTGATCCTGGAGGTGATAGGGAGCTACTGGAGTTTATTGAAGGTGTGTGTGTATGTAAGAGAGACAGACATATGGTCAGACCTGTATTTTGTTTTAGGAAGATCACTTTGCTAGCTAGGGAAGGATGGACATGAGTAGGGAGAGACTTTAGGCAGGGAGATCAATCAAAGGGCTATTGTAGTAGTCTAGGCACGAAGTGATGATGGCCTATATGAAGGTGATGGTAACGTCAGGAGAGATGGGGGCATATAAGAGATGTTGCAAAGGTAGAATGGACAAGACTTGGCCACAGATTGGATGTGGGAAATAAGAGAGAGTGAGAAGTCAAGGAGGAGAACTAGGTTGTGAGTCTAGGTAACTGGGAAAATATATGGTACCCTCAAAAGTAGTTATCCCTTCCACCTCATGACTTTCCCCATTGCTGTTTTGATATATTGTGGGTCAGCATAAGAAATTAATTAGGAATTTTTGGGGAGTTTTGAGGAAGCTACAGACAACACAGAAAAAGTTTAGATGCTCAGAAATGCATAAAATATACATACAGTATTGTATAATAACCACACACCATAAAAAAAAAAAAAAAAGAAAAACTCAGATTTCTTCTCTGGTGGGAAGGGAACTCCAAAATATTTTACATGGATTTTCCAAATTGGGAGGTGCCATCCCCTTGCCCCCGTGATGTGGAAGGATAATTGTATTATGGAATTTAGAAAGAGAGGAGACTTGTGGGGGAGGGTTTTGAATGAATGAGTTTTGAATATGTTGAGTTTAAGATGTCTGAGATGTCCAGTTAGAGGTGTCTTAAATAGGCAATTGGATGTGTAAGACTAGAGGTCAGGAGAGAGGTTCGGGCTGGATATATATTTGAGAATTGTCTACATTTGAGATCTATCTTCAGATTGAGTTCATGAGAGCTGATGAGATGACTGACAGACCTGAGGTCCAGAGAGTAGGAAGTGACTTATTCAAAGTCATATAGCTAATAAACAGCAGAACTAGGATTTTGGTGGCACGTAGGTGGTGCAGTGGATACAGCACTGCCCCTGAAGTCAGGAGGACCTGAGTTCAAATCTGGCCTCAGACACATGACACGTACTAGCTGTGTGACCTTGGGCAAGTCACTTAACCCCAATTGCCTGAAAAAAAGAAAAGAACGAACTAGAGTCTTAATCCAGATTATCCGACTCGGAACCAAAACTAGGAGCCTTGACTTAGGGCAGAGGTATCAAACATGCTATCCTAATGACTCACAAAGCACTCACTCAGATTAAAAAATAAATAAAAATACAATGAAATACTGATACTATAACTATGTGGTTTTCTAAGTCATTATGCAACCTGTAGGGATTCTTATGTATGGTTTGGAGGCTCTTGTTTTGATTTGAGATTGATACCACTGATCTAGGGTATCGAAATTCAAAGAGGGAAAAAAATTAAACACATGTATTTCTTCAGAGACAAGCTGGTTAGCAATAATAGTTATTTAAAATAGTAACCTGTCAGTTCTCAGTGAATTATTAATAACACCCATCTGTGAGCTCTTATAATGGATCCCTCTATTCAACTGCATTTGTCCTAATTACTTCTTGTATTGTTTTCACATCATAGGTTACAAAGTGGATTCCAAGATGGGTTTCATGGTACAGTTATCCCTTCCATATCATGGGGGTTAGGGACACAGTACCCTGCAATCAGGAAAATCAACATAAAAATTTTTGGCCCTCCCTTTGTACCAGAGAAGAAGTCTGAGTTATTATGGTATTAAAAGATAAGATAGGTTGATGTTATACAATACTGTAGGTATATTTTACACATTTCTGAGTTTCAAACCTTTTTCTGTGTCATCTGCTGGCCTTCATGCGTCATCTGCAGTTTCTGCAAAATTCCCCCAAAATTCCCATTTAATTTCTTATGCCCACCTGTGATACACTGAAACCTCGATGGGGAAAGCTGAGATGTGGAAAGGATAACTGTATTTTCACTGGGTGTAAAAATTGGTAATTAAGGTTCTTCTCTGACTCTGAATCTAGTTCTTTTCCCATTATATTAATGAATAATCACATTCTCCCTTTGACACTTCTTAATTAATGGGAATAGAAATTCCAGTATGCCCCCACCTCTGATATGGACAGGCACAAGTTTTTCACGTGGCTATTTCATTTCCTTTTAAAAGATGTCTTTCTTATTACCCCCACCCCAGCCTTAGAAGGGAAGTTTACAAATCCTGACACGTGTTCCTTGTTCTCTGCTTTTTCAGGCTTGGGATCTCTTTTGCATATTACGGGGTCATCCTGGCCAGTGCTGAGTTACTGGAGCGAGACTTGGTTTGTGGCTCCCAAGCGGAGACACAGATGGTGCTGAGTGAGGACTCGGAGGAGAGCAAGAGCCCCTGTCACTGCCACCTGTTTGCTCCCTCTGACTACAAGACCATGATCATCAGTACCCTGGGAGAGATTGCCCGTAAGGAGGGAGTCTTTCGTCTACTGAGTCTCTGCTTCGTTTAACGTGTTTATGTGGCGCAGCAGCAGTTAAGGTTCTCAAAACAAGGCGTGAGAATGTGACTGGTGGGGGGGCTCCTGCCCAGCATAGCTGACCCCATCCTCTTAGGTACTGTCAAACTTCCCCAGTTCAGGACAGTATGAAGACAGCAATCTGACAGTTTAAAAAAGTCTAAATTTGGGGGCATTTTAAAGAAATGCTGGCTAGCAGAGGCAGCTAGGTGGCACGCTAGTTAGGGCTTGGAATCAGGACAACTTGAGTTTGACTTTGTCCTCAGACCCAGGGTAAGCACCTGCTGTTAGCATCAGCTGAGATAACGTAAGGAAAGTGCTTTGCATACCTTCAAAGCACCATTGGTCCTCATCCTTATTCATCCAGGCATGGATGGGTTCTTGATAACTTAGCCTATAGGACATAAGCTCTGCTAAGTCTTACCCAGCTGAAAAAGCTTTTGAATACGCTTTCATCTATGATCACAGATGTACAGTAGAGAAGGGGAGGTACCTAAGAGGCCGTCTAGACCAACCCCCTGACGATACTGAGGCCCTGAGTCATTAAGGTGCTTTATCCAAAGTCACACTCATAGTAAGCATAGGCGGTGGAATTCAAACCTGAGTCTTCTGATTCTACAGCTACCACTCTTTCTGTTGTGCTATGCTGCTCAACTCACTGTAGATTCCATACAAGAAGGCTGCTCACCAGGTAACGAATTGGAAAAAATGTTTTAAAAAATAAGTAACTTTCACTAATTGGCATTAGTGAAAGGAGTTTTCCACACCAATAACACCAAGAAGCTTTTAAGCTACTGTCTCTTGTGAAAGAAAGCTACTTTTTTTTTCAGTACTTTTAAAGATAAATGTGTTTTTTGGCATGGGTCCTCTTCCTTCTGCTGAACCAAATCACAGCTCCTCCATGCCTTAAAAATTAGGAGATAATTTCTATGAGTTGAAGTAGCCCCCAAAATCATCACCATTATTCTGAGGATGATTGTCTCCAAATTCAGCTAGGTTGGTCATCAGATGATAGACACACAGCTGTAACATTATTGGTCTGTCCTTAGAGGCAACGTAATAAAGTGGAAGCAGCACTGATTAGAGCCAGAGGACATGAGTTCAAATCCTAACTCTGATGCTTACTTACCTGTTTGACCTTGAGAAAAATCACTTAACCTCCCTGGGCTCAGTTTTATCATCTATAAAATGAAGAGGATGGACTCAGAGACCTCCGAGGTCCCTTCCAGTACTGGATCTGTGATCTCTAACTTGGAGGTATAACCTGCCAAAGGTTATACACTTTAACCTTAGAAAACTCAGGCTCACCTTCATGCTCTGATGAAGCATTGGGCTGAGACTTTATTAGAGCAACTAAAGATAATTTGAAGGACTGAAATGGAAATGACAGTTTTCACCAGTAGAATTTTAAGTACTACTGATATAAAAGTACTATAGGTGGATAGCTCAGTGTAATGGATGCTGGACCAGGTAGGAAGACATAGGTTTGAATCCTACCCCCAAAACAAACTGTGTGACTGTGATCAAGTCACTTAACCTCCGTGGACCTCAGTTTCTTTTTCAAAATGAGAGGACTGGACTCGGTGACACATCTAAGTTCCCTTAAAGCTCTAAATCTAGGTTCATGTGATCTTTGTTGGCCATTATTTTATCCATAAGTTTAAGAACAGTGAAGAATCACTTGGGATAGAGGAGAAAGCAATTGGACCTAGACTGGGCTTTGGTATTCTGAAATTTCAAGAAACGACAATTTATTTCCAACTGTTTATCAAGGACTATCCTAAATACTGCCTAAACTATTTTTTGGGTGTACTATCATCATCATCATATGTTAGCAAAGTCTGAATTCAAAAGGTTTTCATGTTCTTCTGTCAAACGAGGAATTCAGCAAAGATGTTAGACTTGGGACAGTCAACTTGGAAGGCAGACAGTCTTGGATCTCTCTCCTATCTTTCTACCTTTGTGCTCGTGGGGTGTCTCTCTCTCTCTCTCTCTCTCTCTCTCTCTCTCTCTCTCTCTCTTCTCTCTCTCTCTCTCTCTCTCTCTCTCTCTCTCTCCCCCTCTCCCTCTCCCCCTCCCTCTCCCTCCCTCCCCCCTCTACCTTCCATTTACCTTCCCTCCTCCATTCTCATCTTTTCCATCTCTTTTCTCTCTCCTTCCTTCTGTCCTTTCTCCCCCTTCCTCCCCCTTTCTTCCTCTACCCTCTTCTGACTCCCTCATTCTTCCCCCCTTTTCTCCCTCCCTGTTTTTCCCTGTTTCTCCTCTCTTCCCCTCCCTTTTCTGCCCCTTCCTCCCCTCTCTCCCCTCCTCTTCCTCTCTCTTCTCCCTCCCTCCCCCTTCCTCCCCCTCTCTCTCCTTCTATCTTACCCCCCCCCAGCCACACACACACACACCCCCTACCTAAAATAGAGCATTAGGACATTCTTCAGATGCTAGTAATCAGTGAAGTACACAATATGGTAGCCGGCCCCTGGGTGTTTGGGACAGGATACCAGGAGCAGAATTTGAGTGGGTGTAAGACAGAGAATGTGTCAAAGCAAGAGAAAGAGATAAGTTAGCTAATGTGAATGCCTGCAAATAGCGAGGCTGTGAGTCAGTGCATTGTCAACATGCTGTGATGCTTTTGTGTCAGTATGTGTGTTGGGAGGGTGGGGTGGAGGAGAGTGTTTTGGGTCACAGGAGCTGAGGCAAGAATGGTGCAGTGACTTGCCTAAGGTAACAATGACAGGCAGGATTTGAACAGAGGTCCACCAGAACCTGTGTTCTCTTTTCACTGTACTAGGTTGCCTCTCCTCAACCAATTTGAAGGGATGTTTGGGGGCTGCCCCTTCATGGAGGTGATTGAGAATTAAGGGAATATATAGGTCAAGTCACTTAACCTCTGTTTGCCTCAATTCACTGGAGAAGAAAGTGGCAAACCACTGCAGTATCTTTACCAAGAAAACCCCATGGACAGCATGGTCCACAGGGTCATGAAGAGTCAGACATGACAACAGCAGTAGGGGCAGGCAGTCTCATCCTATACCCCCACCTGTCCCCACAAACGTATCAGTGTTCTGAGGATTGTGTTGCCAATGCTGACAGATGTAAATATCTGGATTGAATAATTATGAGTCCCCGGGAGCAAACTATGAATCCGGAAAAAAGCTTGGGGGAAAGTGGGGATAGAGGGGGGAGATCTTAGTGAGTGATGGAGTTCAAGAACATCTATAAGTAGATCCCTGCCAAAAGATTTTGCCGAGTCTTTTGAAGACCTATTCATCCGTGTTCTTCTACTTAATTCATGCATTAGTAAAAAGGTATGTATTTATATGGCTGTACCTATGTATTTGTATCTATGTAGGTATGCTTCTGCATAGGGAGGTAGGTGGTGAAGTAGATAGATCACTGGGCTTGGAAATAAGGAAGACTCATCTTCCTAAATTTAAATCTGGCCTCAGACGCTTACTAGCTGGGTGACCCTGGACAGTCACTTAACCCTATATGCCTCAGTTTCCTCCTCCATAAAATGAGCTGGAGTAGGAAATGGCAAACCATTCCAGTATCTCTGCCAAGAAAACCCCAAATGGGGTCACGAAGAGTCGGACACAATTGAAACAACCTATCTGTACGTGGGTATCTCTGCTCTGATGAAGCAATCGTATTTCTCTGTTCCTTTGTGTTTATGACCGCACATGTGAATCTTCAAGTGTGCGTGAGATCATCTGTCATCAGCAAGTCAAAGAACGCCACCTCGGTCCTTCTGCTTCCCTCTCAGGGTCCTGCTCCAGTTCTCTGGAGATCAGTGGTCCCGCTTCTTGTCTTTCTTTCTCTTCTTCTTCACCACTTCCTCTTCCTTCCCTTATCCCCTACCTGCTGGCAATCCCTTCCACTCTAGCTTGTCACTTTCTTCTTTCCCCCCCAAATTCCTGCAAGAACTGATTTGTACGATCCAGTGGTGGTCAGGAAACAGTGGTTTGGAATATTCTCTGGGCCAGGGAAAGGTCAGCTCAAAACTTTCTGAAACTATGGGAATTTAGTGCCTTAAATACTGATTACTAGGAGAGATGAGGTGCTATTATTATTATTATTATTCACACTTTCCAAATGAGAAAATGGAGGCAGACAGAGGCTAAGTGACATGTCTAGAATCATAATAAATGTCTGAGGTAAAATTCAAACTCAAGTCTTCCTGAGTTTAGATCTGGTGCTCTATCTACTGTGTAATCTCAAAGCCTCCGCTAGGATAAAATAAACATTTAGTAAGAAGTAATAAGTACCAGTGCTAGGCACTGGGAATAGGAATATAAAAGAGAAACAGTCCCTGCCCTCAAGGAGTTTACATTCTACTAACTCCTTCTACTATTGTGGATGGTCAATTCAACTGCAGTTTCGATGTAAGAGGGCCCCTTCCTGGGGCATTAAGAGATTAGGTGATTTATCCTTAACCACAGGGTGTCAGAAGCAGTCCTGCGGACTCCAAGGTTGGCCCTTCAATCACCAGGCTGCTCTGGGGAGAAACAATAGAGAGATTTAACTTCCTGCCTAAAAGTGATCCTGTCCGCTCACAGGAGGGGGGGGCCTAAACTAAGCAATCTGGACCATGACCTAATATATGTATGCAATAGGCTTCCATCTGTGTCTCACGGAAGCAAAAGGCTTCCTGCAGATTTGCTTTACATCGAAATAACCAAGGAGACGGCACCCCAGAAGTTTAGATCAAGTTGCTCCCATCTGAAAGGACAAGAAATGGCTCATGTGGATGTCGGAATGTGCTGACTGCATTCTACGATGCCGAGAATTGGTGTTGTTTCCTCTCTTCCAGTAAATCCTTTAAATATCCTGGGCATCAATTTCCTGGGAAGACGGATCAGCCTTTCTATCACCATGGGATGTACAGCTTTGTTCTTTCTGCTGCTCAACATTTGTACTTCGAGGTATCTTCCTTTTGGGTGCGCCAGAATAGTTGGGTTGGGAGCAGCGGACTGTTGGTGGTGGTGTTCCAAATCTGGGATGTTCATCAGGGTTAGGGAGCTCCCTGTGAGGAAACGCTGTCTATTAATGCAGGTCAGCAACTGTTTTGGGATACAAAGAAAGGCAAAAGAAACAGTCCCTGTCTTCAAAGAGCCTCACGTTCTAATGGGAGAAACAACATGAAAAAAAAATTGTTCAGAAAAGACATATATATCCATCTATATCTATAGAAATATGCATATTATATAAATAGAAAATAGATATTTATCTATATCTATATAGAATTGGAAATCATTTTCAAAGGTACTTTTTTAGGATGGAGGGGAACGAAAATGGGGACCCAGAAACGTTTCTGGAGAATATGGGATTTGAGTCGAGTCTTGGAGGAAGTTGGGAAACCAGAAGGTGGAGGAAGACGCGCATTCCAGATAGCCAGTGAAAAGACAGGGAGGGGGGAGATGCTGCTGCATCATACAGTAAGGGGAGTGAAGTCTAAGATGAAGAGGCCAGGGGGTGAAGGACTTTGAAAACCAAACAATGGATTTTCCATTTGATCTAGAGATAATAGAAAGTCACTGGGTTTTATTAAATGGGGGTAGAGGGTGCAGTAAAATGGAAAAAACCTGTGCCTTTGGAAAATCACTTTAGCAGATGAAAAAGGATGAGTTGGAGTAAGAGGAGACTTGAGGCTCAGAGACTCACTAAAAGCATTTGTTATAGTCCAGGTCTGAAGTGACAAGGGTCTGCACTGGGGTGGTGGCCATATGAGTGGAGAGAAACCCGCATGTACCAGAGATGTTGAGAAGGTAGAAACAACAAGACTTTGCCAACAGATTGGATGCGTGCAGTGAGTGTGAGCGCCTGGGTGATGGGGAGGACGGTGGCGCCCTTCTCTTTTGGGTATGCTGAGTTTGAGATGCCTGGGTGCACCCAGAGGGTCAATGGCTTATGGCGAGTCACGGCCAGCCAGTACGTGTCAGAAACAGGATGTAAACCCATCTTCCTGGCTGCAGTTCCAATTCTGCTTATCCATGCTGAGTCTGTCTCTTAAAGTAGTGGTTTTAAAATGTTTTCCTTGACCCCCTGCAATCTCATGAGAGCTCTCCAGGACATCTGCTGGCTGGTCAAAAATGCCCACTTAGGACACGTTTATGTGAAAATCATGAGGTGTTTAGCCCCACAGTAGGGAGAAAAGAAAGAGAGCTTCTTTGTTCTAAATGGTGATTCTATCTTCTACCTGCTGTCCCAGTTCCTCTCAGTCCAACTGGCCTTCCTGCTCTACAGCTGAGGAGGGAGTATCCAAGAAGTATGTTAAAGTTAGTGCTCAAACCACCCTACCTACATATTTATGGGGGTGGGGGGATCAGAACCCTTTTAGAAGAGATGACCATAAATCTTTCTGCAAACCAAATGCGCAGCCTCAGAGCATGGCTGTGGCAAAGTCACGTGAAGAAGCTGGATAATTTTGGCAGGTTGCTGAGTGGCAACATGGAACTACAAAGACCTAGGTTTAGGTCCTGCCCCTTACAAATGTGAGCTAAGAGAGCCTGGACAACTGCTCTAGGCAACTCTGTAAGACATAATGTGCAGAGAAGGTGATGTCTTGCTTTGATGAGATGATGTTTCCTCACCAAGCAAATCCCAGGGCCTATCCCTATCTCTCTGTGTGGCCCAAAGAGTTCATTTTGAAGGGTCTTCTGGTCAGGGGCATGGTTTTAATTTTTTTTAAAAAAATCTATGAAACTCTGCAGGACTGCACGGTTAGTGGAAATAAGGGAGCAGGGATACCTCCACTTTCATTTCCCATCAGTCCTGTATGGAAAGCCCTAGGCTAGAGTGGAATGCTTGAGCATACCAAGAGTCCTGTTGAAGTACTAAGGGTGGAGGGAGTCCTATGTTTGGGGACCTAACAAAAGGGCCAATGGAGACCTTACATTTTCTTCTGGCCAGAGTGGCTATGCATCCATTCATTTTGGTTAATCTGAAAAACAAAACAAAACAAAACCAAATCCTGACACACTGGCATGGATGTTGGCTCTGTAAGTATTTCTTTATTTCCTTTTTGGTGACCCTAAACTAATAATGGTTGTTATCATTTTTCTCCCATTCTCTCTTCTCTAGTACAGGCCTGATTGGTTTCCTCTTCATGCTGAGGGCCCTGGTGTCAGCAAATTTCAATACCATCTATATCTATACCGCTGAGGTTGGTCTTTCTGAAGGGGTCTGATGGGTAAAGTGACCGAAACTGCTTTTGATAAATCATTTAAAGTGTGTGGCCATCCACCGGCAACTTTTCCTCACCCTCCACTAAGAGGTTCCTTTTAAGACTTAAAAGCTTTCATGACTTTCTAAATACATCCCATTGAAATGATGCCCAGCAGGGATTTCTAACTTTGTATTGTTGTTGGGAAAGGACATTTTTTTTGCCCTCATTCACTTTCAGAAATTTAGCTCATGCAAGCGTCCCCTCCACACCCAGGCTTTAGAGGAGGACAGAATATCACCCAAGCTCGAGATATGGGTGTCTTTACTTTTTGTGTGCCATGGATTCCTTTGGTTGTCTGGTGAAATCTTATGAACTCAGAATAATGTTTTTAATTGGACAAAATGAGACATAGGATTACAAAGGAAACAGATGATATTGAAACACAGTTATCAAAGTAATTTTTTTTAAAAATCAAGTTTTGGGAGCCCAGCTTAAGGACTCCTGCTCTAGTTCAAAAGTCAACCTGAAGTTGCTTCCATGTAAAGAAGGCTCTGAATAAGGGTTGTTGGGGGGCAGGAGGAATTAAATTAGACTTTTTTTTTTTCTGCCTTGGCCCTTTGAGAGCTCCACAAGAATGGCTGACCAGGGCTCTACAGAAGAGAAAGTTCCCCTTTCCAGTTCAACAGGAAATAGATGATGAGTACCTCTACCCACCTGGTAGATTGAAAAAAAAAACTTTTCAGACATTTTCTTAAAGGGCCAACACTCCTTATAAAGGAACAAAACTTTTGGATGAAAATAGATCAGCAAATTGAACAACCAGTTTCATTACGTTAGAAAAAAAAATGTTTCAAGATCTGGAAAGACATGTAGTCCGTTTGCATTAAAGATGTTCAATTTCCAGAAATTTTGTAGCCATGGAGAGAAAAAAAAAGTTTTGGGGGAAATTGAAATATATGCAGTACTCATTTTTTAGAGACATGCAATTTCCAGGTATATTGTACCCACAGGGAGAAAAAAAGAAATGTAAGGAAACTGAAATATATTCAATTCTCATAGGCTCACTATAAAATATAATTCTAACATCTGTTAAGAGTAAGAACATAAAAGAAAATCTTTGGTATAACTAGTTTACTCTTAAAATTATCTAGTTTGGGGTATTACCTTAAAAAATTGAGTTTATCCAAGGTAACAATTACAAATTTGCTAATCAGATTTCCTTCCTGTGACAAGTTGGGTCAAAATTTGGCATCTCTCCATTTTCTGCAGATTAATGAGAAACAGGCAGAAACTGGAGAGCAGAGGAAACTGTCAGTGAACTAGGAAAGCAAAGGAAATGGGGCTTTGGGGATTTAAGGTTCTCCCCCGAGGCAAGCTGATACAGAGAGGAATCACTGGGGCCGCTAACACTGTCATCTATGTCCAACCCTTTGAGAACGAGTCAGGAGGATAGGAAGGGATCAATCAACTTCTCATCTAGGTGAAGAGACATGAAGTTGCCTCAACTCTATTTTTAAATATAATACCCCAAACTGGATAACTGTACAAACAAACTATTATGCTGAAGACAGCTTTATGTTTCTCCTCTAACAGATGTTAGATCAATTTTTTTTTAGTGAGCTGAAAAAATGAGTAATGTGTACATTTTTATTTCCCTTAAACTTATGTTTTTCTCCTTGTGGCTGGCACAATGTCTGGAAATTGTATGTGCCTAAAAATGAGGGGGCAGCTAGGTGTTGCAGTAGACAGAGCAACTGGTGCTGGAGTCAGGAGGACCTGAGTTCAAATGAGGCCTCAGACCGTTATTAGCTTGTGACCCTGGGCAAGTCAACTAACCCCATTGTCTCCCCCCAAAAAAAAATGAAAAGAAAAATGTATATAATGAGTATTTTGTATATTTCAATTTCCTCCTAACTCCTTATTATGCTCTCCCTACCTTGAATCTCTTTCCCTTCTATACATCCCCCAGTTACCTAACCGATTTTTTAAATTACCTCTATTTCACTCTCCTATTCAAAGTATAGTTGCTCTCTCTTACCTGTGGTATCAAATATGAGCTGTTTCTCAGTCGTTTTCTGCCTTCTCTTGGCCATCTCCTGTCCAGCATGGACACTCTCAATCAACTACTGACATTCTTGCCCTTCTTCAAATAACTTGGAAAATGGCACTGTCCAGTGGCATTCAGGTCTATACACAATCTCAGATCCCAGACTGGGGAAGGTAGAAGACAGAGGGAGGAAGGAGTTAGTCTTTAATGATTAATGGAGGCTTCTCTTCCTTCCATCTTCTGCCACAGGTCTACCCCACCACTATGCGAGCTTTGGGCATGGGAACGAGTGGCTCTTTATGTCGGATTGGTGCGATGGTGGCTCCATTTATATCCCAGGTAAGAACCGGGGCAGTGAGCCAGAAGGAGGGGGCAGTGGAGGTGGAGGTGAAGAAAATGGGGATCTTAGGAGGCTTTGCTCAAGGCCAAAGATTTTAAAGAGCTGAGCCAAAATTTGAACTTAGGTCTTCTGACTCCAAATCCATAACTCCACTCTACCATGCTGAGGAATCACTTTTCCTAAGTCACTTTTCTCCCACCTAAATGAAGGGAAACACTAGTGGCCCGAGTGCTAGACTTAGTGTCAGAAGGACCTGGGTTTGAATCTCACCCCAGACATTTTATTAGCAACATGAACTTGGAAATGGAATTTAATTTCTCTAAGTCATAGTTGGGGCAGCTAGATGGTGCCATAGTGCATAAAGTGCTAGGCCTGGAGTGAGGAAGACTCTGGTTCCTGAGTTCAAATCCTCAAATCTGGCCTTAGTCACTTACTAACTGTGTGACCCTGGGCAAGTCACTTAACCCTGTTTGCCTCAGTTTCCTCATCTGTAAAATGAACTGGAGAAGGAAATGGAAAAGCACTGCAGTATCTTTGCCAAGAAAACCCCAAATAAAGGTCATGAAGAGTTGGACGCGACTGAAATGATTCAACAAGAAGTCTTTGTTTCCTCACCTGAAAAAGGAGAGGGATGAATTCGACAACCTCTAAGGTTCCTTCCGCCTCTAAATCTATAATCCTATTGGAAAGCAGCACTGTGCCCCCCACTCAAAGAAGAGACAAGTAAAATCATCATATTTTGAGTCATTCAGTAACACAGGGAGGCAGTAGGACATAGTGGAAAGAGAACTAGCCTTATATTTATAGAGTTTGATATCCAAATATGCAAAAGAGACATGGTAAAATACAGGATCTCATTGGTTGGCATATGACGCATGTTAAAATAAACAAAAATGACATCAGCAGGGTCACAAGGTAAGCAAAGTAGGAATATTTCCACTGACTAGGTGGTCATAAGATGGTCCCCTGCTCATGTTGGGCAAGAGAATGGTCTGGAGGTACAAAAATAAATTGGAGGACTTTCCACATAGTTGAGTCACCTCCACTACACTGGGCTTGGTCACCATGACAAGGGAAAACAAGGGTAGAGGAGGTCCTCTAGTTAGTTTCTGAGGATTAAGCAAGGGAATTTACAATCTGCAGCTTATGGCTCTGGGACGTACTATTCAAAACTTATAATCACTATCCCTGTGGAATCATAGCAAATTGATTGATACTGATTCCAATAGAGTAGAAGTCCAAATGGATTATTTCTCACACTATCCTAAAAGGCTAGGTTCAAGTTTCAGTTCTTGCCTCTGTTATCACTATGACCTTGGACAAATCACTTCACCTTGTCTCAGTTTCCTCATCTGTAAGATTATGGAGTTGGACCACATGATCTCTAAGGCCTCTTCTAGCTGCAATAGTCTAAAGTCTACTGAGTACCAACTGTATGCATGGGTGCTAAGGTAGGGATCAGAAGAGGTGATGCTATCCCTTGTTACGGGCAGGTTGGATGGATTCAGGATCCTAGAGGGACTTGTCACTCTAGATGGTGTTACTGTCATAGGAAGCGTGATTTATTACTGAGAAACCTACATCCCAGGGGTTTGAATCACCCCAGGGTAGGGCACATTTGCTCATTTACAACTCAGGGGGACAATCCTGATCCCCAAAGTTTAAACCTCACAGACATATTACATCATCCCAGGTGCAGTCACCTTTCAATGACAAATAATGACCTTCTTCTGGGTTCCTCTTTCTTAAGAAAATGGGGTGTCATGATTGCACATGTATAACCTGTATCAGATTGCTTACTGTCTGAGGGAGGGGGTCATGGAGGGAGGGATAGAATTTGGAACTGAAAACTTAAAAAAAATCAAATGTTAAAAATTGTTTTTACATGTAATTGGGAAAAAATAAAATATTATAAAGAAGATAATGGGGTATCTAATCTTAGGGAGGCAGTTCTAGAATGGATTATGTTTCTATTTGGGGTTAGGTACCCTCCACTGCATCTTCTTATTTTATTTTATTTATTTTTTAGGCAATTGGGGTTAAGTGACTTGCCAGGGTCACACAGCTAGTAAATGTCAAGTGTTTGGTTTGAGGCCACATTTGAACTCAGGTCCTCCTGACTTCAGGGCCAGCACTCTATCCACTAGGCCACCTAGCTGCCCCCCTCCACCCATCTTCTAAACACTCTAGAATCACCGGTAAGGGAGATGTAGGGACACAGGTTAAAAGTTAAAGGCATAGGAATAAGAACCCACCCCCAACCTAGGGGAATTTGAGAAGGTATCAGATAATGGTTATGATGAAGTGAGAGGAGGTAGAATCCCAGCAAAGAAGGGGGACAGGACTTATCTCTTACTATGGCCCCTGATGTACTTTCCATCCTGAGGCTTTGTCTTATCCTTTTCTTGCGCTGCCCCCCCCCCCCCTTAACTGGAACAGACTTCTGCCCCATCTCCACCTGGTGAAGTCTTTCTCAGCCCTCAAGGCCCAGCCCAGGTGTGCCCTTCACAAAGGTTTCCCTGATGACTCCTTTCCCTGCCCCCAACTCCCTTAGTGAAAATGATCCCTCCGTTCTCAGATTTCCCCTAACACTTTACCCAGATCTTCTCTCTCGCTGTCCTCATTTCCTCCCCACCCCCATCACAGATAGTCGTGAACATCTTTCCCCACATTTGATTATAAGCCTCGAGAGCAATGGCCATTTCACTGAACGATTCAACAAATGTCTGTAGCTGGGCACAAGATACCATGCTGGGCACAGAGGATAGAAGGATAAGTCAGTGCTCACGAGGAGCCCACGAACTATGTAAGGGATGCTGCATGTGCCTGGAAAGTAAAATTACAAAATTACAAGTGATTTACAAAATTACAAAATATGCCATGTAATATTAATTAAGGGCAGTGGTGAGAAGATGAGGAAGAGGAAGAGAGCGTTGCACTCCGTGGTCGCTAAGATCTAATCTATAATCCTAAGAAGTGAAGAGGGAATGCACTCCAGAGGCAGAAAAGAGCCTTGTATCCATGCCCCAAGCAGAAGAGCCATATTATACCTTGGTTGCTGTGGTTCAGTCGTTTCAGACTCCTTGTGACCCCGTTTTGGTTTTTGTTTGTTTTTCTTTTGGCAGATACTGGAGTGGCTTGCCATTTCCTTCTCCTGTGTATTTTACAGATGAGGAAACTAAGGCAAACAGACTTGCCCTATTAAGTGTCTGAGGCTGGATTTGGGCTCAGGAAGATGAGTCTTCCTGACTCTAGGCCCAGCGCTCTATCCAGTGTGTGCCACCTAACCACCCCACATCATACCCAATATGTGCTTGAATTGAATTGAACTGAGTTAACTTAGCTAGGGATATTTACGTCCGAGTCCCTTCTAGGGTTATACCTGCCTGTTCCATGCCTTACGATGACCTAGTTCTACTGCTGCTAACAGACAAACAAGTAGCTTGGTTGAAGGAGGCGGTCTGATGTGATGGGAAGAACACTAGATGTATTCAATTCCCGGCTCACTCCCTGCTAGTTGGGCCCCCAGAAACCCTGGGAAGACTGTGCCCATTGGGACAGATCTATTATATACAATAGACTCTTCTGGGAGCTGACAGACTAGATTGTTTCTTCACACCTGCCTTCTCCCTCCTTTTGAAGAGATAGGTTTGGACTGTCTTGCCCTCCCAGAAGGAGGAGGATACAGAGAATGAAGGGGAAGAGAGAAAGAAGAACATGGGAGGAAGGAAAGGGGAAATTAGGAGGGAAGCTCTTCCACTTTGGGGAGAGGGGCTTTGATTTCCTGAGTGCTTGCTCCCCACCACCGCTCCCATCTCCTGCCCAGATTTTTTTTTCCTACTTTATCTTATCTAAGGTCGTCTGTCCATAGTTGTTTGCTTGTTATCTCCTTGAGAGCAGGGACTGTCTTCTTCCTTCTTTTGAATGTCCAGGGCACAGTGCCTGGCACGTAATAGTCACTTAATAAATGCTCAGTTCTGATTAGCTCTTACTGGCCAAACTGGAAGACACTTCTTAGAATGAAGAGTTTCATTCTCCCATTTTTTTTGGAGACAATGGAGGTTGTGAGGTGCCCATGGTCATACAGCTAGTGTCAGAGGCCAGATCTGAACTCAGGTCCTCCTGACTCCAGTGCTGATGCTCTACCCACTGCACCACTTAGCTGTCCTGAGTTCCATTCTCAAGATTTACAAGATCATCTGGTCCAGGGGTTTCTTATCTGGGTTCTGTGGACCCTCAAAGAGTCCATGGATAGATTTTAGGGGGTCTATGAATCATATTAAGGGAGCAGCTAGGTGGCACAGTGGATAGAGCACTAGGCCTGAAGTCAGTAAGACCTGAGTTCAAATCCAGCCTCAAATATTTACTAGCTGTGTGACCCTGGGTGAGTCACTTAACTCTGATTGCCTGTTTCCTCATCTGTAAAATTAGCTGGAGAAGGAAAGGACAAATACTCCATTATCTATTATATACCCACAATACAGCCATGTTATAATTCCGCTGATAGTATGTAAGCAACCTGAAGACAGAGCTATTTTTTGTCTTTGTATCTTCAGCACCTAATAGAATGCCTGCTACAGAGCAGGTGCTTAATTAATTAATTTTTTTGATTGATTGAATCTGTGTTTTCTCTTTTGAAAATTGTCCATTATGGGGCAGCTAGGTGGCTCAGTGGATAGAGCCCTGGCCTTGGGAGTCAGGAGGACCCGAGTTCAAATCCGGCCGCAGACACTTGACACTTACTAGCTGTGTGACCCTGGGCAAGTCACTTAACCCCAATTGCCTCCCCCCCAAAAAAAAGTCCACTGTGTACTAGAGAGTGGAGGCTTGAAAATGTGGAATTGGGGTTTCTTAGCATGAGTTATAAACGGGTTGTGGCACATGAGGAGGAGCTGATGTGAAGCAGGAGAATCATTAGAAGCTAGGGAAGTGAACTCAGAGGCTGACGTTAGATGCTGCATACAGAAGCTGACATGCCTGAAAAACCACTGGAGGCAGAGAAATGAAATGGAGACAGAAGAAGAAAATAGCAGATACTTGGAGCTGAAACCAGCTGATCAAAGACAGGCAGCCTTTTGCAGGTGATGAAGGGAGCTGTTCTAAATGGAGGAAAGCTCTGATGCTGGGAGCTGATTAAAAAAAAGCAGAATTCTGTTTTTTGAAGGACTGGGAAAAGGCTGTCTTGCTTGATAGAGTCATCTACAGCTTAAGAGAGAGGAAACCTTTAGAGTTTTTTAGAGGCTTGACTGCCTTCTGTGTCGTGAAAGGAGACCTGAATAGCTTTGTAGACATCAGGCTTAAGGAAACGGATTTTCACTGAAATGATGTAATGCAGCCAAGGGAATATATCTAGAAGGCTCTGAAGATTCAAGGCTTGATGCTCTTAAGTAGTAGAGAAGTGGCTTTGTTTAGCAGGTGAATGGAGAGGCCCAGTAGAGGAATCCATTCTTCCAGCAAGTGTCATATGTAACCTAGAGATGAAGGACCTCAAAGCCTGGAGTGCAGGGAAAGGACATGAGTTTCCATATTCATGGCTCGCCGCTGGGTTTCTTTATTATTGTGCCCACTCCCACCCAAAAAACACCGTGTACTTTGGTGGGCAAATATAATCCAGGTTTATGGGGAGATTTATTTTCATTCTTTTTGCTTCATCCTTTTTGTTTAGTAAATGTTTTATGACAGTGTTTAAATGGGAAGCACACTGGTGGGGACTAGGGAGCCTTTAGATGTGAGTAGTAGTAGATTTGTTTCAGCTCCCACTAGAGTTACCCCTAGGACTCCTAGGAGAGTAAATTGTTAACTTTTTAAGGAAACCACCCTAATCAGCCAGTGTAGATGCAATTTAGGGTAAGTTAGCCCGAGTGTTGTAAGAGAGACCTAAACAGAAATGGGGGTCAGTGTAACACGCACATTACAAATTCAAAACAAATATAGCCTAACTAGCCATCTAAATATTCTCCTACAACTTTTCCCAAGAAAGGATAGAAATGGCATTTTACTATAATTTGTCATCAACGCTCATAATCCCTATGCCATATAAGCATTGGTTGAAGGAACTTGGGTTGCTCAGCCCTGAGATGAGAAGCTGGGGGGAAGCAATAGAGATAATTGTCTTCAAATACTTAAAGCGTAGTCATGTGAAACAAGAATTAGGCTTGAGATGAATTAAGAGCACTGTGCAGGAGTTGTAAAGAGATAAATTTAGACTTGATGTGGGGGAAAAAACTCGCTCTTCTTTTGGGACCATCCCAATATCCTAGATTTATACCCATGCCCTCAGTCTGAATAGTCTCCCTCAAAACAGCCCTGGTCATGATAAAGTTCTGAGGGGTTACATGTATCATCTTACTCCATATGGATGCAAACAGTTAAACTTTTAATTCCTTATGATTTCTCACTCATGTTTAACATTTTATGCTCCTTGAGTCTCAGGTTTGAATGTCAAATTTTCTCTTCAGCTTTGGTCTTTTCTATCAGGAATGCTTGAAAGTCTTCCATTTCACTAACTGCCCGTTCCCCACTTACCCACCCATGCCCTCCCCCTGGATCATATTGTTTTACTGGACAGGTGACTTTTCGTTGTAATCCCAGGTCCTTGGCCTTCCAGAATGCCATAATCCAAGCCCTCGGCTCCTGTATAGTGGTAGCTACTAAACCTGGTATAATAACTGACTGTGGCTCCATGGTATTTGAACTATTTCTTTCTGGATGCTTTGTAGTATTTTCTCTTTGATCTGAGAGTTTTGGATTTGAGCTATAATATTCCTGGAAGTATTTTTTTTAGGATTTAAGAGGTGACTGGTAGACTTTTTCAATTTCTATTTTGCCCTCTGGTTCTAAGAAATCTGGACAGTTTTCCTTTTTGACTTCTTAAAATGTCTCGCTCCTTTTCTGGTCATGGCTTCCACATAATCCAGTAAGTCTTAACTTATCTTTCTTCAATCTTTTTTTTTCTAGGTCAGTTGTTTTTCCTAAGAAATTTCATATTTTTTTTTTCCAACTTTTTGGTTTTTGGATGTCTCGCGGAGTTATTAGCTTCCACATGGCCAATTCTGATTTTTCTGAATATTTTATTATTCACTATTTTTTACCTCTTTTTACCATTTGGTCAATTCTGATTTTAAAGGAATTTCATCAGCGTTTTTTGGTACATCTTTAACAACCTGTTAGTTCTATTTACATAATTCCCTTGCATAGCATTTGCTCTCCCTCAATTTATTCTCTATAGCTCTTATTGGATTCTAAATAAATTTTTAAAATTGCTTTCTTGAACTTAGAAATTCTTGTTGGGCTTGTGTCCAATCTGCATTTTTTGAGGCTTTGTTTATAGATGTTTTCAAGTCATTGGTCTTCTTCTGAGTTTGTATCTTGAGCTTCCCTGTCACCATAGTAACTTGTTATGGTCAGGTTTCCTTTTCTTCCCCCCTCCTCTCTCCTCATTTTCCTACCCTATTTATTGACTTTGGGCTTTATGTTAGAGTTGGACTCTGTTCACCTCTGGGGGAAATGTCTGGCCTGAGTTGCCTTTTATGTCCTTCTGCTACTTTCACAGCTCAGTCTAGGGCCTGTAAGTTTTCGTGCTTTCCAAAGTGATGTGTTCTGGGAATAGGTCTGTTTTATTGCCCTTCTGGTCTGCATACTGCAAATTCCTGACCCAGTTTGGGTGTGTTGGCTTGTATGTAATTAAGATTCTGTATATTGCTGCTTGACTAGCTCACAATTAGCCTACTATGAGGTTTGGTAGGTTAGAAGAGGCTGACCTGGTGGCTCTCTTCCACTGCAGGCTTATGTGCCACACTGAAGGTCAGAAATGAATCCCACTCTACTGCTGAGCCACCCAACTGTGGCTCTAGGACTAGTACCCTGCTCCCTCACAATCATGACTGCTCCTTCCTGCCCTGTAATGGTGTACCAGTTGGAGTCACCAGATGGGACCCATTCCTGCTCCTAGCGCTAGCACAGGGACCCCCTGGGTTCCTTCTGCTGCTGGGTTGCTCCCCACTGCTGCTTCCACCCATTAACACACTCCTGTGCTTATACTGTATTTCTGGCCGGTGCCCACCCATCTACCGACCAGTTTGTTTTCCCAAGCCGCTTTGGGCTGGAAAAATGACTCAATGTGACTTCTTGGCTTTCACAACTGGTGTGCTTTATAGGTCATTGCGGAGGAGTTTGTGAGAGAATTAAGGATCAATTGCTATATCTTGCTCTGCCACCCTGACTCCCTCTGATTGGGTGGTGGTGAATGGAAAGTAGACTTTGGTTCTAGGTCAAAGGTTTTGAAGCCGAGATCTATAGATAGATTTCCAGGGGTCCGTGAACTGAGATGGGGGAATTTTTTTTTTTTACCAACTTTCAAATTCAAATATCATTCTGTATGGAAATGTTTTGTATGATGTCACATGTATAATTTACATGTAAAATTGATACACTAAGGCATGGGGGAAGGGCAGGCATTTGGAACTCAATTTTTAAAGATGTTAAAATATAAAAATGTAATTGGGAAATATTTTATGTGTGTGTATACACACACACACATATATGAGAATAATATTCTCAGAAGTTGCCCATAGGCTTCATTATATTGCCAAGGGGATGTTTCCAAATCTGCAAAGTGAAGAAACTGGACTAGATGATCTATAAGCTCCCTTCCAGATTAAGCACATTTTAAGTATTAGTATGGCCCTGGATAGTCTGATCAAAATTCATTTAATTCTCTATGTACAAGATATTTTAAAAAACACTACCAAAAAGATAAGAGGAATAAAAAAAAAAGAGCTATCAGTGAGAAAAGATACATGGAGGACGAGGAAGAAGGAAAGAGAACAATGCCTACTCTGCGCCAGGCACTGGCTAAACATACATAAAGACCTCATTGGATCTTTACATAGACCTGTAAGGATTTTTAAATTCCTCCTTCAACTGTCTGCAGGCAGAAGCACAGTGAGTGGTGCTCATCCCAGTCACTGCCCTAGCACTGAAAAGTGTGTTGCACAAAGAGCCCTGTTCTAACACTATTAAGTGTTTTTAATACAGTTAACTACAGTTCTGTGACCGTAGGCAAGTCACTCTATTATATGTCTGTAAAAATGGGTGTGTGTGATGTTTGCACGCTGTCACAGGCAGGTTGTGCCAGAAATGTCTTGAAAATTGTAAAATGTTGAAGCTGTGACCAAGTTGTAAGTGTACAGGATGGAGGGCTGGAAAGGATCTTAGAGGTCACGTAGTATAAACCCACTTTACTTCATGGTTGAGAAAACAGATCTAGAGAGATGAAATGGTTTGCCAAAAGTCAGAGCCAGAAATCAAAGCCAGGTCCCTTGACTCCAAATCTGTCTCATGTGGTTAACATGGCAGGTAATCCCTGGTCCTGCTTAAAGCATATGGCTTTTCTGGAACTCATCTTCCCATAGGGGTCCTGCTGCACTCTGGACTCCTGTAGGATGCAGCCAGTTAACTTACTTTCTCCGTCACTTGCAGGTTCTTATGAGTGCATCATTCCTGGGAGCCTTGTGTCTCTTCTCATCTGTCTGCATTGTGTGTGCCATTTCTGCATTCACACTCCCCATTGAGACTAAAGGGAGGGCCCTTCAGGTAGGTGACACTGCTAAACCATTTAGTGTTTTACACTACCACTTATTTCCTTTGCTTTCAGATACCCCTCTTCTAGGAAAGAGATGATAAATGTGTTTACACTGAGCCCATTTGATTACAATAGGGGTCAACACCCTTTAACGGAAAGTCTTGAAGAACCTCATGACATGTTATATATCTAAATAGACATTCCACCCAATGGAATGCCTCAATATGGCAGAAAGAGGATCTTAAAGCCTAGGCCAACAGAATACTAACTCTGCCAAGTTTCACCAAGCTACAGAAATGTATCTTTGAATCTCAACTATATATTCTTATAAAATGTATAGTTTCATCTATACCTTTATTATTCTAGTATATATAACCTACTAGGGTGCAATCAGTAAGATACTACTTTAATGCCCTGACTCCCAGAAGAAAAAATTTTTTCCCTAATTTCTTGTTTGTCTTCAATTTTAGCTGCATTGGTTTGTGCAAAAACTTTACAATTTTACATAATCAAAAGGGTCCATTTTGCCTATTCTGAACCTTTCTAGCTCATGTATTGATTTAGGGTTCTTGGATGTGCAACAGTTCATAGATCTTTCTGTACTTCATTGTATTCACCACATTCATTATTTCTTATGGTACAGTAACATTCCAATACATTCATGTACCCAAATCTAGCCATTCTCCAACAAATGTGATTCCCCAGGGAGATTCCAAACAGAGTCACTTAGCCAGATGGTTCACTGGTCTTTTCTAAATGCTTACTATAGGCCATCACTAAACAGTGATGATAAAAAGAAAAGTAAAAAACTTTCTCTGCTTTCAAGGAGCTCCCATTCTATTAGAGAAAAAAACATGTAAAGAACCACGCACCTCCAAGATCTACAAAGCAGATAACATAGAAGGTAAATGGAATGGAACGTGAAAGGGAAAGCCAAAATAAAACCTCTTTTCCCTAAAACCCCACGTATCTCATCCGTATTTACCTGTTTCAGTTGAGGACACCATCATCTTTCTGTCATGCAGGTTACCAATCTCCATCATTGATAGCTCTTCCAACTTGGCCCCAATATCCAATGAGCTGCCAAACCTTGTTTATTTCACCTTCACATCTCTTGTTCTCATCTTCCCTCTAGCCACATGACAGCCACATTCAGACCTTCTTCACCTCTCTCATAATAGCCCAAGTGAAGTTCCTGCTTCATCTGTTCTTCCCCCAAACCATCCTCTACACTGCTGCCAAACTGACTTTTGAATGAAGGTTCTGTTGAGTGATGGGGTCAGAAACCAGCTTGGAAACGGCTGGGAAGAAATAGAAGCAATGAATTTAGGCCACTTTTCCAAGGAGTTTGGCTGTAAATGAGAAGAGAGGTTTGAACAATAGTTGGAGAAGATGATACAGTCTATGAATGTTTTTAGGAACCAGACAACCAGAAGGTAGAGATCAAAGCCGAGGGATGATTGTGAGAGGCTACAGGCTGAAAGAAGTGGGGTCAAAAGTACAAAATGAAGGCTGATTTCAGAGAAGGATCACCTTTCTTTTATAAGGAACTAGCAAATGGAGGATGAAATTAAAGGGTTTTCAGATGTCTGAAAAGGTCTCTATTTTCTCAGCTAAGTAACAAGCTGAGGTTCTTGGTTAAGAAGGTGGAGGAAGTAGTATCGGAGGGTTGAGATGAAAGGCAGATTTGAACAACCTCTGTAGGGAGTAAGATTGAGGATCAGAGAGTAGTAAGAGCAGTCTTGTAACAGGAAAAGCACAATGAGATTAACAAACTTGTAGAGGACCCTGTCAGCTTGGTTCTAGGATTTCTTCCAGTCCCACTCAGCACCAGAGAGATGAGCAGAAGAGGGAGGTGGTAGACATAATCCAGAGTTGGGCGTTCACTGGCAAAGGGGCAAGGAATTTCAGAGTAGATGACTGGGCAGAGGTGAACTATTTGACCAAGAAATTAGGGTAGGAGAGAGGGATGAATGTTTCAGTGAGCATGAATAAGTGGAGGGATTAGGCACTGAGAGAGATGAAAGAGCAAATTATGATCTGATAAATTTATTTCAGAATGTGGTAACCTTGAAGGCAGAACCCCTTGAAATGTGGCTTTTATCTTTGTATCCCCAGCCCCTCTCATTGCATGGCACTTTAAAAATTCTTACTTATTCCACAATACACTTGATGGCTCTCACAATGCCCTCATGGATATGTTGTCCCAAGTTAACAGGTTTGAACCTTAGACTGAATTTATTAGGCAGAACTGTAAAATTCATTTAAATTGTAAAGTCAGTTTAAAAAAAATCAACTTCCAAAGGACAGGATATGGAGAAGTGCCTAGAGAGCCATTCATGTGAAGATGATTTGGGGTTTGAGCGGACAACGAGCTCAAGGGGTTAACAATAGCAACGAGGCTGCCAAAAATGCCAACGTGCTTAGGCCAGTGATGCTCAACTCAAATAGAAACAGCATCATTAGTCCATATGTAAAAATCCATGTAGGCCACATGTTAACTTAGTTTTAAAATATATTTTCCAAGTCAGGGGTGGTGAACCCTCAGCCTCAAGGCTCAATGTGGCCCTCTAACTGAATCCAAATTCGACAGAACAAATCCCTTAACAAAAGGATTTGTCCTATAAAGCTTGGACTCAGTCAAAAGGCCACACCTTTCATTCAGACCTGTTCCCCACCCCTGTTATACAGGTTTCAGTGTATTTTGATCATATTAGTTTATTATTAGTAGTATATTATTATTATTAATTTATTATTGGTTTGAGCATCACGTGATATTGCAGGATGTATGCAGCCCTCTGTCTCAGGCTACATTAATAGAAGCATATGGTTGACTGGAAGATGTGTGGACACAGGATTACCACTGTACCTGTCTGTTGCTTATAAAAAGGCATTTGATTTTACAGAGCAAACAGCACCTTTAAAGTTTTTCCTCCTAAAAGATATCTCACACCTTCATGTCCAAATTATACAATATACCTTGAAAGATGAGATACGCTTGCTAAATGACAGTCTGACGAGTGACAAGTGAAGCATAAAACAAGCTGTGCTCGGCCAACGTGTTTGACCCTTCGCTGGAGAAGATCCAGGACCACAGTCTAAATTTCAGTGGCTGAAATTAGCTGGAATCCTGCAGTTGCTCCTGAAAAACCAAGCAAACAGCCTCTTTTTAGAGGCTGAGATCCAACAGAGGCATCTCGATGTACTGTGGCTGATAGTTCACTAAATGACACCCATAATCACTCCATAGTTTCAACTGTCCAAGAAGGAAAAACCAAGCAGGCAAAGAAGGCCTGTTATCCAAATTATCCTACACAGAAGGAGTTAGTCTTTTTAACTCAGTATGTGACAAACAAGTAGTTACTTTAACAAAAACTTTGTTGATTGTGAGACAGACAACTTATCCATCCATCAACATGAATCTTGGATGTTCTGGAAGCAGGAATGAACAAGAGGAAATTGATTGGATGGCCTTTGGAAAACTACAAAGGTTTTTCAGTGACCCTAAGCTTCCTCTTGAAATAGCAAAGGCTCATTTTTCCAACATTAATATTAGTCTTCTAGGAATGATATATGGCTGCGAGTAATTTAACTCTCTCTATAGTCTCTGAAGTATTAAAGCTGAGTATTGCCCAAAGGGAAATGGAGAACCACAAGGAGGGCACAAACAAACACAGAATTATGCGGGAGCAGTATAAATAATGTCAACCATGAAATGATGAAAAGAGACAGGCCAGTTGCACAGGAGAGTTAATCAGCGGACAGTCATCTTTCTCTCTGGAATCCTCAACAAGGGTTCCCACCGCATCAGGTGGATGCTCTGAAGTAAATTGGGGAGAGGACATGAATAGAAACTGGACAGCCAAAATGATGGTTCATAATCTGCATCCTTGGAGGGAATGACCATTATGAAATAACCTATTACAGTAGTGGAGTTTCCAGAATAGGAAAGGTGATCGTCTTCCCTAACTCTGACTGATAAGAGTATATCTGTAGCATCGTATTCACTTCTGGGTGCCATAAGTGCGCGGGGCAATCAGATGAAAATCTTGAGCTCACACCTTGTGAGATTTGGTTGAAGCACCCGAGGATGTTTAGCCTGCTTATTCGAGGTCCATCCCAACTCTAATACCCTGGGAACTCTCCACACAGTTGCTGCACGCTTCCTTGGAAAGTTAAGATAGTTCCCAAAGTGGGCAGTATTGCCCTCTGGGGGGCACTGGACTGATCCAGAGGGGTGGTAGTAGTTGGAAATGATGCAAATTAAAAAACAAAACAAAAACTATTAAAGGGTTAAAGAAAGATTTCCAGCAGGGGCCCAAGTAAAAAAAAAATTTTTTTTGATAAGGGAGCAGTAGGCCAAATAAGTTTGGGAACCTTTGCAAGTTTAAACTAAGGAATGCCACCCTCCCCTCAGCGGTAAATGCTACAACAGTATTTTCACTATTTCAACATACTTCAATGTACTACCGGCTTTGTGAAGAGTCTGAGTCCAAATATTACTTAAGAATTACCATATGGAATCATACCTTTTTGATCATTTCAAAGAGATTAAAATCGGATTCTTTCCCATCTGTCGAGGAATTAGGTTGAATCTTTAAGTTGTTCTTAGACAACTAAACAAAAAGCTAAAGTTAAGGTTTGTTCCTCTTGCATTAGGATAAGAAAAACTAACTTTAGAGATGGCATTCAACCATAATGTATGCTCTGACTAGTATACAGATCTTAATCTTAATTTTACAAAAAGAACATACCAGGATGGTAAGTAAATTAAGTTAATGCCCAATGTTTGGCTTCTAATTTGATTAGTAGAGCAAAAAGTGGTCATTGTGAGATTCTGATTTATTCAATTTATCTTTTTTTACAGCAAGCAAAATGAAGACATGCAAACGATAACCAAATGGAGAAGTATATTTTATTTTTCACAAACATGTTCTTGAGGTAGCTTTATTTTACCCTCTCCCTACTCCTACAATTTATCTTGAATTCACTTTTGTATAATACTATATTATTAAGGAACAACTTTTTTTATGGATTTGAGAGATAGCTTGCTTTACTGGGACTTTTCCTTCCAATATTCAATAAATACCTGTTATACAGCCCAAAGTAGTCTCTTCTTATCCCAGCAGGTATCAGAACCAAAAAGCTTTACAGATCTTTCTCTATCTCTTTGGACTTCTACAACAGTACCGTTCAATGCCCAACAAATGCATAAGTGAGCCTTAGAAAGAAAGGATTTCAGGTTGCATTTCATGCCTGGGAAAGGTTGTATATGTAGGTATTTTTGAGAGCAATCTTGACCCTGGAGGAAGTCATTTAACCTCTCTGACCTTGGTTTTCTCATCTCACAGAATGGGGATTTGGACTAGATGACCTCTCAGGTTACTCTCATGCTGAATGTCACTAAAACATGCACATGGATTTCAGAGTTATTTATCTCATGATTTTAAAGTTTGGATTTCTGCTGATGTCTGATAACTTAGCCCAAATTATTAGAAAACCCACTGTGGTCATATTTATAATACTACCATCAATTTGAAACCAAATGGTAATGGGAAAAAGCATGAGCTCTGGAGGCAGAGGAACTGAATAAAATCCTGGCCATGTCACTTAATCAGAACCTCCCTAGGACTTATGTCCTAATCTATAAAATGAAGATGTCAGAAGGTTAAGTGCATTGCAACTCTAAATCTATGGTCTTATTACCTAAAATAATTTAAGTTGAGTTTCCAGTTTATCAGTCATTATTGTTTAGCAGTGAGAAAACCAGTGCAATATAAGGAAAATGGATTCTGAAAACCAGGTGTCTGGGTCCTACCAGGTAGGGGATGAAGGAATTTTGTTAAGTCCTACTTTGTTAACCTTCCAGCTTTCAAATCCAAAAGGTAATACCTGCAATACTTTATAAGGCTGTGAATGAGGCTGATATGAGATAAGGAATTTGAAAATTATGCACACTAAAATGTTACATAAACGCATGACATTAACTGGTAAATATAATTTGCCTTGTTTCAGAAGTAGAGCACTAAAAGTGAATTTTTAAAATGTTAAGATTCTTCTGAAGATTTCTTGAAATTAAGAACAAAAGTTTCTTAGATATTAGAAATATTTTGAAATTTATGTTCTAGAATATTGGACTGTTATATATCCATTTTTTTCCCTCCCAAGGTTTGTACCAGGAAGCAAACTAAATTTAATTTTTCTCAGAAGAAAAATGAGTACAGGACTTCGCTGTGCGATTACAACTTGAAGAATTTTAAAAAATATATTTTGTGTAGGCAGATTCTTGCAACATTTACCTATTTTTAAGAAGGTTTTTTTTAGTTGCCCCCAAGGATCCTCAGCAGGGTTAAACAAAAGATTTATGCTTAACAAGTCTACAGGCTCTGAATGAAATGCCCGATGCATTGTGACTAAAAATTACATAAAACACTTTAAAAGATGTTTTCATTTCAAAATAAAGGTTTTAAACAGGCAGAATCTCAATGTGTAACTTCTTAGTACCTTTGGCATTTTGTCCCCAAGTCTGGTTTTTGTTTAAACGTTTAATAACTTCTGAAGTAGGAATGCTCCAAAATTTACATGAACAAATTTGAAAGGATAACTAGGTAAAATGTAAGAACATCGATAAAATTCAACATAAACATCTTGTTCTATTAAGAATTTTCATCAGCTGCTGCTTGACACATTTGCAGTCCTAGACAATATTATTCAGAGAATGAGGTTTTGACGTGTTCTCACAAGAAAGAGTCTGATAAAGACAGAGAAAGTGACCAAGTAAAGTGGACCTCCTTTACTGATCCACTGGTCTGAGAAACTGTTGGTAAATAATGCTTAATAATTAGGGTGCCTCATCTTTTAAAAATTTAAAATTCACATAAATAAGTGTAAAAGAAATCTAAACAAACAAACATTTAGAAGATGTTTTATGTAAGTCAGTAGCACTTATCCTTCTGAAGGTATTTCAGTTTTAAACTTAAACTAAGACTTTTGGGTCATCTGATATATGGCTACCAAACCTTGATTAAGGCTCTGTACACATTTATTTAGTAAAGTGGTCTACATTTTAAGTTAACTGAAAATGTGCTTGGTATTTTAAAACTTCATAATTAAAGATATTGAATTCCTATCATTTATGTATACAAAGACAGGAGTCTCTTAAAATGCCATGCTGAACTAATTTTGCACTAGTAAATATATTTTAAAGTTCTTTTGAGCTGAAATACTCACATTATGAACATTCATTCAAGTTTATTTTATTAAAATCAAAGCACCACAGTCTGCCAAAAACAAAACATTCCATACATAACAGTAACAAAGACTACTGTATCAGATGTCCTTCACAATAAAGTAAGTGATTCCTCCATGAAGAAAGAAATCTGTAATCTGATTGGCTAGCATTGCTCAGGAACAAGATCCACCAGTATGTGAATTACGGCCCATTAATTTCACACCCAGTGTTACAAAGATGAAGGCTAGGTACAATCAGTTTGTAAAAAGACATTAAATATAAATTTACACAATGTTATAAAATGTTTAAAAAATATTTACATGGTTATTTTAAAGGGTTAATTTTTAAGACAGAATTGGGTGGTTGAACTCATGGTGATGCTTGTAATTCAAACAGCCAATCAGATCACTTTATTTCTCTCATTTATAATGAATGCAGGACACATACAAAAAATGAATAAACCTTCCATTTCAACCTATAAACCTTTTGATCACATGCAGCAACTTATTTTTCTGAATTCATAATATTAATTTGTGGACTAGGCCCTAGAAAAAGGAAGACCCTTCCCCTACTTCCCTGTCCTACTACCTTCATTATGGTATTTTGACTTGAAAGTTCAAACTTGTCTGATAAAATAAGACTTTGAAATTCATTATCAGAGTAGTTAATACTCACCCTTTTGACTGTGGGGCCAACCTCATACTCTGTTTTGAAAGTATTCATAGGTTATACTCTATTGATTCTGTTGTACAACCACCACACAGTCTTTAGGTTAGAAGAGGGTACCATTCATAGAGCAAGGGGAGAAGGTTTGTTTCTTGGCATTTATTTAAGTGCTATAAACTAGCAACCCTTGCTCCCTTCAGAAATGATCTAAAGGATGGCCTAATTCCAAATTAGTCAAGGAAAGGAAATAAATAGAACACCATCCAATTTTTAAGGAATATTTCATTACCAAATACTGATGTGAAGTAGTTTAAATTCAGTAATATAAGTTACTATATTTAAAGTTCTGCTGCTTTAAGAAAACTCTGAAAAGAAATAGCTTGTGAATACTAGGCCAAGTGGTCTTATCAGTAAGTCACTGCTTATATACCTGGCTTCCCCTGCTACAAAGTTGTACAATGCTTGGGGTCCATAATAATTGTTCATGAGGTTGGGTCAGCCTATTTTTTACTGTCTTCCAAAACTATGATACTAGGGCTAAGGTAGTATAGGGTTTATAAATGGGGCTACTAAAGTTCTGAGATTTGCATCTCTGACTCCTGCAACCATTCCAAAGGGAAAGCCATCATGGGTTTCCAAGACAGAAGTAGAAGCTGGAGTTCACAAGTTTAGGTCAGGGAAGCCTGAGTCACAATGAACACTTTTAACAAGCCCTTTCTTCATCCTAGGGATGTGGCAAGACTAGAGTTCTCTTAATGTTCTCTGCCAAAAGGGTACAGGAACATTATGACTAGGATACAGCCAGGCACCAGGGGGACTTGTTAATAAGGTAGCAGGCAATACGAGGTAATTTAAGGACTGTATCACTATAACTTTGTAACCTGAGTCCCAAGCACATAGTAGCAGGAGCTTATATGCTTCACTGAAATTAAGATATATAGGGCATTTAGAAATGCTACAGAAAATCGCAGAGATGATCTCACACAATGTAATACTGAAACAATCAATGTTCCAGGTGGCCTTATAAGAGACACTCAGAGGCAGTGTGGTATAGTAGAAATACTGGATCAGAAAATCCAGATTTAAGTTGTAGTTCAGACACTTACTAGCCATGTAACCTTGGACAAATTAACCTCTTTCATCTTCAGTTTCATCATCTGTAAAATTGGAGTAATAACACTTAAGACTACCTACTGTTGTGAGGAAAGCACTTTAACCATAGGAACACGAGCTTTCTCTCTCTCTCAAATGCTTAAATATAGCAGAGGTAAAGCAGGTAACCTGACAGTTTGCACTGAAAAACAAAAAATAAAATGGTATGACACTGAATACCACAGTAAGAGGTATGTATGTACACGCTTTCAGGAATTCTGGCTCAGTTTTATTTGGAAAATTACATTCTCCCCCTGCTCAAGCTTCACATCCCTTTGGTTGCCCTCCTTACAAGAGTCTAGCTATGCTGCTCTATTCCAACCCAAGGGATGAGTAGGGAAGGTCTATGGGGTACAAAATTGTGACAAGAATAGTAGCCCAACAGACAAAACACTTATAACAGCTCGAGAGCTTTTGTGCTAATAATGTCATTGCAAACCTAGACTGACACTGCTGAAAAATGTCAACTATTAACAATAGCTTTTCTCAATTTGTCCACAATGATACTCAAAACCATAACAGACACCTCATAAGTTACTTTTTTAAGTCTACGATCCAGGTTTAAGACCTCTAAAAGATCCTATAAAAATTGACATGGAAATCAGTATTAATATTTTAGGAGAAGAACTATGTCTGTACAGGAAATGGGAATGAACCTATTGCTTATGGTTATTTTACTCTGTGTGTCATCCTCAGCTGCACCTTAAGACTCAACTAATCAGCTTCAGAATATCATCAAATGGCAATGTTTTTGAAGTGCCCTGGCCAGGTTTTTATCCTTGAACAGGTGGCATAAGCTATAAGAATTCTTCTAACTTCAGCTGTGGTGTTTTATTACCACACCTCAACCAAAAGAAAATTTCACCTAATTTCTGTCAGTGTAAAACAAACATTTCACCAAATACATTAGAAAATTACAGCTAGGCTATTTCATTCCTTCTTCCCTAATCTACATTTTTCCCCTTTTAATAATATGCCCAAGCCTTGAAAACAATGAACAAAAAGGAGTAAGTATGAGCAGATTTAAGCCTGGCCCAATATGAAATCGGGAGAGAACTTTTTGTTTCTATCAGGCCTGATGGGAAGGGAAATCCAATCAAAGCTCAACCATAAAGAAGTGTTTAAAATGACATTATTGAGATCTGACACTATTAAAACCAAGGCAGCAAACGCTCCAGAGAACATCTAACAAAAATTCCACTAAAAGCTTTTACTCCAAAACACATTTTCATCCTAAACAACACGAGACAGTGAGAATCACAGAAACTACTTATTCTTTTTTTTTTTTAAAGTTCATTAATGCCCAAAAGTGTATGGTGAAGCAACTTCACATCACATACAGCACAAATGGCTGCATTTCAAAAAACTCAATCAAAAGCCATGTGGTAATGAATGAGGGCTTTTATCAATAGTAAAAAAAAAAGTCACATCTGTAGTTAATTTGTTAGAGGCAGTAACAGAGAAGACACTAGTTCCAGAAATGAATGGCTTGTAGCCTAAACACACCTGATACATAAAAACATCTTCACAGACAAGCCAAAAAATAAATCCAAGCATTTGTTTTCCTGATTTTTCTTTAATACACTCTCCATATTACATGACAGACCATCAGGTACTTCCTTAGTGGCATCTACCTACACTTCAATCGCACCAATCAGTATCCTAGGACATTTAATATCATATTCGTGGCATACTGTTAAGTACAGTAGAAAAAACTTATAATGGCCAGCCACGAGCCTTTGGTAAGAACGGGTAGTGGTATCACATTTTCTGAAAATGGATTAATTCACACTTTGAAACCACACTTAAGTTTTCAACCTTAAGTCTAAATAAAGGCTTTCTCCTTTCTTTAGAATACTTATGCAGCTATCCTTTCAGAAGCTGTTTTATGATTTTGAAGAAGGAGAAGGGTCTATCTCAATCTTCAATGATGCTTTTTTTCCCCCCTTTCCTTAATGGAGGTGGGTGTGAAGAGGTGGAGCGGGGAAGGAATATTAAGGAAATCAACAGCTATTAAACATCCACAAACCTACAAGTCAGAGCGGTCATGGACTTTTCCTTGCAATTATGTTAATCACTAATAAAAAGGTTAAAAAAAAAAGTTCAAACCAGTCCTTGCTACTGCGCCACTTATTTAAACAGTTGGCGGTCATCAATGCTTTTGAGACGCTTTTTTCGTGGTTGTACAAAGTCATCATCTGAATCATCACTAAATATGGTATCCTCTGTTTCATTCTTGAATTCCAGCTTTGGAAATTTTTTCTCTGGATAAAGGTTTTTCAGAAGGTCTTCAAAATAGCTTTCAAGTTTTATACCAGCACTGGCTACTTCAGAATCAGGCTATTGGAGGAAATGAAAAACATGATCAAAATTGATATAAAGAGAAACACAAATTCATTATAACTTCATACCTTTCCCCTATACAAAAGTTTGATCAGACTTGAGTGATTGCGTGGGAATGATAATATGAATGAAAGAATACTAAATACCATTCTGGTCACTGTACATCAAGGCAGAAACAGGTGGGATAAGGAGAAAAAGCCCAGAAAAGAATGTTTAAAACTATGTTTCTCAACATGCTTGGAAAAAAGTTCAAAGGACTACAGCAGGTATAAAATTAAAAAAAAACCAAACAAACCAAAAACAACTTTATCAAGTGCTTACTTACAAGGCATAGTGTAAGACTCTGTTATAACTATCACAGGGACGGATGAGAACTCATAGAATATCTATTAGGAGAATCTTTAATCTGGAACCAGGGTGATATATGGTTGAAGTCTATATGACTGAAAAATACACAGTTCAAGTGAACATGAAGAGAACTGGTCTCCAATCCTCCAATAACATACCTAGATAGCACCCCTTGAAGGGAAGTGGGTAATTTCAAAACACAAAGAAGACTATACTGTTGAGAAAGGGCAGCAAATATATGCAAATCATCTCCAACAAAAGATGATAAAAAGCCTGAAAATATGCAAAAGTTTAAGAAAAGTCTACATAATTATGGATAACCCAAGCAAAAGATAAGCTGTTCCTCAAACAATTTTGACCTCTCAATTCCTCAAATCAAAAATACTATAGATATTCAGTGGTATTAGAATCAGAGAAAATTTTAGGATATTACTTTAAAAATAATTAATTATCTAGGTTTTATGTAATGACAAAATGAAAATATTTTCCAAATGGATAAGCCTCTCTCTCAAGATAGCAGAAAACCAGTCTTCAAAGTGACTCCTGATTAACATGAACTCTTGCAGATTTATACCAAAATGATAATAAATTTGTCTTTGTAAGATGTAAAACAGTTTTAGATGTTTTGAATTAAGAATATCTCTAAAATAGCAGTCACTTCCTTTTCTCACCTCATTGAATTCAGCACAATTTTCAAAAATCAGTCGGAAATCAGCCACAAAATCTTCAGGCTTTGTATACACTGGAGAATCCACTTGGAGTTTCTTCTTAATGGTAGACAAGTCCATAGGATTTTTAATTATTTTGTAATAATCAGGCACCTTTGAAAACAAATCAAGTATCATTACTCCTTGGTATGATTTGTCTCAAGAGAGATTATGTATTTGTTAAGTTCTGGAGCTCAGATGAAATGCCTCTGGATGCTACTAGCCAACTGTTCTATGTAGCTTCTGTTAAAGTAGTGATTTATAAATAGAGTATGTAATCAACAGAAATTAAGTGGAAATACTAGAAGAATTTCAGATAATTTATAGTAGGTCTCAGACTCACTGATTAGGAAATTATGCTGGGAGAAGAGACCAAGTCTGAGAAAAATAAAGAAGTGAAGTTTGTGTTGTTACCTCAACGACCACTTGCCTCCTTGGGTACCCTTTTTCTTGAGCTATTCTTTAGTGGCTATACACAAATATTAGCGTAAATAAGTTTGGCTTTTAAGCCTTATGATAAATGAGCAAATTACAAGTTTTATCAAGGTTTAATCTGAGGGCAAGGGGATCTTCCCAGAACCTTGAAATGAGGGATACCTAAAATGCAAATCCATAAAGGAAACTTTACTAAACTTGTTGATTTGGGGCAACAGCTAAGTTTTTCTACCTTATTAAAGGTACCTAGAGTTTGTGTTATATCCACTGGGCAACACAATGGATAATACAGTTATAGATATAGAATTTGTAGGTCTTAGAAATCAAATAAGCCTAATGCTCTCTTTATACAGATGAGTTAACTGAAGACTAGAGTAGTTAGTTAAGTAATTTGCTGAAGATTACATCACATAGGGATTTGAATGCATGTCCCCTTAGTAAAAAAAATCCAGCATTCTCTCCATTGAATTGTATTCTCTGTATTGTTAATCAGGATTCTACTTTTGTAGACAACTGCTAGGTCTCAATTAGTACAAATAATTGAACTTCTGAAATGGTAGCACATATCCTTATTTGCACCGTTCAAACTCATAATTATGTAAAATATGGTAACTGTCCTAGCCCACTGGAAATATGCAATGTGAGTTGAAATAATGTGACAGTTTTTTCTGGAACAAAGCTCATTATATACCAGAGGTGTCAGAGTCACGGGTAGCAAAGCTAGATTAAAATGTAATTAAGAAATACTGAATAAAACCAGAAAACTAAATACAACATAGATAATGCTGATTTTATGTTTTTAAGTCAATTTGTACCCACAGGGATCCCTTTCATTCTGAGTTTGACACCACCCTTATATATTATGCTGCTCCTAATAAGAGTTTATAGATTTTAACAAGCAGTTTCTTACTTGGAACACAAACAAGAAAGAGATTCCCTAAGCTTCCTGAAAAAGCAAAAATAAATTTGCTATGAACTGCTACATAAAGTGAAGGTACCATAGAAGAGATAAGAATTCAGGTTCATTTAGGAAAAGTATGGCCAATAATACAGAAACTTCAAGCCTGTTTATGAACTTTAGACTGAAAATATTAAATGAGTACTGAGTCTTAAGCTTCATATGTTTTATGTGCAAATACTAAACAAACAAACAAAAAAACGCCCCAGGGGGCAGCTAGTTGGTGCAGTGGATAGAGCATCAGCCCCGAGTTCAAATCTGCCCTCAGACCAAACACTTGACACTTCCTGGCTGTGTGACCCTGGGCAAGTCACTTAGCTCCAACTGCCTAAAAATAACAAACAAACAAACAAAAGTCAACCCCCCCACCATTTTTAATGGACAAATCACATTTCTTTCTTTCTTTTTTTTTTTTTACAAAAACTAAGTACAACAAGAATACTTACTGTAGAAGGAACTGGATCTTGAAAAGCTAAGCTCATTTCATGGCAGTAAAGGAACAAAAGTAGTCGTTCACACTTCTGAACAAAAAAATAAACATATTGAAACAGGGCTTCGCAAATGCATACTTAACAGTCATTCAGTCAACAAGCATGCTATATGCTGGGCACTGAGCCATGTGCTGGGGATAAAAAGGAAAGCATAGTACCTGGTAAAAGTGCTAACAGCCTAACCAGAGATATAATATGAAAACTACCATACACAAACAAGATATATGTAGGATAAATTGGAGATAATCAGCAGAGGAAAGGAACTAATGCTAAGAAAGGTCGGGAAAGGTTTCTTGTGGTCATAAAAGAGAGAAATGAGAAATGCCAAGTAAGCCACTTACTTTTTTTGAAAACAGAAATCATTACCAGGTAAATATAAATGAAATACAAATGATTAATAATCACACTGGGAGGAACTACTATGTGTTATGACCATCTCCAAGAAATGGAAAAGTTTCTGCTACAGATGTCAATACTATAATGTTATCATGTAGTGGTGATCAAACCAAACAAAACACAAAACTTTAACCATCTGCTATAGGCACATAAATATCAGGTGAATAACTCCTGACATGCTTTGCAGGTAATTAAATTTTGAGAATATGAAGCTAAATAGATCAGTGAAACTGGTATTTTAGACATGATTCTGACCAATTAAGAAAGAAATGTTATACACCTTCAAATTGAAATAGGTAGGGAACTCTAGGCATAACGATACACATTTTGGACTTTAGGAGGGCAAACAGCAAAATATTAAGATTAGAATAAGTAGGATTTATACAGCAGAAACTAAGCTAGCTTAGGAAGGATGTGAGTTTCTTAGGAACAAAATTCTGGTAACAGAGCAGCAAATGATTCCAATGAGAAAAGGAAAGTATATCTAAGGAGATCAGTATAGCTACATTAAAAAACTCAAGACTGAAGAACATAAGTCACGGAATTAGAGCTGATAAGAAAGAGAGGGCAGGGGAAGATGGGGACGGGGGACAAAGAGTGGTACGGTCCTCTTGGAATAGTGTCAGGAAGGCTAAAATCCAGGATGAGTTAAAAGTTATTAAATGAAATGTAATAGGGATATATGTAATTACTGGCACTTTCGATTAAAAAACAAACCAAACTAAAGAGAGTGGTGAAAAAGTATGTCTCAAAAGGAATTATGTGGAGAGAAGGACTTGGGGTGTGGGGGGGAGGGGGAAGATTAGAAACAAGAGAAGAGGGTAAATAGAGGTGGCTTAATAGTGGACCACGACCTTAATATAAGGGTGATGCAGTATTCAAGAAAGCTAATGCAATCTTAGACTACATTAATAGAAGAAGTGTGTACAAAATAATGAAAAAGATATTTCTCTCATACTTTGCCTTAATCAGAAGTGGTCTGGAGTATGAAGCTCAATTCTGGGTGCTAGATTTTGGAAAGCACATTGATAAATAGGATTTTGGGGAAGGCTGTTGAAATAATGTTGAATAAAGGAACTGGGGGGTGCTTTTGTACTGAAAAAGACTTAAGAAAGACATGAGTATTAACATTATTCAATTATTTTCCCTGGTTCCTGAGAAGAGAACCTGGTTGAATAGGTGAAAGTTAAGAAAAGGCAGGTTTTGGCTCAAGAGAAGGTAATATATTCTAACCATTAGAGTTACTAAAAAAAACTGGAATGGATTGGAGACTAACATGGAGGCAGTCTGTTACTAGGGGTCTAGAAGCACAGACTGGATGTCGATTTGTCAGGGATATTCTAGATGAGAGTCTCAGAGGAGAGTTAAGATATCCTCTGATTTCACTTTCAACTGTAATTCTATATGTTTCTATATTGAGGACTAGAGAAAAAAGACGAACCCATTTTTCTGTCTTTCACATATGAAAAAATAATGTTGACGAAGGCAGTTTGTGGAATATAGTATTCTGAAAATTGAAATGTGATGAAAGAAATATTATTGAAAGTTACATGTTACAGACCTACTTAATTATTGTTTCCTGGGAATATATTTGGACTTGGTAAGGGACATAAAAGCTGGAAAGGCAAAGGGATAACTAAATCACCCAGGAGAGAAGAAACTAAACAATAATTACCATAGCCTTTTAGGACCAGGTTTTGTCAAATTTGTCTATGATAGACAAGAAAATGATGTGAGTGTACAATAAGTACTTGAAGACCAAAATCTTTTCTTGATTATTGCAGCAGCCCACTGGTGCAAACTGGAAGAGGCTGTAGGTTGTACTATCTATAGAATCCAAAGATGCCTTAGCATTCCTGATCTTTTTTTGAGTGCTCTGGGCCCATGTGCACCAGTATTTCCACATTTGCTCCTCACACACTGGTATAATATAGGGTGATATTCTCTTACTAGGAAAAAACTTCAAAGGTTCATAACTTTTACAACCAAAAGGGACCTTAGAGGCTATCAATACTGATGATATTATATAATTTATTTATAATTTATCACTGTTATTTTAATTGTAAACTTATTTCTTCAAATAACCAAAATTAAAATACAAATTAATTTTTAGAAAACTTTCAAAAGACAAAAGTAAACTTAGACAAAAAACTTAGACAAAAGTAAACTTTTATTATGGGGTCCTGAGTGATATTCTTGTTGGGAAACATCTCCACTTTTATTATAAAAAGCAAACTCATTACCAAAAAGTATTTTAATTGGGGGGGGGAAACCACTTTACAATCGACTTTTTCAGAAAACATTTCTTCACTAATATGAGGGAAGCCTTAATTGAGAGGTACATTCAAAGCCTGGAAATCACATTAAACTGAAACTTACCCTTTGATCAATTGGTGTTAATCCTACATGCCCTTCAGATTTTCGTTTTTCTGAGTTATAACTGGGATCATCGCAATCATATTCAACTTCTGGTTTGGATAAATCCCGACAAAACGTACAAATCCACTCTCCACTAGAATAAAAAGAAAAATGACAGTTCTTGAATTTTTATACAATCCTGGATTTTAAAAAAAATTATATTTACCCTTGTGTATAATTTTTAAGGAGCATTGTTCCCTCCTTATTATGAAAGATTTAGAAGAAAATTAATTCACTAGGAGTTCCACTTTTCCCTCAATCCAAGTATAGGGCAGATTTATATTAAGTCTAATGTATATTTTACCATACATATAGTACTGGAAGAAATAACCTCTTTCAGCTCAACATTCTATGACCTGTAAGAAAGGTCATGGCCCTCCTTGGGCTTCACAATCTAGTTCAGATAATAATCACATGATAAAGTTAGTTTAAAAGTTATATATTAATAACACACACACCACCCACCCACCAAGTGCTATATTTACTTAAGGAAGAGTTATTTTGTATCTAAATCCTACCTAGATTTAGTAATGGTGGTTTAAACTCAAGTGCTACTCCATCAAATCCACAAGGAACACAATGTGATAAAGACACGAGGGCATTATAGGCAGAGGAAAACCATGAACTTAAAAGTCAGAAATATGCATGGCAACTTTGAGGTATAGTAAGGGAGTAAAAGAGGTCAAAGCAAAAGATTCACGGTCATTTAAATCAGGAAATTAACTTATCTGTCTATGTACAAAACACTGCTAGGTGCTGGAGATACAAAGATAAACGTGAAAAACCTCTGTGTGAAGTTTATGCTGTGCTGGAGAAACACATGTTTACAAATAAGCTAATCTGAGCACTAACATATAGAGTAGGGGGGAGGGGAAAGGGATAGCAAAAGAGGAAACCAGAAAAAGCTTTGAGTAAGAGGTATGGTGAGGTATACCATAAAGCGAGGAACTGCTTCAAAGAGGTGGAGGTGAAGGAGTGTGGAGTACCTACAAGGCTAGACAGGCAGACAGGACACCAGACTGAAAAGGGCTTTAAATGCCAGGCCAAGGAAGTAGTATTTTATCTCAAAGAAAGCAGAAATCAGTCAAGACTTTTTTTTTTTGCGCTTTTTTTAGGCAACTGAGGTTAAGTGACTTGCCCAGGGTTACACAGCTAGTAAGTGTCAAGTGTTTTGGCCTGAGGCTGCATTTGAACTCAGGTCCTCCTGACTTCAGGGCCAGTGCTCTATACACTGCGCCACCTAGCTGCCCCCTATAAAGGGTTTTAAGCAGAATAGTGACATGGTTAGAGATGTGCTTTAGCATGTCAGGCTAAATTTATAGGAGATAGATTCAAAGAGAATAATTAGAAGCTAATTGCAAAAATCCATGTGAGATCGTCAGCAGGGGCAAAGGGATAAATGTGAGGGATGTTGCAGAGATATCACTGAATAATTTCTGAAAAAAGGACAGAGTGGTTAAATTTAAGAGAACTTACAAAATTAAAGACTTAATTGGCAATGGAGAGTCAGTGGAAGGCTTTGAACAGAATTAACATTATAATTTGGTGACAATACAGAAGACAGATTAAAGGGATGAGACAAAGCAATCAATTAGAAGGCTTTTGCAATACCTTAGATGGGAGGTGATCAAGGCATGAACTAAGGTAGACTTAAATGTTTTTTTACCCCAGATATCAATATAACTGGCCATTTACTTATTCAAATGGCTACCACAAAAATTTAGATCCACATAGCCTCCTGTGTATTATAACAGCATCTCTGTTCCAAATTGCTCCCACTGCCAATTCATCTCATACACAGCTAAGAGTGATTTTTTAAAAAAAAAATTGAATGCAGATCTACCTATGTCAATCCCCTAATCAACTAACAATAATGTCTCCCTTATCCCTACTGCCTTTATAATGAAATGTTAAGTTCCTCTGCCTAGTCTTTAAAACCGCTGACAACCTAGTTCAAAATGAATTTCTAGGGCCCCCTTCCTATACTCTATGGCCAGGGTATGTTATTCGTCCTCACGCATAATACAACATCTCCTGTCTTTACACCTTTGCATGAAATAACTTCCTTTCTCGCTGCCACCCTTTGTTTCTTTAAAAATTCTTTTCAAAGCCATTTTCCAACTGATAAATGGTCAAAGGATATGAACAGGCAGTTCTCAGATGAAGAAATGAAAGCCATCTATAGTCATATGAAAAAATGCTCCAAATCATTATTGATTAGAGAAATGCAAATGCAAAACACCTGTCAGATTGGCCAAGATGACAAAACAGGAAAATGATAAATGTTGGAGAAGATGTGGGAAAATTGGAACACTAATACATTGTTGGTGGAGTTGTGAAATGATTCAACCATTTTGGAGAACAATTTTAAACTATGCCCAAAGGGCTATAAAATGTGCATACTCTTTGACCCAGCAATAGCACTTCTAGGGCTATATCCCAAAGAGATCAAACAAATGGGAAAAGGACCCACATGTACAAAAACATTCATAGCAGCTCTTTTTGTGGTGGCAAAGAACTGGAAATTGAGAGGATGCCCATCAATTGGGGAATGGCTGAGCAAGCTGTGGTATATGAATGTAATGGAATAGTATTGTGCTATAAGAAATGATGAACAGGCTGACTTCAGAAAAACCTGGAAAGACTTGTATGGTCTGATGCTGAGTGAAGTGAGCAGAACCAAGAGAATGTTATACACAATAACAGCCATGTTGTGTGGTGACTAATATTGATAAACCTAACCCTTCCCAGCAATACAAGGATCTAAGACATCTCCAGAGGCCTTGTCATGGAAAATGCTATCCACATCTAAAGAAAGAACTATCAAAGTTGAATTGCTATTTTTTTCCCCTCTTCTGTTGAGTTTTGTTTCCTCTTTCTGACAGTTCCTCCTATTGGTTTTAATTTTTACTTACAACACCACTAATGTGAAAATATGTTTAATAGGAATATAAATGTATAGCCTATATCAGATTGCATGCTGTCTTGGGGAGGGTGGTGGGGAGGAAGGGGGAGAAAAATTTTAAACTCAAAAGCATATGGAAGTGATTATTGATAAATCAAAATAAATTAATAAATTTTAAAAAAACTGTTCAAACACCATTTTCCACATACATGAAGCTTTCTCAGATTCCTCCCCCAGTAACTTTATGCTTCTATTTATTTTGTAAATACTTATGTAAATGCTATTTTCTCTAACAGAATGTAAGCCCCTTTAGAGGAGGGACTCTTTCATATTTGTCTTTGTGTACCACAGTACCTGGTTCATAGTAAGCCCAAAGTAAATGCTTATTGAGTAACTGACAGGTATTTCAGAAGAAATGCAAAGACTCAGTGACTAACTAGATAAGGGAATGAAGTTAGACTAGCTAATTTTTGAGGCATCTTCCAGGTATGAGGATATAATAACATAGTTGCTTTTAATTTTTCTACAAAAGACAAGATGAATTGCAAAATGGCTTATGGCTGGACAAAGATAGTAAAGTAAGAAGGGGGAGGTCGATACATCATACTTTATCTAAAACGGAACTTAACATTTAGGTAGAATTGTTCAGTTGGAATCTAGAAATGAAAATTTGATGGTTATCAATATAACTGATGTTACAGAACAGGTCCACTTCATTCAAGTGTATAAAGAGAAAAAAAGGACTGAGCTTTAGGTTGTAGGATCACAGATTAAAGAACGAAGAGGAAATGTAATCAGTTCAATCCCTTCATTTGTTAGGTGGAAGCAATGTCAGCAAAATGTAGTAGCAATGATGAATTTAGGAAAAGTTTCTCCTTCAAAGGAGGTGGTGGTATAGGGCTGATTAATGTCAAATGTTAAAGAAAATGGATAAAAAGCTCTTGAAGGTCACTGAAGACATTGAAAAAGTACAATTTTTATAGAATTTTAAGGTTAAGGAAGGTTAAGGAAGGAATGAAATAGAGGCAACATGCAAAATTCTTCTAAGTACATAATTTTAATTGAATGCCAAGGTAAGTCTGAAGTTCAAAAGACTCCAAACTAAAGGTATGAAATGAGATTGCCTGTACTGACTTTCACAAACGGCTTTTGAAATCAGTCACTTTTTAGAAGACACAAATAACAGTTTTCAAATGTGATGGATCAATCAACACTTTCTTACATTCTTTGAACACTTTAAAAAACAGACCTGTAAAAACAAATACTGTTTTTCCATTTTGTAAACAATCTTTAGCTTTCCTAAGTTCTTCCATAAAGTCTAACTTGTTACAAAGTCCTATCATTAAGAATTCTATCCATATCTTAAGTTCTATCCATAAGTGTGAAAAAATTCAGTTACAACAAAACATTTTAGAAAGATACAATTAAAGATACACAGGTACATAAAGGGATCATATCTAGCCTAAGAGTAAAATGCACGTTTGATGAGAACATTAGATAATGCCTTATTTAAACTTTATGCCACGCTCAGCTAACACAGCACTCTATAAATACTAGAATATTCATTGAGTTTCTTGAGGGAAAAATTAAAATAGAAAAATTAGTAAACATAAAAGTATGATAGCAGATCCCCTGTTAAACCCATTTTATAGAACCCAAGTGACTCTACTAAATTCTATCTCTTAACACTAACGAACAATTGGCTTGTTAGTAACAGCTGACACACGACTGACAAATATTTAAACAGAGGTGCTCCCAACATGCAATTTCTGTGGCACATTATTAAATACACAATTATTTTAGCATCAGAGACAGTAAAGGACAGTAGGAATGAGATGCAGAGATTCAATTTACCTTGGGAAATTCATCAATGTAGGCACATGACAAGTAAGATGGAACACTTTAGGGCATTTCTCACAGCAAAGGAGTTCCCCTCCATTCTGACACACTGCACACCAATCTTCATTGGGGTCATCTTCTTTTCTACTTTCTCCACCATGAAGGGGTGACTTCTGTGAGGTACCTCCCCAGCCAGACTTTCCGTTTGAAGGACTTGTGTGAAGTCCTGGTCTATCCCCTGTGCTATCAGGAGCGTCTGTTCTTAAAACAGCCTCCTCAGATGCGGTGTTATGGTTACTGTCCAAGAGCAATGAGGTAAGTATGCTTCTTGGAAAGTTGGTCTGCATGGGAAAAGGAAAAAAAAAAAAGAAAGAAAGAAAGAAAGAAAGAAAGAAAGAAAGAAAGAAAGAAAGAAAGAAAGAAAGAAAGAAAGAAAGAAAGAAAGAAAGAAAGAAAGAAAGAAAGAGAGAGAGAGAAAGAAAGAAAGAAAGAAAGAAAGAAAGAGAGAGAGAGAGAAAGAAAGAAAGAAAAAGAAAGAAAGAAAGAAAGAAAGAAAAGGAATGTTTAAAAAAAACAATCTCCCCCTCCCCCCACCCCAGACTGCTATCCTGTTTTGCTGGATTTTCTCCCCTGCCTTGAAAACAAAATAAACATCGAATATTTGTGCACATTAGACATTCTGAATAAATATGTTTCAAATAATGTCATTTTGTAATCAAGTTGGCAAAATTATATATAAAAATGTATTACAAGGTCACAAAATGGTATCCATGATACTTATTGACATTGTTACAACATTTTTTTTTAAAGTCACTGTTATTTCCAATGGTGGTGGTAGATTTCCTTTCTGCCTAATGGCTATAAAAATCTCACCCTTCAAACTAAGACCAGTATCTATGATTTATATGATTACATTTTGAGATCTAGGTTCTTCATCTGTTTCTTGCTTTACTACAACAATAGGAAAATCATAATTCTCATGCGGGCCACTATTTTCCTGTTTGATTCTTATTGGTTCCAACATAACCACTGGGACTTTGTGTGTAGAATCAGCTCCTGTTGGCTTGCTGGAAGAGCCAGAGCTATAAAAAAGAAAAGGAAGAGAGAAAAAAGTCTATATGCTGTAAAGTTATTTGCAATGTTACAAGTAGGATATCCTTAGTATGGGACAACACAGAGTGGCTTTCTAGACTTATCATTCCTACTGAATACTCAGTAACAGAAACCAAGTCTCTCTAATGGGGAAGTATTATCAATACAAGCACAGTCTAAAATAACTGCTTTCATTTCTAATGGAAAGATGTCAAGACAGACAGACACCTATTTACACATGTGAACACAGAGTACAGTGAGAATATTTTGGAAGAAGTAAGATGATAAACAGAAACTTTGCCCATTTTTGATTTTGGCCTTGGGTTATTCTGAATCTTGCATTTATATTTAATGGTTCCTGTTCCCAGGATTCTATTTAATAAGTTTAGCAGGTTTTTGAAGGCTAACATAGAAATCTAACTCCCATTTTTATAACATGTGGTCAATGGGGAAAAAATGTATTTTAAATTCTAAACAATGTAGGAGTGAATTTTAGGAACAAAACTCAAACGTTTTTGCTTGACCTAGTAGGTTGCTTCTAATAGTATCCTATAGCCTTCCTTAAAAACAAACCAACCAAAATCAAAACATAAACAAAAAAATCCCCCAAAACCCAAAAAACCAGAAACTGACCAAGATGAAATTAAGATACAAATTCATCATCTATATAATTAAGAAATTTTAAAACTTGACATTAAATACAAGTCAGTAAAAGCCTTGTTGAAAAAGCATTGAGCTGGCTCACTTTAACTCTTTGTGGACAGGGCTAGGTGATAACTCTGCCTGCTTCCCAATCTAACAACTATTATATTGATAAAATATTATTATAAGTATAAAGGAGACTGATTATAGGTGTTACTTTCTTGTGCAAGTTGAAGGAATATGCATGTGCTTCTCAGCTGTCAAGAGAAGAAATTCCATTCAGTGATGATAGCATGTAAATTAAAACTATTAAGTTGGTGTGCTCCAAACTGAGAAAAGGATCCACAGAGTTCATTAAATGTGGAAAAGTTCTCTTTTTTTGAGTAGTATTTGTGACTAGGGCAAACAGGTACTACCATTTATTCACCAAGCTTCTCCACTGCAAACATTGTCCCCCATCCCCTTTATTTTTGATCAACACAAAAGCTCTATACGCTAATTTACTGTCTCTATTATAATATACTACCTTTAGGGGCAGCTAAGGGGCACAGTGGATAGAGCTCTGACCTTGGAAGTCAGGAGGACTTGAGTTAAAATTCAGCTTCAGACACCTGACACTTACTGTGTGACCCTGGGCAAGTCACTTCATCCCAAATGCCTCACCAAAAACACAAACAAACAACAACAAAAAATCCTACATTTGCTTCTATTCAATTCACATTATTCTGACCTCATTTCCACACTTTCATTGCAAAAGCCCTTTTATAATTAGTAATTACGTAATTTCATACTTTTAGTAACTACTTAATTCTTTAACTCATTATATTTGAAATAAATGAAGCAAAATGCTTACAACATACTAGAATTAGCAAAATTAATCTTGTTACAGGATATTTCTACACTAAAATAGTCAGCTTACCTTCCTCTGCTTCCAACACTGGAGGCACTAGGTGAGCGGATTGGTGGGTGTACACTAGTCATAGTTACAGGTCCTAAAAATCAACCAAAGATTATTTGTGTACTCGAGTTAAAAATAAAAATTAAAAAGATGTGCAAACAAAAGACTCTGAGTGTTATCTGTGTACTAAGCAGCATAAAAAAACAAAAACAAGGCGAACCTATACATAACAGCAGCAAAAAATACAAGACAGTGTATAACTTAAACTGTGTGATACAGAGAAATTCTATAGTTATTAAAAGAATAGAAGGGGACTCAAAATACACATATAATTCAGAATGGTGTAAGGCAAGAGGGAATTACAGTTGTAGGAACAATCATAAGCAAAGATAAATGAGCATATGATTAAGAGAACAACATAACTAAGACCCATATTTAGAATATGCTTTAGTTGGCACCCTAAGTTTTTTGGTTTGATGAGGAAGGCAAAAGGAAACTACTAAAGATTCTACGGCAGGAATGAAACAATGAAAAACTATTTAATAAAGACTGTTTTAATGGTGCTGTGGTCAGGGAGGCTGCTTTAACATACAGCCAGAACTAGAATGGTGGGTGACAGCAGAGAAACAGGAAGGAAATAAAAGAATTTGATGGATGTGATGAAAAATGGAAGGAAAATTAGGAACAAGTTATGCATCGTCATATTATTACTATGAGTATTTAAATATCATTCTAATGGTTGATAAATTGTTCAAAAAAAAAAAACCTCTTACCACAACAATACTCAAAGGGCTATAAAACTGTGCATATCCTTTGATCCAGCAATACGCAAAGAGATCATAAAAATGGGAAAAGAACTCATGTACAAAAATAATTCATAGCAGCTCTTTCTGTGGTGGCAAAGAATGGGAAATTTAGGGGATGACCATCAATTGGGGAATGGCTGAACAAGTTGTGGTATATGAATGTAATGGAATACTATTGTGTAATAAGAAATGATGAGCAGGCTCAGTTCAGACAAAAACATGGAAAGACATGGAAAGACTTGAATGAACTGATCCTGAGTGAAGTGAGGAGAACCATGAGAACACTGTACACAGTAACAGCAACGTTGTGCGATGACCGACCTTGATAGACCCTTAGCTCTTCTTAGCAGCGCAATGATCTAATATGTCAATTTCCAAAAGACTCATGATGGAAAATGCTATCCTCCATCCAGAGAAGGAACTACCAAGTCTGAATGTAGACCAAAGCATATTATGTTCTCTTTTTTTTTGCTTTTTTTCCCCTTTGTCATGGTTTTCCCTTTTCGTTCCAATTCTTTTTTTACAACATGACTGATGTGGAAGCATGTGCAGTATGATTGACTGTACATGTATATCCTATATCAGATTACATGCCATCTTGGGAAGGGGGAGGAATTTTGAACTCAAAAATCACATACAAGTGAATGCTGAAAGCTAAAAATAAATTAAAAAATTTAAAGAGAAAACTTTCCCACTACTTTCTTTAAATATAGAATTTGCTTTTCACAGGGTGCTTAGGTCAAAAATAAACAAAAAAATCTTGTTCTTTGTTGTTATTGTTTTCTGGGTAATTAAAGTAGGAAATGGGTACAAAGTATTTCATTAAAATGCAAAAATGTAGCTGAAGACAAAGAATTCATTAAAACAGGATTTTTCGACCAGTGTAGAACCAATGAAATTGTATAGACTTTATGATACTAGCAAAATTTATGTAAATATAAGAAAACCGCTGGACTCCCACCTTATCTTTGAAAGTATATTTTCACAGTAGAGACAAGGGACAAGAATGCAACATAGGGCTATGGCATAAATGTGCAGAATAGCAAGCAGAATCTTGGAAATCAAAAAGCATGACTAAAACACTCACAGCCAGGGATGCAGACAGGGGTGGGCAGGGAGGATCTAACACAGTGGATTAATGAGGATAAAATAATTAAAATGACAAAAAGGCATTTTAACCTTCTAAAATTGAATTAATATATAAATATCGAATAGTAAGAACCTGAACTTTGCTGCCCAGCTTATCTACTTTTGTTCCTGATTTCTAACATCACAATATACGGCATCAGTGAGATCCCCTAAACACTGAATAAAGACAGGAAAAGCTCTATTTATAGGAAGGATTAAAAGCTACATCCATAAACCAAAACAAGTGCTATACCTGGGAGACCTGGAGATGGTACAGATGAATTTGGTGATTGGACTGTTCTGTTTGAAGGAGGTCTTGGTTGGCTGTGCTCTACACTAGCATCTTTTCTCACAAGATTATCCAGCACAAGAGTAGTTGAACAGTCAATCTTGCAAAACAAACAAAAAAGAGCAGTTTTATTTAAGGAATTCCGCATTTGCAAGTTAGGAACCACTTCAAACTTATCCAAAATGTGTACATGCCTACATCAAACCTATATATAAAATCAAATGAGCAAAGTGCATTATCATATGGAAGTTCTGGCATTACACTATTTCCATAAGAAATGAAAGATGTAATTCATCTTAATAGTCTACCTTGAATACACACTTGAACACTGCGTAAAAACATAGCTACATACACATAGATACTTACACATAGGTGTGTGTGTATACATATATATGCACATATGTAGGTACATATTTAGAAGAGGTCCAGTGCAGTAAACTAAATTACTTCAGTCAACTCTAGTCCCGAAGATCAAGATAACATCCATTAAAAAACCCCTATTCTGACCATTTTGGTTGCCACTTCACAATTAATTATTTTACTTATTCCTCCATGAAACAAAAACAAATTATTTCTCAATATCAAAAATATTCTTTTGGAGAGTTCTGCCTCACTAGAAAATAATTTAAATATCTTGATTTCAGTATGGATTCACCCACGACCTACAGAGATGACCATACTTTCTACATGTCAGCATATGCTAATCTAGAGTTACAGTGACTAAAAATGAATCCCACCAAAGCTGAACTAGTATACGGCCTTTCTAAACTTAGTCATATCAGTTCTCCCTTGGGCAAAGGAAAGCCTATAATGTGCCACTGAAGATGTATTTTAATAAAAGCTTCTAGTTTAGGAACAAGTGCTAGAGCTTGCAGCGCTACTGGAATTATCCTGAAGGTCAGGTCCACTTTAGGAAGAACCACAGGTTTAAACAGTTTCCCACCCAATAAATTTACTATGGACAGGAAATCAGTGGGACTAGATGTAGCAAATTCATAAGTCCATGATTCATAAAATACCAACTTGAGTATAATTATGCTTAGAAGCAAAGTTATCCTTGAGAATCTTGCTTTAACACTAGATATAAAGAAACAAGATTTGTTACTTGACTGCTAAGTAATCAGTAACTATTATTGGTTTTATTAAGACTAAAAGCTTACAGTCGGATCATTTGCATGAAAAAGTATTTTCATACAATTTGCTCATCCTGTAATGAATGTTCCTCCTAAGAATATTACAAAAAAATCATGAAAATGCCTAATATTTGATAAATCACATCCTGTCTGATTCTCTCCTTCTTGTTGAAACTACCTTCATTGAATAGTGAGGGAAGTGGTTAAAAAAAAAAATTCAAACTCTTACTATGGTCTGGGACTGCAAAAGGAGCAATGAAGTCTATTCTGGGTATGCTGGGGCACAGCAATGGCTCATTAAACATCTAACACAACACCTTCTATGTGGCTGAACAAATATGAGCACCTAGGAATAGATACAGACCCTTTGAGATAGGGTCATTCTGTGGAGCTGAACTTTTTACTTCTACATGATGGAAAGAAAAAAATTCTGCTTCTATCTATGTTTACAAAAGACATGTTCCTGACAACTTATGTAGAGCCAAGTACATGAGCTAAAGGATAAGGGAATGAATAATGGACATTAATAAAATGGTTTTAAGATTTATGACTCTAGAAAGCTTAAATGTTTTATGCTTATCACAAATAAAAGAAAGTCCTTTTTTTGGGGGTAGTCAGGACAAAAATACTGTTTTTTGAAACTAGTAAGGTTTTAGTATAAAACATAATTCAAAATATAAATTGCTGTTATGAGTCTAATGCTTTTAACTATACTTTCTGTGCATTAAAAAAAACACCTATAACAGGGATAAAGAAATATTCCATTGTCCCATATGTCCTAAACATGTATTTCACACCAAAAATTAAGTCAGTAACTGAAGTATTTTGATATACTTACATCTGGAAGAGAAGGAAGATTATAGGAACTCCCAACTGGAGAACTCAGGTCAATCATAGGTGGTCCAAAAGACTTAGCATCATATCCAGCTGCGCTAGTAATGGTAGGACTAGAAGGAGTAGATGTGGTACTACTGGCAGTTGAAGGAACAGTTGATGCTGGTCCACTGCTAATCTGCCACTGGCGAGGAAGAAGGGAAAGAACTAACAATCTACCATCTTTATACTATGAAGTAATTCACTCAGATTGGGGCTTGAAAAATTAACTACAAAGTATACTATCTTGATATTTTACAGTTCAAACTAGAAATTAAAAAACAAAATTAGAACACAATGTGAAATAATATAAAATTTTGTGGGTAAATAAATTGAAAACAACAATCTCCTTGAAGTTAGTAGGAAAGAATCTTAAAGGGAACATATTTAAACATACTAGAACATATGTAAAATAGAGGACTATAGCAACATAGCAAGCTATATATACAATAACTGAAGAATAGCAGAACAAAGATTATTATATTAAAAGTGGCAGGGAGAGGAAATAGTTCAAGGAAAGCCCCAAACCCGGGAAAACAATTATGCCAAGCTTGTTATGTCTCACCTAAATCTCCTTCAGCTTCCCTGATAAATGCTTACCTTATAGCTTTCCTTCATGATCCCCCAACCCCTTGATTAGGACATTAAATGGCTTTTTGATGCTGATTCCATCTTAAAGACTTAATGTACATATTTATCTACCTTATATCTCTCTTTGTGAATGGCTTCTCCTCTACGACATGTAGATGTACCCCCTTTTTTAAAAAAGTAATTTTTAGTTATTCATTTTGTTATATGACATACATTTCCCAATGAATCCCCTCCCCCACCTTTGCCTGCAGGGGAGTAATTTAACTATTAAAGCAAAGTGTAAATAAAAAGAGAAAAAACGAATAGTTCAGCAAAAATAGCCAATATATTGAAAAAAATCAGATATTATATATGCAAGGTTTCACTCCCCAAATATCAGAGTAAGGTACTTTATGAGTTCTCTTCTTTGAGGCCAAGTTTGGTTATTATAACTTCACAGCATTCAGTTTATAATGTTTTGCTGTGGATGTATTTACCTTGTACAAACCACTGTGTAGGCATATTGTGGTAACAGTATATAGATATAGTTTTGTTGGTTCTGCTCATTGTACTTTACATTGGTGGAAAATTCTTCCCATATCTCTAATTACCACATCCATTATTTCTTGCAGTACACTGATATTCTATTACATTTATGTATCACAATTTGCATAGGAATTCTTCAATTAATGGGTATCTACTTCCTCCCCCACTCATCCAATCTGCTTCTACAAAAAGTGCTGCTCTAAATATTTTGGTGTATATTGGGTCTTTTTTCCTGTTGCTAAGCTCCCTGGGCACACACCCAACACCTGTGATGAGTTTACACATGCCTATGTACATCAGACCATAATAAAAAATGGCACGTGACAGAAGTCCTGGGATCCTGTCCTACTACAACAACTTACTACCTTTGTGCCCTTGGATATGCCCCCCAAAGCCTGAATTTCCTCACCTAAAAAAATACGATTAACAATCCTCCTGGATATTTGAAGCATACATGAATATATCTAGAAATGCTTTTTGAACTGATATACAAATAAAACACTATGATAAAAAACTACCAAGGGGAAAAATTGTATTTTTCAGCTTAATAAGACTATTGTTCTGAGAGAAGAATACCTATAAGCTGTGCTATAATCACCTAGCTGCATAAATGAAACTTGTGAGGTTTAAAAACTTGGTATACAGTTTCCAGATCAACATCCATCGGAAAAAATGATTGTATAATATATTTATCGCATGACACACAGTATGTCTCCAATGATTCAATTTCTACAAAACATGAGGTATTGACAACATAGACTAATTTCTAGTGTATTCCAGCACTTATATGTATATTATTAATTCCAATCATTCCAGTCACATCTAAGAACCCAGAAACAAATACTACACCTCTAAAATAGTTATGAAAATACCTGCAACTACAGGCCCAAACTCAGGAAGCTATTACAACATTTACTGACTTTGTTACTGACTTTTCCCTGGCAATACTCAGTTCTGAAGTACATTACAAAAGAAGAAGCCTAGAGTCTGATGCAAAGTACTACAAAAACCACACAAATTGAGAGTTATACAGCTCACATACAAGGAAAAAATAAAAAAATGACCAATTAGGAAAGGCAAAAGCCCGGGACCATTCAGGATGATAGGATTTATAGGTGAAAGAGATCTTAGAGCAAAAAACATCTGCAGAAACCTAACCAATCTCTGGGGAGAACTATATTCAAGTATAACTGCTATTCAAAATGATGAGTCCTCAATAAAAATGTTGTATTATGTTCACTATAGAATTTATAGTCATATTTTTTTTTAAATGGAGGTAAAATCACTTATACAAAAGATCCAGTTGTACAGAATGACCCTCATGCTATCAGTAAATGGGAGATGGGAGAATTACTATGTTTTTTTTTAAAAGGTGTCTAGCTCTATGTAATGTGTATAGACAGACAGAGACACAGAGACACATACACATATACACACACACACACACACACACACACACACACACACACACACAGAGTTATGAACTGTTTCTATAATTTCTAATTCTCTTATTCTGGAAAGAGTAGCATGAACATTTTAACTTCTTTCCATCATACTTCCTCTATAATTCATAGAAGACACTGCTAAATACAATGAAAAAAATTGCCTGGTTCATTATTAACTTATGAAAGAAATAATTTACTCTTTAAGAGACTCCTTTCCCAAGTAACTTAGCATATTAGCAAAAGGAATAATGTTAAAAATGGAATTAAGTTGAAAATTGTAAAAAGTATTATTTCCCATTAATTTTTTTTAAAATTAATGAAAAATTGAATGAAAAATGAAAGCACTGAAATGGAATCAAAGGCTCAGACCAAACAAATAGATGAATAAATGAACAAATAGGTAAATGAAATGATCACAGACTCAGACCTGGAAGTAACCTCAGAGGTCATCCAGTTTAACTTCTTCTTTGAGAAGAGGAAACTGAGGCCCAGAGATGTTATGTGGCTTGCCTAAGATCACAAAGAGAGTGAGAAGAACCAGATTTTAAACCTAAATCCTATGATCTCAAATCCATTAAAGTGAGAATAGGTATGTATATAAAGTGTGGTCCCTGATATTTTGAGAGCATAGAAAATCAAGTGCTTGTAAGAAGTATTCGCTTCTAAAAATATAATTTTTTCCTTAGAGCCTACCAAGCTATAAATAAAGACCCCAGGTTTCTCACTAAATAGTAATAAAAAGACATTTTTGGCACTACTTTTCCCACTTATCTGAATAGATAACTGAATAGTTGCTACCTTCGATACATAGTACCATTCACTCACATCAATATGGTTCATGTGTAGGGATGGACATCAGGATATGAAGAAAGTGAGAGGACAGCCAACAAGTGGAAATAGCAGAACAAGTTATGGTATGAAAATGTGAAGGAATATTATAGTACTCCAAGGAATGATGAAAGGGACGGTTTCAGAAAAACCTAGGACAACTTATATGAACTGATACAAAGTAAAATGAGCAGAATCAGTGGAACTTTGTAGGTGGAAACAACAATACTGTAATAATGATCAACTGTGAAAGACTTGGTCACTCTGATTAATACAATGATCCTTCAAGACAACTCCAAAGGACACATGATTGAAAATGCTATCCACATCCACATAAAGAAATTAACGGACTGGCAGTGAAGAATGAAGCATATTTTTTCCTTCTTTGGGGGTGAAGGGGTGGGTGAAAGAAATGGTAGATGGAACATAACTAATGTGGAAAATGAATTTACACAGAACAGGTATTATATTTCTTTCCTTCTCAATGGGTGGGGGAGGAGTGGAAGGAGGGAGAAAATTTGAAAGTTTTAAAAAAATGTATGCTTGTTACTTGTATACGGCAAGTCAAAAGATCTTAAACTGGGACATAAATGAGACTTAGTTGCCATATTTCCCTATCTTTCAAATCACATTTGAGGATTTCTAGCAAGGTTTCTTAATACTCATTCTTCCATCCTAATACCCTTCCCTGACCCCCAGATATATTAGAAGCAGTAGTTCTATGAGCAATAATGATTTATTCTATGCTTGTCCTTATATCGTTGAAGAGGTGTAACTCAGAGGAAAAAAATTATAAATGTCTAACATTAGGAATCCTATGAATTAGAGAAATGACAAAGTAATATCACATGGTTATCATATAAATTCACAGCTGTCTCATCTTAGACTTTATTTAGGAGGGAGTAGATCATAGCTAAGAAGAAAAAAGAATGTTACCTGTTTTATGGCTTGTTGGGCCAAAAATGCCATCTGTAGTGGATTGGGTTTTATTGCTTGCCGTGGTATATTCTGGTTAGGAGGATATCTCAGTTGAGGCGGATGGGGAGACAGAACTGGTCCATTGGGTTTGGGGTTATGATTTTGAAAATTTATCAAGCGAGGAGGTGGCTGCTAAAACAACAAAAAACAAAACAAAACAAAAAAACCCAAGTTAATAATATTTTCTTTAAAAACTGCAAGCTGCAAAAAATTATTAACTTTTCACTGGAAATGAAAATTTCTAAGAATAAAACATCAGTAAGAAAGACTTTTATACTGAAGAAACTCCTTCATTTATTTATGCGAAGTTGGTACAAATGCCGATGGGTTTATATTTATTGGGTTCCTGGAATTTGTAAAAACAATTACAATTCTATAATCAAGTTTTGTGCCATTTTATAACTATTCATTTCTACAGTGCTGTAAGGTTTAAAGTTTTTCTTTCAACAACCCAGAGGGGTAAAGAACACACACGTAATTAGCCCTATTTGACAAGAGGGAAGCTGAAGTGTAAAGAAGTTCCATGACATCCCACCCACACTCCCTCAGTCTCTGATCAATGACTCAGCATTCCCACTGACTTGACTCAGGCCCCCAGGCTGCTGCTCCTGGCCACCTTTAGGCTCTACTCTTCAAGGCAATTCCCCACCTGCCATTCACCCTTCTCTGGAAACAAAAATGCCACCCACATACCACTCCTGGGAAGGATCACTGGCTAATACTCCACTCACTACTTCTGTGCTTTTCCTGATACAATGTCCTGCCTTGGTCACTGCTCCCATTTATGCTTTGTCCTCATTTTGAGAATATAAATTCGTGGAGGGCAAGCACCATCCTGCCTTTTCCATTAGTATCTGAGTGCTCAGCACACTGATTTACACATAGTAAGCGCTTAAAACACGTTTCCTTCTTTCCATAAAAATACTAAGGAACAGAAGTGGAATATAAATTCAGGTCTGCTGGATTTAAATGAAAACATTCTTTTCCACAACATTAAGCTATCTCTCTGCATAGTTTATAATCTTTCCATATATCTCACACATGAATGCATGTACTGCATCTTGTCTATATGTATTAGAATTTGTCTACACAGATGTTTACTGGTCAACAAGCATTTATGTACTTATTATACGTGCGTATACACACTCTCTCTCTCTGCTTCTACCCTCTTCTCAACACGCAACTGATTACTAAAGTTTTTGCCTAAAGGGCCTACCTTGTATGGTTAGGAATACTATACTGTACTGATAGCTTCACTTTCTACCTTCCCCTCCACCCCAAAATATCCAACCCCCCCCCCAAGCACAAGTGTACGTACATGCATGCTCAGGTGCAAGTATGAGTACATGACCCATCATATATATATAGATATTAGATCTATATAAAATGTATTTCTCCTTGTTCACACATTTGCATTTATGGATCTAAGTATAAATTTTGGACTACTCCTTGTAATAAACTACTGAAGCCTACTGAACAGGTTACATATGTTGCTTAACATAAGTATTAAATATTTTTTTTGCCCAATAAAATATATGCGTAAATGAGATATATTCTTCCACACTGGGCCATGTTGATATTACTGCACCCTATAATTTCACAGAGTTAGATTTTTTTGGGGTAGGAGAGAGGGAGAGAAGGGCAGAAGAAGGGAGGTGATTCTGTTAGTACACTACTCCTAACCATACCCTCTGGCCAAAGGCAGAGTAATAGACTGATAGTAAAGAAAAGGGTAAAAGCAATATAAAGGTAAGATCTCCAAGTACCCAACTGCCTTTATCCCCTATGGAAGGGATGAAAATTTAGTGATTTATTTACATAACTGCCTCTATTTGTATGTACCTTTGGAAACAAGAAAAAGATGGAAGAAAACAAATATAGAAAGAACAAATACATTCCTAATTTAAACAGTATAGCAAATAAATAAATGAGATAAGCTGATTGAGAGACTTAGAGGAGAAACTGTATAACTAAAAAAGTGATAAGATGCTAATTTTGTGTAAGAAAAAACCAGTAACTTTTACTCACAAAATGGAAATTCTTTTTATTGCTTGAAGACACTACTAGGAATCTAAGCTAAACTACTTTAAACTAGGAAATAACAGAGAAACTTTCTTTTAATCCACAGGATCACAGATTTTTTAACTAAAAGTGACTTTAGAGACTATCTAGTCTAACTGCTCCTTGCATATGAAATGAAACCAAAGCTCCTACCAGTTAAGAAACTTGCCATAAAGGTCACACAAGTAATAAATACAAGAAACCAGGATTTTAAACCTGGTTATCTGACTTCCAAAGCGACTACCTCTATATAACTCTATTGTATAAAGCCAGAGTAATTCTGTTTTCTTATCATTCCTAAAGATATATATTAAGGCCAGTTAGAAATAATTTTTGACTATTGTTAACAAATGTCCTTTAAGTTGTTAAACAGATGAACCTAAAAAGATATTTTCTAGAATTTCTGAAAGTAAAAAAACCCAAAAAACTACCAACCAACCAAAAAAACAAAAACAAAAACAAAACAAAACAAAAAAACCCAACCAACAACCAAAAAAAGGCCAAACCAAAAAAACCACATCCCAAACATAAAACCTTTTATCCTAATCTAACAGGAGTATTATCATTTTAAGACATGTTCTGGAAAATATTTGGAAAAAGTAGACCCTCATATTGAATAGCATGCTTATTTCAATGTGTCAATATGATTCTCTCATACACTTTTCTGATTCAGGAAGTAGTATGTTATGGTGTTATGGTTTTTATTCAAATGTTTTAAAGTATCTATCAAGTTTTCCTATAGATTGTATGCCAGCTATAGCGAATCTAGTTAAAAGGGAGAATTTAAAGAAGCAAATAAATAGATCATTAAATCCAAATGGTTCAACTAGGACTAAGAATCAACAGCTCATTTGCAGATCAACAGTTTCATATATTGAAATTTTGGTGGGGAGTCTTAGCATAAACTGATAAGAAATGTAACGTGCTCTCTGTCTCTTTAAGAGTGGTTAACACATTTATATATTAGGGAACCTGAAATTGGGATGGGGCTGACTTCCAGATTTACCTGATGAGAGATGGAAGGCTGCTGGATGGGCCCCTGCATTCTAGGGTTTGGTAACCCCACAGGAGCTGGCCTCCGTTGCACCTGCTGTCTCTGAGCCATTACCTGTTGCTGCATGTGTTGGAGTCGTAATTGAGCTAGGCTGATCTGTGTTGGAAACTTGGATAATTGGTTGGAAGATAAACCACCTGGTGGCTGTGAATTCTGTTCCACCACAGGATTCTGCTTAGGCAAATGGGGCTGGCTCTCTTTATCCTCGATTACTAAGGAACCTGATTAAAAAGAAAGTCAAATTTAATATTTTTCTAACAACTACTAAAACTGAATATCGTTTTAAAACCTAAATAGCAATCCCATGAAATAAGTTCATTAACTTAGAAGGCTACTACTACAATTATTTTACTGACTCTCATTATTAGCCAACTCATCAATTCACTCTCTGCATGATCACCCCACCCTTTCTGATCCGTTCATCCAACAAGTCAAGACACTCTCCTCTTAGTGTACACTGAAATTTTTTTTATCCATGCTTGATTTCAGAAACAAGGCCCTCAGTACAAGTTCTTGTTCTTACTTCATGAATTACTCAATAAACCAGCATGGTTCAGTCCTGTCCTCATTTTCTCTTCTTTCTATAAACTAACATTATCAGTAAAAGTCTACTTACTCACATGGTTTCTTTTTCTACATATATTACTGTTTCCCTCTGTTACCTCACTATCACTAGTACAACTATTATATCTATCCACATTAAAAATCTTGGGTGGGAGGGAATGTACCTCTCATTTATCCTACCACTTTAACCATTTCTCTTTACAATACCCCTATTTTCATTTTTCCCTTCAAAAGAAAGGTAGAAGAGAACTCAAATCCACATAATCAAGAAGATTCTAACCACTCTGCTAGACAAGCTGACCAAGGAGGCAAGGAGTTTTTTCCCAGTAGAAGTACACAGTTTGAATGGTCACCGTAAGGGATGCTACAAGGCAGATTATACACTGACCTGCCTAAGGAAAACTTCACTTTGCACCTGGATTACTGCAGTTGTCTCCTAACTTGCCTCCCTGAGATGGGAAATCTCAGCTTTTCTTTTTGGCTTTCAGGACATCCCAAATCTCTTCCATTTTAATTCTTACTATACCTTCACATAGACTCTGAAGAGAAGCAGCAGCAAACAAAGCCTTCAATATCTTTAAATACGCCATTCTCTCAACCTGCAATAGTGGCCTCATGTTCTTCATATCCCTTAAAATACATCTCCTTTTGGAGGTATTCCCTGAAGAATCCCAATTTACCACACCTCAGCATTTTAACTTACAGTAACATAAATATTTATATCTGCGTTCTGAGAGAGACTGGGTGAAAGTGATTCACAGTGTGTACACATGCGAGAAAGATACCATTTTAAGTTGGAGGTTTTTAACCTAGGAGTCATGGATGTCAAATAGGTTAGTGGAGAAATTTCCATTTGCATAGGGGAAAAAAATTAAAATGACTTGTTTCCATTATAATCCAATATATTTCATTGTATGCATTTAAAAACACTACTCCAAGCAGGGCATGGTGGTATATATTCCTGTAATCACAGTTACCAGAGAAACTGAGACTGGTAGACAGCTTGAAGTTCTGGAGTTTTAAGCTACAATAGGCTACTGATCAAGTGTCCCCACTAAGTCTAGCAGTGAAAGGGGGACAGCAAGCTGCCTCAGGAGGGCTGAACTGACCCAGGTCAGAAAGCAAGCAAGGCAAAGCTCCTATACCTATTAGGAATAGGATGGCACCCATGACTAGATGATGGACTTCAACCTGGGTAAGATAAGAAAAAGGGAGAGGGGGAAGAGAGAGAGGGGGAGAGAGGAAAAAAGGAAAAAAGAGGGGAGGGAGAGAGAGAAGATAGGAGGGGAAAGACACAAAATGAAAACACTGCACCTTATTTTGAAAAGGAGTTCATAGGCTTCACCAGACTACCAGAGGCCCCAGAACACACACAAAAAGGTTAAGAACCCCTGATTTAAGTCAATGTTTTTATGAGTGCAAACTATATTTACAGTCACAACTATTGCCCCAAACCTGACACTTCACCCTGCCTCTACATGTAACTGTACATAAGAGTTCAATGAACATTTACCCTAAACAGATGTCACCAACTCTAAACTGAACCTCTGGGATCTAAATCATAAAAAACTTTTTTCTTAGGTTCCCTTCACTTTTATGGCACTGTTGCTATGTCCAAAAATTGTCTCTTCCTTTTGTCTCTTAAAATTTTGCTAGCCATTAATTCTCTCGACATACTTTTTCCCCTACCCTGGTTTTGATTGTGACATTTTTGCTTTGAAGAAAATTCTGCCAATGAAGTATTAGTTGAGAGTTGTGGCCCTAGACCAGAGGTTCATAATCTAAGCTCTATGAAACTCTGTGTGTGTGGACATGCGCACATGCAATATTTAGATAACTGGATTTGGGGATAACTGGCTTCTTTGTATATTTAATGCATTTAAAAAATTATTTCCAGCAGTTCATAGGTTCCAGACTGCCGAAGGGATCAATGAGTAAAAATTGTTAAGAACCATTGTCATAAATACAAGGCATTCCACTAGATAAATGGATATCTTCATGATAACAGATTAGAGAAATAATATACATCAATAACATAGGCTAATAAAATTATTTAGAGGGAAATCATTTTTGATAGCATGTCAGCTAAACAGTGGCAAGTAAAACAGCAGACCTAGATAGGCAATACCCTACCTAAATTGAAAATATTTTGAGCCCAGAAGCTAGGATCACAGTGAAATTGAATGGTGTTATTGGTCACAGGTGAAGCATCACACCTGGCTCGAAGAAGATGCCGTAATCGATATGTGATCTAAACAAGAAATGTAAAAACATGGAACATTAATAGTTAACAAATATGTGACAATAGTAACAACATCTTAAGGTAACAAGGATGAAATAAACCTATATTACAAGCTGTATACACAAAACTTTGGCCTCCTCTCAATTCCAACCACTCAAAATCTGTCTATGTTCAGCTACTCAATCAACTGCCTGGATAGAAAAGAGTTGCAAGTAATGACGACAGTGACTAGGTTCTTAACAACTTCCCACTATTTTCTCTTTTTTCCCTTCTTTCTTGTGGCTTTCCCCTTTGGTTCTAATTCTTTACAACATGACTAATGTAAAATGTTTAATGTGATTGTACACGTATAGCCTACATCAGATTGCATGCTGTCTTAGGAAGGGGGGAACGGAGGAAGGGGTAGAAAACTGAGAACTCAAAATTTAGAGAAGTGAATGCTGAAAACTATAAAATAAAAAGCTTCCCAGATACAAAGAAAACTGAGCATTTGAAAAAACAAGCTATTTTAACTTTTTGAAAACTTAATATATATTCAGAAACTGTCTTTAGAAATACATAAATCAATATCCTAACTGTCCATTCAAAATTTGAATGTATCCACATAGCATCTGAGAAGCACACATAGTACAAAATCCAAAATTCGGAAGTGGAAGAGGAAATATTAGTTTAGTAACTGTAAGAAAAATGCCTGGTTTCAAATGGATGTTTAAAAAACTTTTTAGGGGCAGCTAGGTGGCGCAGTGGATAAAGCACCAGCCCTGAAGTCAGGAGGACCTGAGTTCAAATTCGGCCTCAGACCAAACACTTGACCCTTACTAGCTGTGTGACCCTGGGCAAGTCACTTAACCCCAATTGCCTAAAAGTAAAAACAAAAACAAAAAAAACTTGTTATAGCTGTGTGACCCTGGGCGAGTCACTTAACCCTGACTGCCTCACCAAAAAACAAAAAACATACAACCAAAAAAGACTTTTTAGCCTCCAGTCAAGAGGACCTCAGTTCAAATCCGTCCTCAGTATTTGACACTTACTAGCTGTGTGACCCTGGGCAATTCATTTAACCCTACTGACTAGCCAAAAACAAAAACAAAGAAAAAACCCCCCCCCCCCGCTCCAAACCTAAATATTTGAAAAGATACATATGACATATAACAAGCATGCCTTACAAAGTCTAGCATTGGTATTTCCATCTGCCATAAATCTAACCTCCTCCCCTCAAATTCAATTTAAGGTTGTCTAAAGCACCAAACTGTGGCTTACAATTAATGTGATACTAAAAGGTGATTCTGTAGCTGGAGGGTTTTTCCTAGATGAACTCCATTCCAACCATCTAGGAGTTAAATCTTATCTTACATACTATTATGACAGCGGCAGAGATATGAAGTTGGCCACATAGCACTTAAGAGGTAAAGACAGACTTTATACCATAGCTATTTGAAGAAGATTACTGTACTTGACAACAAGATGAAGAGCTGAAGGTGGGAGCCAAGTATGAATGGAAATACAGTGAAGTTATATACTTTGCTTAAAGATTAAAAAATAAAAAATTAAGATATTTATCTTTAATAATAAAAAATACAATGCAATGCCACATACAGGAAAAACTAATTTTTTAACGAATTAAAAATGTTTATTGATCTTCAACTATGTGGAACACAATGTGCCAGAGAAACAAAGGTGGAAAAAATGCAGGTAGTAATATAAAAGTATCACCTGTGAAGTAGGTTTTTTTTCCTAGATGTTCTTTGTAAATTAAAACAACATACAGGGAGGAATGGATTATAATTCATATAAATCTTCCTAGTTTTTGTGAATTCTGACAATTTTACAAATTTATTCTACTACATTATTGCATTTTATATATGAAATGCCAAAACTCCCTCTTACCAGGCGTTTGCTATAGAGCAGAGCTGTGCTGCTGCCACTTGAAACTGCCCATTTGGAAAAATGCATGACATGTTCCAACTGTTTTGAAAGCCCCGCCACTTCCTGCTGCTGCTGCATAAGTTTCATGCGGTGGTCCTTTGCAAGGCTCTGAAACCAAGAAACAAATCTGAGTTCCTACCTCTCACAGATGCTCTTTCATACCCCTACACTCCCATATATCTGAGGCCTAACCACCTAGTTAAAAGATAGTCAATATACCTCTTCACAACAACCAAATTCTTCGATGTCTCTCCATCTTCCTTCTATGAGCTACCATGCTAGAAAGGTGAAAAGGTAATCATTACTTTTAATTGGGCCTGACACTAGGATGAGCCCAAAGAAGACCCTTCATGCAATAGAGAGTTCTTTCATGCATCATTTGGTGAACCTTAGAGGAAAGAGATGACATCAAAAACACACTGGTGTTACTCCGTCTAAGCTCAAGAATTCTTTTACAGATGGAAAACCAGGCCAAGTTACTCCAGTCAGTCATGGCTCTAACATTCTTTGATTCTCTCGAAGGCTCACTGAACTAACATTATCCTGACCAAGGGAAAAAACAATTACTGAAGTGCTGTTCTTAGAAAAAGAAACTCCTCATTAGCTTTAAGAATGCTGAAATTTGCTTTTCAGTCTTTCCAGTTGAAGAACCACCAGGTTTCTATGACAAATCTCCAAGAGCCTGGTTATCACTGCCATGTACCACAGCAGACCAGCTCTGAATCCTCACTCAGACACTTACAGCACTGGGGTGTGACTACAGACCTTAGTCTCAACTTTTTGTGCTGCAAGACTTGTGGGGAGCCTGCAATGGAAATACCCACACTGACGCAGATTAGGAACTCTTCTGTTACTGAGAGTCTGAGTATTCCAATCACAACACACAGGCTTCCGGAAGTGATGCTACATGTCGGATTGAGGACCCAGATTTTCCCAGGCTGACCTTCTATACCTGCTTATACCAACCCTGCCTAAAATGGGGAGACTATACCTTAAAGCACTTATCTCATAGGGTTGTGGTAAAGATAATACAAGATGAAAAATGAAAAATGTTGAAAATCTTAAACTACCATTAAAGTCAGCTGTTATTATTTTAAACTAGATATTTTTAATTGTGCATATGTATTTGAATCTTATTTAACTTTGAAGATCTAGCTCAGGTCCTACCTTCTGCTAAGAAGCCTTTCCTTAGGGCTCCCTCAACATTTATTTTCTGTAACATTAGAAGGAACTGAGGGTACCAGAAAGAATACTGGATTTTGGCAATGGACGCAAAGTGAAATCTCAGATGGTTACTGAGACTGCAACCTGGGACAAATCATGTAACACTCTGGGCTTCAGTTTCCTGAACTGTAAAATGAGAATAATAATACTCAGGCTACCTACCTTAAAAGATGAGGAAAGCAGAGTTTCAATCTTCTTTGCAAAATGTTATCAATCCCCCACTTCCCTTAGAATGGGTAGCCTTCAAGGTTCTACGCCCTGCCTTCATTTCTCTATATACACTCTATCCCTTGATGATCTCATTTTTGCTGATGGGTTTAATTATATCTAATAGTTATATCTTTTAGGTGAATTCAGGTCCACACTGTTCTGAACTCTTTCTAGCTTTCCTACAATCAGCTCAGACTCACAATGTTCAAAACGTGATTCATTAAATTCTCTTCCTACCCAACCCTTCTTCAAACTACTTAGGGTACTATGCAGCCCCCAATTACTCAGTCTGGAAGCTTGAGAGTCATCCTTGACTTCTCCCTCATACTTCACAAGTGGTTACCAAGCACCCTCAGTACATCTGTCAGCCATTTTTTTCTCCACTTAATATAGATACAACACCCTGGCTCAGGCCTCTCTCCTGCCTGGACTATTATAATAGCCTCCTGTCTAATCTTACTTCCCACCCTTTGACACTCTCCTGCTCAAAAACCTGCAGGAGATACTTGCTGACTCTAGGATAAAATACACAAGTCAGAATCAGGTACTGGTCCTTCCTAATCTGGTTCCTATCTCATTTTGTTGCTTACTTTCATATAAATACTCTGAGGATTTAGCTATGTTCCAACTAAACTGGCATGCAAAGTCTTCTCCCAAATTTCACCTTCAATGTCCTACCTTCATGCATTCATATAGACCAACTCCCGAGACTGGAAAGTACACTTCCTCCTCACCAACTCTCTTTAAAACTGAGCAGAGATACTAAATGCTTTCTGGTCTCTCCAGTTTTAATACGCTCTCATTCTTCAATTTTCGTTATAAACACATATTAGGTTACAATTTAATTTTATTACCCTACCCTATTTTAATCTTTCTTTTATTCTGAACTTCTAAAGTTCACAAAAATCCAAATACAAGATCTTGCTACAATTCTAAACCACTCTGGGATAGCTATCAATGATCCCACATTGAATTGTTTGCACTTAATTAAAAAAAAAAGAAAGAAAAAAAATCATAAAACTCACCATTCACACTGGAATCTAGGCTTTGATGAGTTGAAAAGCCTAAGAGGACCAACGTTCCCTATACTTGGCCATATATACTACAAACAGCTAATCCAAATATCTTTATTTATGAACCAATAGCTCTTACCTCCCCTCCTTTCTTTTTCTTCTTAAGGCCAATCATAGAATAGGAGTGAGTATTAAGAGAATAAAGAGGCTTTGTATGGGCTTTTTTACGGATTGAGGACCTTAGATGATTAAAGCTATTAGCTGTCTAGAACTGGTTTGTTACACTTATTTCATGTTAGGACTAACAATCATAGTTGAAGTAGTCCGAAATGCTGCTTCCAAAATTACACTATGGGATTCTTGAGGTAAAAAGCAATCCTTTAGCTCTCAAAGTACCAAATACAAATTTCATAAATGTTGTGAACTACTAACAATTAGTTTTCTATTAATGTTACTCACTTATTCCCACTTGTTAATTTTCAAATGTTAACTATGATTTACTTTTGCAATGATTTATTCACTCAAATATTATTAATGGCGAAAAAGATGATAGAGGGAAAAGCTCTATTCATGATGAAATTCAACCATTCACAAGGAAAAATAATTTAATGTATTTCACTAAAAGACCAAACAGGAGGTAACTTTGCATACAGAAATTATTCAAAGCAAAATGTATAATTAAAAGTTAAGAGAAAAAAAATTTTTTTAAAAAATGAAGAGGCAGCTAGGTGGCGCACTGGATAGAGGTCCGGCCTTGGAATCAGGAGGACTTGAGTTCAAATCCAAACTCATACACAACACTAGCTGTGTGACCTTTGGCAAGTCACTTAACCCATTTCCTCATCCAAAAAGAAAAAAAAATGCAGAGCTGCACCCTAACTAAAAAGCAACCACGATTTTCTAAAGCTGATTTAAACTTCATAAATGCAAAAGAACACACATACTTTTCAAGGTAATCCTTGCATTTGCAAGGGACTTAAAATAGCTTACAAAGGGTTTTTTACAGAATTTCAGAGCTACAACACACCTAGGCATTTTCATACAAGAATCCCTATCAAGGTGAGCTAGGTGTTAATTTTGCTTGTTCACAGAAATTAAATGATCACACAGTTAACATGACAGAATTGGAATTCCAATCTGAATCTAGTACTATTTCCACTGGATAACACCATCTCAGAAGAAGGGAACTTACCTCTAGCTGATGCAGTAGAGCCTTCCCTTTTTTGTTTATTTCTACCATCAAGGTAAATATAGCAACTTTAATGTCCTGTTCCACCTGCTTTTGATTTTGATTTACTTCAATTATTCTGGAAAAAAAGAGAGGAATCTAAAGCTTAAAAATGAAAAGAAACTGTTGAAACTGATTAAATACCTCAAGTTAATTCAGAACATTTCCAGCTTCCAAGAGTTAATCAACTTCACAACGTACATTGGTAGGCTAAATTATCCATCAGCACAAAAACCAAGCAGTTGAAAGCTAATTGTGAAATTAAAATTTTGATAACAATCGTAAAAGCTTGAGACTAAGTTTTAGATTACCTTTCCATGAATGAAAATCACAAATCAAGAATCTGGATAAAGAAAAGGTAACCACATTATGTTTTAACAAATGTAATAGTATATCAGGAAAACTGAGGAAATGGACCTGAAGAAATCTTAACAAATAAACCCATTTCTAAAGTACAAATTTGCCTGACAGTAGTTTCTAGGGTGTTTTACTTCAATTGTTGGATTATGAATTTCAGTTGATTACAGCCAATAGGCTTTAAGAATTGCCTCTTTTTGGACCCACATGTACAAAAATATTCATAGCAGCTCTTTTTGTGGTGGCAAAGAATTGGAAATTGAGAGGATGCCCATCAATTGGGGAATGGCTGAGCAAGTTGTGGTATATGAATGTAATGGAATACTATTGTTCTATAAGAAATGATGAACAGGCTGACTTCAGAAAAACCTGGAAGACTTATATGGTCTGATGCTGAGTGAAGTGAGCAGAACCCAGAGGACTTTGTATACAATAGCAGCCACATTATGCAATGACTAAGAATGTTAAACTGAACCCTTCTCTGCATTACGAGGATCTAAGACATCTCCAGAGGCCTCGGGATGGAAAATGCTGTCCACATCCAAAGAAAGAACTATGGAAGTTGAATCGCTCTCACTTATTTTTTTACCTTAAGTTGAATTTTGTTTCATCTTTCTGATGGTTCCTCCTATTGGTTTTAATTTTTACTTACAACTTCACTAATGTGAAAATATGTTTAATGGGTATGTAAATGTAAAGCCTATGTCAGATTGTGCGCTGTCTTGGGGAGGGTGGGGGGGGAGAAAAAGGGAGAAAAAATTTTCAACTCAAAAGCATATGGAAAAAAAAATTTTAAAAAATAAAATTAAAAAAAAAAAGAATTGCCTCTTTTTTTCTTTGAGACCATACGATTCACCCATGTGATCAATAATAACTGATTTAAGTCTCAAGCACAATGACCAAGTGTTTTGTTCTGATTAACTCTGTTAGTATCTAAGAGTTTTGCCTTTGGAATAAAGATATAAGATTAAGATTTTCATGGTGGCTGACACAGATGGGGAGAAGAGAAGGGAGATAGATTTGATGGGCTTACAAAAGCTGAAAAATAGGTAGGGTTCCTAAAATAGGGAAACTAAACAATGCTTCACAGACATTGGTAAGCTAGTTTTTCCTCCCTTACAATTTTAAGAAAAATGGAAATATTTTCTATATTCTTTAGAGAACGCAGATACGTGGAACAAGGATTAGAAAGCAAGAGTTGAAGTCAAGGTGAACCCCTGTCACAAACTGACTTTATGAATCTGGGGCAAGAGATTGACAATCTCACTAAGCTAAGAGTGTCCTCACCTGGACTTCTATATGGCAATGAAATCGCAGATCCAGTCCCTATCTCTAAGGAAGAAGAAAATCTTTAGAGGAAAGCACAAAGAGGCAAAAGGAGAAAGTAGTAAGTGGAGTAAATGGAAGATAAAACAAATTAAAGGAGAGGACTGGTGAGTGGGACAAACTGGTGAAACAAATAGGATTACAAGAGTGGAAGGAACTTAAAGGTTTTCTAGTCCAACTCTCCTGGTTTTTAACAATGAGGAAATCGAGACTCATGGGAGACAGCAATTTTCCTAATGTTGCTTAAAGCAGAAGATTAGTTAAGAGTGTGATTCTGGAGTTCTTGTTGAGAATAAGGAATGGATGGTGGAAGGGTTTATAAAGTGCTTATGATATACCAACTAACTGTAAAAGTTTTAATCAGGGCTTAGGATTCAGGTATGAATACTCAACTCTTCCCAACAAACAAACCCAAAAAAAGCTACCTGGCAGGACAACGGGGATAATTGTGACATTGCTTGGCATGAAACAACCAAGTGATTTGTCTGGGTTCCAAATGTAGGTTGATCTTTTGGACAAAAAGGTGAAGAGACTCTACATCTCTCCACACTCCAGATTGTAAAGAATAATGAAATGTTTCTAAAGGAAGTGAGAGGCTTTAATGGGGGAAATACGGGGTAGATTAAGGAGGTGACCTTTGTCAGAAGATTAGAGTAGAACTATGTAACACAAAGGAAAAGGGAAAATGAGAGTTGTATACTTATAGCAAAAAACCACATTTGAGACTCAGCCTACAGGAGGGAGGCTGGATGCTCTGAGAAAGAAGCAGGTACCTATTCTTGAAAGAATGGTACAGCAGAAACAAAGAACAGCTGAGACATCATCCAGTAAGGGTCAAAGGAAGACTCAAAGGCATGGTTGATAATTCAGTTCTCAGAAGTACTGAGGCAAATGTCAATCTGATGACAAGGGAGAGAACTGCTATCTTCATATACCATGACTGTAAGATATAACAAAGAACTAAGACGTATCAAAGGAAATCCCTCACTTCTGGTGATTCATTTACATAATACAAATGATACTGACTGAAGAAACCCAAGTAGTACTGTCAAAGATGATGGAATTATTGGGTTAGGAAATAAAGACCACAGGGACACAGGTTATGTTTTCCTCACTGTTGTTCAATGAAGGTAAGGAATGTAGAAGACAAACAGTGATTTGGGATATGACGGCAGTGACGTAGAATGGAATTTGGAATTTGAGACGACAGCTGATAATATAGGGAGGATGTACAAAAAATACCTGCAAAGAAAAAGCTAACATATGGACAGTTAGGAAACAGGTCAAGAGGCCTGCACTGAAGCATGATATAACAAAGGGTATTTCAATTATGGAGCATTTCAACTTAATGGAATTCTACTGAAAGCAGAAGATCAAATAACTTCTCAATTTGCCTTAATCATGACTGCATCATTCAAAAGATGATGGAAATTGAAAGGAGAAATTTTATTTTGGACCTTGTTCTCTGCAGCGTGGCTGCTGGGGCCGCATAGTGCACAATGCACTAGCACTGAAGTCAGGAAGACCAGAGTTCAAAATCAGCCTCAGACAGCAAATAGTTAGCAGGATGATCCTGGGTCAATTAGTTAACCTTGGTTTGCTTCAGTTTCCTCTTCTATAAAACGGGGATAATAGTAGCAACTATTTCTCAAGGTGCTTGGTGAGGAACAAATGAGGTAATAATTGGAAAGCTTTCTGCACAGTGGATGGCAAATAGTAAATGCTATATAAATGTTAAGTTATTATTATCATCATCACTAACCAGGAAAAACTGGTTGCTAATATAAAATGATGGGAATTATAGGAAGAAAGCAATCAATCCTCTATAATTTATGATAGAAAAGAGAAAAACCAGGCATAACTGGATATACAATCTAAATCTGAGGGGAGCAGATATCAAAGACTTCAGAAAAGAATTTCAGATTTCAAAACTAAAATTTGACAGGAAAAGTCTACAAGATATCCTAAAAGGAATATGAGAGGCTCAAGAATTAAACCCTAAAGGCACAATGAGAAACAATTCCAACAACCGTTGGGAATTGTCTAAAGAGAATGATATGGACACAAAGATAATTTACCCTACAACTTAAGCCTTAAAAAAGAAAAGCACAAAGTCAATCAACAAGTATTTTCAAATGCCTGTGTGGCAGGCACTGTTAGAGATGCTGGGGATACAAAAACAAAAATGAAATATTCCCTGCCCTCAAACAGTTTACATCCTCTCATGGGAAGATGGAAGTAAGAGGAGGCAGGAGAGGAAGACCACTAGGAAAAGAGGTGAGATTGAACTGAGGCTAATAAAGGACAACAACAAAACCATTTTTTAAGCTGTAATAGGAAACAATGAACTCAAAAGAAAAGACAGTACCTAGACCAGGGGTCGAGGTACAAATCCCTGTAATAAAAGGATTTAATCTATAAAACTTGGACTCGGTCAAAAGGCTATACCCAAGGACCTACCTAGAAGGACACATGTGGCCTCAAGGCCAAAGATTCCCCACCCCTACTATAGATACTCTCTTTTCTTTGGGCGTCACTGTTTCCTATTACAGCTAGACCATTGTCCAAGTGGACAACAGAAAGCTGATAGAGATGCTCAACACTTAATCTGGCTGTTTTCTTTGGAAAGAATGCCTTTTATTGGAAATTAAAGAAGAAATGGCTAACATGGAGTTGATACCCAAGATAAGTAATGAGGAGGGCAAAAGACATCTTAGTTGGCCTGAGTTACTTGGAACAGATGAGGTTCATAGCTCTGTAAGGAAAGACTGGCAGATATAATCAGCAATCATGGTCACTGTCAGTAATAGCGGAAAAATTGTGTACAATGCCAAGATGACCCCTGGAACACTGGTGTGCCACTGGACATACATTCTGGTGGCCAGAGTCAAAGAATATGAATAAACTGGATGTTTAAAAAATAATTGCAATGATGAAATGCTAAAAATTAATGCTGAACAAGGTAAAAGCAAACAGCTGCTGCTCAAGATATTTCATATATTTTTAATATGAATTAGCACCATTCACATAATTTTCATAGAATCTAGAATAATTTTAATACATATATTCACAAAGCACAATATATAAAATTTCATGTGATTCATCACATAATAATTTGTTTAATTTCATAAATGAATTAGCTTAATTCAAATAATTTTAAAACCAGCATTTCTTAAACCCTTTAGCTATACTTAGATTTATTCTGTCTCACAGCGACAGATCTATTAGGAAATAGTGTTTACATTCTTACTTCCTTATTTTTCCTGTAGGGACTGGATTAAAATCAGAGTACCACTAGGAATTTACTGAATTTCAGGCATTTAATATGTTAGGGCTTTTATACCTTCTGACATAATCTCATTTTGTAATTATAGCTCTCATCTTCACACAAAAGGTGCAGAAAATTGCCTATGAGGACCAAGAATTTTTGAATTGCAGTATACTGTATTATTTATTCAAGTGGAAAAAAACAATCAAAACACAGCAATAACAAACTTTTAAAAAACTAATTAAATAAGAAGCTCTATACTCCTTCTGTAGCTCTAGAAAGAGCTAATTTTATTATATGAGTTCAATCTGGTTGGAGTACATGGGAGCTTCCATTTCCTGAGCTGTATGAGTTTTATTTTAGAGAATTTAAAAACATTTTTTTCCTTGGGTTAGGGACAAGTGGCTAGCCACAGATGTGGATGTATAGAAGGTCTTTTGAAATAAAATAAAAAAACTCAAACAAACCTACAAAATAAAGAACCAAACATTATTACTCAATGAATGAAAGGAAAGTGAATGGATGAATAAGATGTGACCCACTCAAATTGGAAGATGAAGAAATATGAATCTTCACTATTAAAGTAAGGATATCACTGCTCCAAATTTCAAAAAATCGTATTTAGTGTCTAAACAACAAAGAGATAATATTAATCAACCTGATAAGCTAAATCAAAATGAATCATCAAAGTATTGATTAAACAGATTTGTAAAAAGATTCAATACTGTGCAACTGCACTCTTTCACTGCCAGTGTTTCCAATAATGTTCAAGTGCACCTTTACTACACCTACTTATATACATAATTTAAAAAAAATATTTCCCCCCCTTCTTGGACTACTAGGTTAGCACAATGGATCTGGGTCTGGGGTCAGGAAGACCTGAGTTCAAATATGGCCTCAGATACAGCTGCGTCACCCTGGAAAAGTTATTTAATCTCTCCTGTGCCTCAGTTGCCTCATCTGTAAAAAAACTGTGAGGATCACATGAGAATAACTGAAGTTCTTAATACAGTGCCTGAAACACAGTATATGATATATAGATGCTAGCTATTATTATCTTCTTGCCTTGAGATAAATGTTCTTTAACAAATAATTCTAAGTTTACCTTTCTGGTTTCCTAGCCTATAGTACAACTGTAAAAGCAAAATGGAAGGTCAGATAAAGGGGAATGGTAATCATAGACATATACAACCTAATCTAAAGAAGTCCCATCCATTCCCAACCCCTTTTACTCCATTGCCCTTGTAGGCAAATCACAAAGAACTTTATTGTCAGATAGTTTTCATAACGGTGTCTGCTGTAATTAATGGCTAAACTGCATTTAGACTCAATTTAAGGAGGAAAGTACATAAACTTCAGAAGATACCACTTGACCAAGAATTATCTCATTTCTGGGGAATTACACAACTAAAAACAGTCTGAGCAGCATGAACAAGTAGATATTTCTGCAATTATGAAATTTTAAAGAGCCATTCACCAAAGTTTTTAGCAATATCACATGGCAAAAATTAATGAAAACAATTATCTAAAAGTCACTACAGATTGCAAGATAAAATATTTTTATAATAAAATGATTGACTAATAGTTTATTACCTGTTTTGAATTTGATTTCCAGTAAACTTTATGTATTTTGTTTTTTCCATTAGCTTAGTAATTAATGTATCTATGATCACTTTTTGATTCTGAAAAGCTTCTTCAATAAACTGATATCTGAAGAAAAGTAAATTAACACATTAAAAAAATCTAATTGATCTACAATCAAAACAAATTCACATAGCTAAGACAAAGAATGATATTTTGGTTTGTTACAAGTAAGGATTATCAAGTAATTGTTTATTAATGGCATTTAAAAAAAACTGTTCCAACAATTTGGTTCTGTGATAAATTGCTCCTGGTATGGTAAAAATCACGCATAGACAAATTACAAAAACTACAGTGGATTCATTATTACAAGAATTTGTTCCATTTAAAATAGAACAATTCAAAAGATAATTCAAAATGAAATAAATTTATCAGTCCTATTTCAGGTAATGGCTTTTTTTTTGATTGATAGGGTAAAACATGAGGTGGCAGTCCTTTCTTTGATAAGTTAAATATAATTGTATCTTAGTTCAAGGAGCCCCCAATACATGTGAGTGTATACATGCATATGTGTGTGTGTGTGCCCGCAAGCGCGCGCACCTGCGCATGTGTGTATACATATATCTGCCATATATTTATCTCATCTGACCTGGCTGAGTTCTCCTATCTTCTTCACACCAAAAGCCAGCTAAAGTGAACAATCAGAATAAGTTATAGGCAGGCCTGAATTACTAGTTTCTCATTTGGTTCTGAAATTTCTATGGATGCTGCAAAAGGTGTATCTTCTACTAAAAGTAAAGGCTTAAATACATTTCAGTATTAAGAACATACTTAAATTGACTTTTGAGGAGGTGGAAGGGACAGATATCCATCTTCTACAGCACACTAGAATTAATAGCCTAGTTTGGCCTCCTCAGAACAAAATACATGATAAAAAAAATTAAAGGTACAGATGTAATGGAACAATATCACGTTCTAGGAAATGATGAAAAGTTTTTGAGAAACTAGGAAAATGATAAAAACTGATACAGAGTAAAGTAAGCAGAACTAAGAAAACAATTTATATAATAACGACAGATGAGGTAAAGGCAAACAAAAACCTAAGACCTTGGATTAATATAATAACTAGCCACAATCCATATAATCAATTATTAAATATGTTACAAACCTCTTGACAGAAAAGTGAGGGATGAAAAATATGAATGTAACATATATATATGGGAAACTGTTTTCCTAGACCAGGGGTGGGTAACCTGGGGACTCCAGGTCACATGTAGCCCTCTGGGTCCTAAAATGCAGCCCTTTAACTGAATTCAAACTTCACAGAACTAATCCCCTTTCCCTTAATAAAAAGATTTGTTCTGCAAAACTTGGACTCAGTGCAAAAAACAAAACAAAACAAAAAAAGGCTGCACCCAAGGACCAAGAAAGCTATAGGTTCCCCACCACTATCCTAAACCATGCATTATTTGTTACAAGGGTTTTCTTCTTCATTCCAGGGAGACCCTTGGAGAAAGCTAGGGGGAGTGAAAGGTAGAAGACAGATGTTCACTGAAAAATAGTGTTATTAAATTACTATGCATTCCAAGGGTACATTAAAGAGCACAAGAAAGCTAGAATGTGTCTACAAATACATTATATAATAATAAACTGATCTATAAAATTTTAAAAATAAACTAGCTTTTTGTGAACCATTAAATCTTACATCTAGTCCTCAGACTCTCTGAAGTTCTCTAAAGTGAGAAATCTAAGCCCTCCCTCCCCAATTATTTTCGTGTACTAAGTCAAATATAGCTGATTAGCAGCACAGTAAGTATTGAAAGCCTAAGTTTCACAGAACCTCAGAACTAGAAGTGATGTCAGAGGCACTCTAGTTAAACCCAGGCCTGACACCCAAATTGCTTATATTATATGCTCAAGAAGAGAGGACTCACTAAGCACCTGACCAGGAAGCTCATTATCCTTTTGGACAGCTAGGACTATTATGAAGGTTTCTTTTATGTTGGGCTTCAATTTTCCTTTCTACTGCTCCTAGTTTTACCCTCTGAGGCTAAGCAGATTGAAGTTTAAACTCTTTATCCAAAACTCAGTTATTAAAAACTCTCTATGTCCTCCGGTTAATCTCTCCCCTTACCTATCCCCACAAGTGCTCTCACCATCTTGGTCACCATCTCTAGTACTCTGTCCAGCATGTGATGCAACAATAAAGGTTATGTTTGATGAAAACTATGGCAACGCAGTACTCAATATAATACTCCAGGTGTGTTCAGATCAAGGCAGAGAATGAGAATTATTGCCTCTGATGTTTTAGAAACTATAATGCTCTTAATGCAGATTAAAATAGCATTAGATTATTTGGTTGCCATGTCATAGGGATGATTCATATTTAGTATACTGAAACCCAATCTTATCCAACTGGAAATAATATCTAGCTGTGGCTCTTTATGCTTGTGTTTGGGGTGTAGATTTTTTGCACCAAAGTGAAGAATTTTAACGTAAATTAAATTTGGCAGTAACTAATTCCTCTTGTTGAAACTGTTTTGGATGCTGACTCCCTAAAAATACATCACTCATAAAATTCAAAAGCATGTCATTAACCCTTCATTCAGTCACTGAAAAAGAATATTGATTAACACGGAGAAGAGATTGGATCCTTAAGGCACTTCAGTAAAGATTTCCCCTCTATATTAATGGAATTGCTGAATGCTATAGGGCTTGGTCAATCTGAATCTAACCTAACTATATTTTTTGCTAGCACACATCTCTTGATCTTCTGCATAAGGATAACATGTGGGGTTTGTGAAAGCAGCGCCCTGATTTTGTTGCATTAGCATGGTGTCACTACTCTTGATGGAGCTGCGTTTGGCTTTCTGTTTCCGGCTCCCAATCCAAAGCTCTCCATTACATCATAGTATCTTAATTTTACTACCTGGTGCCTGTTTTACAAGATATTCAGGTCTTATTTACATGTACAAAGAACCATCCCTTTTGGTCATTTACTGCTGGCTTTAAACTGAGAGGAAGGACTTAGACCAGGGTTCAATGAGGCCTCTTACAAACACATTATGGCTATGTGAGCCCAGGTGAGTCATGTAACCTTTCATTACTCTAGACCAGTGATGTGTGTGGTGTGGGTGGTGATTAAAATTTCGAGTTCTACCTCAATTACATATTACTTTGTTGTTACCTATGCTCCTTATGTTCTAATAACTGGCAGTCTCGGCATGTCAGTTTGTCACAGGTCTCACAATAGAGCTTCAGCTGCTCCTTTTTGTGATAAGGGCAAAATACTGGTCTCTGACTGGTCACACCAACAGCTTCTGTAGAGACAATAGGAGTCAGAATTCCTATTAGTAAAAAGGGAAGAGAGGAAGAAAAAGTTGATTAAACTGCTAAAAATCAAGTACTTTTATTTGAACTTTGATCTTAGTATTATGTTAAAAAAAAATCCAAGTTACATCCACATCCCAAAGAAAACTAGAAACTAGAGATAAAATACTGATGTAAAAGACTAGAAAAAAACTACAGGATTCAGAGAAGGATGGGAAAACCTATATGAATTGATGCAAAGTGAAGTAGGCAGAAATAAGAGAGGAATATATGAAATGATCTGATGAAATATATAAACTATTCTAAAAGGCAGCTGGACCTTTTAAAAATTTAATGACCAATCAATCTCAAATCCAAAGAACAGATTATTAAACATACTTTCCCTCCTCTTGGTAACGGGGTATGGGACTTAACTTAGGGAAGTGAGATAGAGTCAATGCTTCAAGGTACTTTGTAAAAAATGATTTTGTTTAACTGTTTCTTTGTAACAAGAATGGTCCAACAGAAGTACATTTGTTGGGATGTTAGGAAATTCCTGTGATATAAAAACAAATGACATCATTAAAATCAAAAAACAAAATAAAAAATGAAGAGTTCAAATAGATAGTCTAAGCTCTCTTACAGATCTACATCTAGGATATTATGATGGCAATCTCAAAAACCCTACTTTTTTTTTTAACCTCCATGTTCTCTTTTTATTCAAGATCTAAATGAATCATACAGTGATGTGCAAATTACTTTGCGTAAACAATGATTAACATATAGTTTCACTATGTGCCAGTAACTGTCATGTTGTTAGGACTTCACCTATAAGATATAAGGCCCAATTACATAATCCTCTGTTAGCAGAGCTCTGGACTTTATGCTATATGTAAACATCTCCTTTGTAGCATTTCTTAATTATGTGGTTTTTAAGAAAGGATCTTGGGTGTAGCTAAGTGCCACAGAGCATGGGCCCTGGAGCCAAGAGGACCTGAGCTCAAATGTGACCTCAGACACATAATACTTCCTAGCTGTGTGACTCTGGGCAAGTCACTTAACCGCAATTGCCTCACTATTGTATTGTATTGTACTGTATTGTATTGCCAATACTATTGTCCCATAAGAAATGATGAACAGACAGACTTCAGAAAAACCTGGAAAGACTTGCATGTACTAATACGGAGTGAAATGAGCAGAACCAGCAGAATGTTGTACACAGTAACAGCCACGTTGTGTGATGACTAATATTGATGGACTTACCCCTTTTTCAGCAATGCAAAGATCTAAGACATCTCCAAAGGCCTCATGATGTCAAATGCTATCCACATCCAAAGAAAGAACTATGCAGTGTGAATGCCGTAGCTACTCTCAGCAATATAATGTACCATGACCACTCTGAACGACTTAGGCTGAAAAACACTATCCATCCCCAGGGAAAGAACTGATGGTGTCTGAACACAGATTGAAATAACTTTTTTTCCCCATTTCTTTATTGTTCTCAAGGTTTTTTTTTGATCTATGTTTTCTTTCACAACATGACTATTATGGATATGTTTTATATAACTACACATACATATATGGAATTGTTTGCCTTCTCAAAGAAAAAGGGTGGGGAGGGAAAAATGGAGAATGGGAGAGACTTTGAAGCTCAAAGTTTTAATAACAAATGTTAAAAAAAAAAAAAGCCAAAACCACACAGCTGCTAGGCATGTTACTTCTCTTGCCACAGTAAAGAACACAAAACCAAAAGCAATCAGGATTGGGATGGGACTAATTTGTCCTTATGAAACTCACTATTTAGAATAAGAATATAATTAAAACTGTTGTCAGCATAAGGCCAGGTGAACCTGTAAGATCTAGGCAGCTTCATCAGATCACAACACTGTAACTTTGCTATAACTTACTTGTATACAAACACATGTTTGATGGGTGACCTTGGCTAAAACATTTAATCTCTCTCTGAACCTCAGTTTAACAACAAAATGGGGACACTAATTCTTATACTGACTACCCAACAGGGCTAACTCTGGTAAAATGTCCGAAAACCTTGAAATGCTATATAAATATAAATGCTATATAAAGAAAAGAGCCTACTATGTTCCAGAAACTGTTCTAAGAGTAGAGGATACAAAAAAGGGCAAAAATAAGGTCCCTGCTTTCATGGAATTCATACTCAAAAAGGAGACATAATATGCTAATAATTATGGATATAGGAGATATAAACATACATGAGGGAAGGTAGTAGCAGGGGGAGTAGGGGGAATGGGCTATTTATTTTAGTCCACTGAATCTATTTCATTCAATTTTTAATGCAATAATATATCATTTTTATAATGACTGCTTTGTAAAAAAAAAACACACACAAAAAAACCAAAACACGAACTTGTGCATGGATTAACAATATAATTAGATATAGCTGCATTAATTTCCCCTGCTTCCTACTTTTCCCTATTACATCTATTTACATTCTGGGCTTTTTATTCCTTGAAATGAATTTTATCATGTTGGCTAATTGTAAGAAGTAGTATTTTATTTATTTGGACCTAAGGCACAGCGTACTGTAATTTGGCCAATATTGTGATTTCTTTTCTTTGTTGGTACAGAGCAGCAATAGACCTTAACTATTATTTTAAACTACTTAAGTATTTCTTTCTATAAAAACTGATTTGTAGTTAAATCCTATTGATATTTATCAGTGTCAAAATTCTCAATTCTCAATACAATCCTGAGATATATTAAGTCACATTTAGTAAATTAGCAAAGATGCTTAAAAATGTCAAGTTTTAGAGGCCATGGGAAGACACTCTAATTCACTGCTTCTGGCAATGTTAAATGGTCCAACGAGTTAAAGAAAAGTATGGAGTTATACAAGAAAGATTACTAGTTAGGCATTGAACTAGAAATTATAGTAACTGACCTATCCCTCACTCTTGCCCCACCAAATTTATTGGTAACAAGAAAACAACATACTAAAATAGACATAGATACAAATAAATTCAGAGTATCATTTGTGCTAAGAAAAAGCTAGACATAAGACATATCTAATGACTGTGGAGGGCTGGACATAAGATATAGGAATATAAGAGTATTAGTATGCTGAATGACAATTAAGAATGCAGGGGAATATGGGAAGATTCACAGAATTGATTTAAGAGTGAAAAAAATCATATATTCCATTGTGCTATCAGAAATGACGAGCAGGCAGAGTTCAGAAGAACCTGAAAAGACTTATTATATGAATTGATGCTGAGTGAAATGAGCAGAACCAGGAGAACAGCCACATTGTGCGATGACTGACTTTGATAAGACTTAACTCTTCTCCACAATGCAAGGATGGAAGACAACTCCAAAATACTCATGATGGAAAATACTATCCACATCCACAGAAAGAACTTTGTGGGGTCTGAATGCAGACAGAAACATACTATTTGGTCTCCTTTTCTTTTGTTTTGTTTTTCTTTCTCATGGTTCCTCCATTAATTTTAATCTGTTTTTTACATAATGACTAATGTGAAAATGTTTAACATGAAATGTATAAGCAGAGCCTATATCAGCTGCACGTCATCTTGGGGAGGGGGAGGAGAGGTAGGGAGAGAAAATTTAAAACTCAAAATCTTAAGGAAGTGAATGTTGGAAACTAAAAATAAATTAATTAAAAAGAAAGAAAGTAGATATTCCAGAAGGCAAAGAAGCTAGGATTACAACCAGGAATCACCTATCCAGAAAAACAGTATAATTCTTTAGGGGAAAAAAAGACATTCAATGAAATGGAGGAATTTCAAACCTTGATGAAAAGACCAGAGCTTAATAAGAAAATTTGGCTTTCAAATATAAGACTCGAGACAAACAGAAAGGTAAATCACTAGGGACTTAAAGTTAAATTGTTCACATTCCTACATGAGAAAATAGTTGTAAGAACTTTGTTATTATTAGGGCAGTTAGGTGGAGTATACAAAGACAGAGAGCACAGGTGTGAGCCGAATACGAAGGCATGATATTTTAAAAAAGATAAAATTAAAGGGAGAAAGGGAAATGTACTGCGAGAAAGGCATGAAAAAGCTTCTACAGCAGAGGGGAAGACGTGAGAAGTGTGGGTGTAGGAGCGAGTGAACCTTACTTTCATCAGAATTGGCTCAAAGAAGGAATAACATACACACTCAATTGGGTACAGAAATTTATCTTATAAAAAATAGGAGGGGAAGGCTGTGTGTGTGTGTGTGTGTGTGTGTGTGTGTGTGTGTGTGTGATATAGAATGGAGGGCAGACTGGGGGAGGAGGTAGTCAAAAGCAAAACACTTTTGAGGAGGGACAGGGTGAAAGGAGAGAGTGAATAGAATAAACAGGAGAGAAATAAATTTTTTGTTAATTAATTTATTTTTGGTTTAACATTCACTTACATAAGATTTATAAGTTATAAATTTTCTCCCCCTCCCTTTCCTCTCCCCAAGACAGTGTGCAATCTGATACAGGCTTTACATTTACAAGTTCATATTAAACATATTTTCACATTAGTCACGTTGTAAAGAAGGATTAGAACCAGTGCACACCCTTTGACCTAGCAATACCACTACTAGGTCTGTATCCAAAAAAAGTTAAAAAACAAAAAGGAAAAGGACCAATAAGTAAAAAAAAAACTTTTAGCAGCTCTTTCCTGGGGGCAAAGAACTGGAAAACGCCCATCAACTTGGGCATGGCTGAACAAATTGTGCTATGTGATTATGATGGAAGGTTACTGTGCTATAAGAAACGATGAGCAAAAAGCTCTCAGAAAAACCAGGAAAGACAGATGAGCTGATGCAAAGTGAAATGTACCATATACAAAGAAACCGCAATGTAAGATGATCAGCTGTGAATGACTTAGCTATTCCCAGCAATACAATGATCCAAGGCAACTCCGAAGGACTTATAATGAAAAATGCTATCCACCCCTCAGAGAAAACACTTCAGTGTCTGAATGCAGATCGAAGCACACTTTTTTTTACTTCATTTTTTCTTGAGTTTTTTTCTTTTTTATGTTTTCTTTTACAACAAGATA